CGCGTTTTCCCCTCCCATCCCTGTCCCCTTGTACTCACTTCTCCTCCTGCTTATATCCCGTTATATGCTTCCTTCTGCCTTCTCCTGTCTCACTTCTTCTCACACAGTCATTCGATTGTGTGACAGGTGTATCAGTCTGATTATCGGGGTTAAAAACTGAGGCAGTTTTTACCCTGGAATCAAACACCGACCATAAAATTGCGTCATTGCTCAGGCAAGACAAGGGCTGATGCACCGAAAGCCCAAAATGTTTTTCCTGAGATTAGGGTGTTGTTTATCATAACTAAGGGGCCCCCGCGATGGAATTAATACCCAGTTGTGGATCGAAATAGGCCAATCAGAGACACGATCACATGACTGTTGAGGTTGACAAATCAGTGCCGCTTGCCTATTGAGAATGTTACCAATTAAGAATGCTACATGTTTCGGATTATTGGTAAAGCCTGATCGTCGTTCCACCTAGCAGTTTTGGAATCTATCTACATAAGCACGAAAAACGGCTACTGTGTGGACAAAAGGAGTTCATTATCACCTTAGGACTCCATCGGTTACATGGGCTCCGACGCAGGTTGGAAAGTGGAGGGGCCAAGAGAAAGTGTAACAATCATAACAAAAGTTTTTTTAAAACAGCTCTATTGTTTTGCAAAAAAGTGAGGGGACCATGGCACCCCCGGCCCCCCTTCGTCGGAGGCCCTGGGTTAGGACTCCAAAAATCGACTTCGGCTTTTATATAACCACGATATATAGATAGGGCGAGAAAATCGACTTGGCCACCCCAGGGAAAACATAGCCACTCCAGGGAAAACAAAGCCACCCCAGGGAAAACATAGCCACCCCGCCACTGTTCGTAGGCTATTGTTTTTTACACCCAGGAGGGGGGTATACTCTTGTACATTTAGGATAAATTAATTCAGATAGGGTTATAAATTTCTATTCCTTAAAAGTATCTTTTAAGATGAAATTACACCAGAAACATTTGTTTTTGATTAACATACTAAATTAAGTGTTTGATTTGACAATTCTTGCGGTTTTTTTCTGCAAATCGATTTTCTTTTTTCAGATGTTTCTTAGATTTAAGACTCAAGAACATAATACAGCATTTCATGAACCCAAAAAGTATTTGCAACATTGGCTTACCCAAAAAAGTATTGTAAGCGAATGAGATGATATCAGAAATACTTTCACGATGAATGGTATTCACATCTGGGTTTCAAGGCTCCTCTTTTCATTCTAGTTTCAAGCCTTTATGTGCTGCTTCTGATGCCTTTGTTAATAATAAAGTAGTAAGAGCTCTGAAGTTAGGAATTTCTGCACGAAATTTTGGTCCCTTGAGTCAGATGAGTGTCCTTATGTTGTATGGGAAGAATTTATCGTGCCTTTTTGGAATGCTCTTGCCACGTTGTTCTCTTCTCCCTTGGCTATGCCTGCAACACGACGAGAATGAAGGCATAGTGTTTTTCTCCAAAATTCTTGATGTTGGGGTGGGGGTTGAAATACAAAAAAGAATTATTTTCACAGTCCTTAACATTTCTTAAGATAAACTCGGCTCTTTAAGTTATGTTTCTCCTCCTCTCTCATACTATAGGTACCTTGGGTAGAACTGGTGCATCGGCTCTCTGATGGGGAAAAGTAAACTTTTCTTGTCAATTTCCTGACCAGACTTTTAGGCTGTATGGTAACTTGATACCATCAAGTTATATTCTAGTCTAGGAGTTATATAAGTAAAGATGTATTTCTATACTTTTCATGTATTTCGAAATATCATATCACGTTGCATCACGTTACCAAAGGAAGCGTGCTTGCTAATATCTTTCCTTGTTTTGTAGAAAACCAATAAGTATTGTTCCTAGGGGGAGGGAGATGACTGAAATTGCTTTTGAAAATTGACTTGAGTATTCCAAGACTTTCGGCAGGCATTGAAGTTCCCCAAGAAAGTTCCAACAATTAAGCTTTTTCTAATAAACTAAGTTTTACTTACCTTCAGTTGCGTCGCAAAAATTTGAAGAGCACAGACAGCGCGAAGCGTTGAGAAAAGTGGGGGGTCTAAAAAAGTGCCAAAGCCCGCTCCGCGGTGCCTGGAGTACTGTAATTGTATTTTGTGTTTCTTGATTGAATTGAATTAGATTTGTCATACATGGAGTAATTCGTCATTTACAGAATGGCAATATAATAATATGGCGGGAAAATGTTTCCTTTAGATGTTAGTGTTTTTTATGCTACCACAGATTCCACCGAAAATGCCGGATGAAATCGAAAATGAAGTGGTTACACAGATACAGCCAATATTTCCTCAATTTGATGAACACGTTATAAGGATGGCTATAACTCACGTTAGACAACGCGTACAGACTGCTCAGGGAGGGCAGCCATTAACGACAGCCTTGTTACTCCCAGCTTGTATCGACTTCTTGCTAGAAGTTACTCAAGATTTTATCCTCCCATTAGGGAACAATTTACAAGTAAATGGAATAAGTCGACCCTTAGTCCCTGTGTCTGAGGAGGGAAAAACAAATAATGGGGTTCCTGCCGTTATCGTTATTGACAGCCAAGAAGATGCAGATAAGACTCTGATTACGGCTGATACTAAGATGAGCGTGACAAAGTCGAATAATAAAGACAAATATGAGCCTACAGTGTATGCCGGAATTGAGAGACCGGCTTTTGATTCCACAGTGACTAATCCATGGAATACGATCAGGTCATCTGACAGTTCTTCGAGTTCTAGTAGCAGTGGTGGTAGTGAAAGTTCTGATTCTCATTTGCCCTCGAGTAGCTCGTATGATTCAGAAACTTTTACAAACAGCTCATTAAACACTAATGAAAATTGTGAAGAAAATAGGAGAAAGTCTGATCAACAGCTAAATACTCACAAAGAAGTTCTTAAGTCTGCTCTGGAGATAGTGGTAAGATTTTGAGAAAATGTTTCAAAATGCAGTCGTGTTTTTAATGGCATTGAGTCATGATGAAAAAAGAGGGAATACCCAGATACACAATGCAATGATTTTAGTACTGCTATACCTTAGATTTTAGTATTTTAGCTTTACTTTTGAAAAGTTTTTATTAATCACCAGTTCCATCAACAACTCATTTTCCTTCCCAGAGCTTGTAAACTTCAAAATTTTGTGCCCTTTTTCTTGCTTCCCAGGTTCTTATAACCTTTCTTCTTTCAAAACCAAAATTGGCAAACCTCTCCCTGTCTTCTTAGCCTCTCTCCCTATTCTCTCTTGGTAAGACTTAGCTATTGGCCTCCAGGCCACTTTCTAGCATAACTGACTGAAAAAGATGTTTACAATGGCTGCCAAAAATAGCATAACACTTCAGAGACAACACTGAAGGCAAATTACACTCTGAAAAGAACATGTATTTACCATTTGTCAGTGTCAGACGAAAAAGCTTTAAGTATGTTGTAAAATGTTTGCTTTTTTCAAAGCCATTTGCATATTTATTTCAGCGTTAAAATTGCTTTATAGTAATGTATGGTATTGTATGATATCAGCTGAATCCTGTAGAAAATGAATACAAATTTTACAATCAGGTTTGGTAGAAGTGTATCAGACAGAGACCATAATTTCAATGGCCCTACAGCTATTCATAAAAACTTGTCCAATTCAGTTAAAATGTCTGAAGTCCTCACATGAGAAATTGAAAAGCAACAAATATGTATATTAAGATAGGAATGAACATAAAATACACAAAAAGACAATGCACTGTCTATAGAATATTTTCATAGACTTTTCAAGCCACCAATCAGCTCAAAAAACGCTAAATCAGTAAGATTTAAACTAAATTACTGTAGATGCATGCAAAAGAAGTATTTTAGGTTTAATTTGTATCAGTTGAAAGTAAGTTTATAGTCAATTTTGCTTCTTAAATATGTTTTCCTGTCAAGACTTTAGGATGTGGGCGTTCCTGTTTAGGCTTTAGGATGGTTCAGAATTATTGCTTGCTCTGAGAGACAGATGCTGAGCTGGTTTTCTACCATTGTTTATCATTATAGGTAGGAGTGGTGCCAAATGTTGATGAGAAATTTGCAATGGATTATCTTAAGCGTTCTGCACAATGCATCAATTATGACCAAGCTAGAATGGCTAATGAGTAGGTTTAATGCATTTCTTATTTATATTTTTCTCATTGTCCTAGCAAGTTGTTAAATCATGGAGTTCCTGTAAGGTCAACAGACTGCTTGATTCTGATGTTTATAGGTATTTATATCAAGGGTAAAATGTGGCATCAATTCAACGAGCATCCACGGAATGCACTTCTCATGTATGGCATAAAATAATTGTAATTTGCACAGCATATCTAGATGGCATAGCATAGCATATCCAAATTGATGTATTTTCTAATCTATGTAACATTAAAATCTCATGCATTCTTGGTATTGCCAACATATTGTAAATTTAGATATGTTAGTTAAAGTACGTAAAAAAGTATGGAAACAATACCAAAAATTGTGGCTCGTCAATATAAACTTTCACAGCTAAGGAACTCTGATCCTGAGCATCTCAAGCAGGAAAATATTTTTTAAAATAGAATTTTTTCATCATTTTATTGGATTTTGAATTAAAAGAAAGTTACAGATTTCTTTGCTTAGAACTTTGGGGTCTTCATGTTTACTTTAAAACTTTTTGTTGTGTTTAGATGCATAAACTTATTTTTACATATCTCTTTCAGGCTAATTGAACATTTGTTTGAAAATCATAATTACCCAAAGAAAGTAGAAGTTGTGAAAGATGTCAAAGATAATCTAAAAAAAGAGAAGGTATATTTATTTTTATGTTAACAGGGACAAATATATTAAATTAAATTTGGTCTTTTATAGTATTCTGACTTCATTTATCATGGTCTGTAATCGTGAAAAGTTCTGAACTGCACTAGCCCACACACAAGAAACTTTAATTAGACTTAGTTTAGTAAAATGTGGAAATAATAACAAAAAACATAAACATTGCACCATTAAGTCCTTTTTCTGATATTTCCCAGAGAAAAAAGACCACATAATGACTCAAGGTACTTAGAAGTCCTATTTTTACACTTTTCCTTACTATCTTCAAGAAATTCAGTTGAATGGTAATTGTTTTTGCAACAGGTGACATCAGATGTTGATTACTACAAGGTAGAAGGTTTGCAGACCAGTTTGAAGCAGCTCAGTCTATATAAACTGCAGTGCATGGTTTTATTGGCAAACAAATTCACCTTGGTATGTATATTAGCCACTTAAACATTATGTTAGCAAACTGCGTCAATGAAATATGAAATATAAAATAATTTTTTCTGATTGCTGAAATTTTATGATTTCCTAAAATTGTTTGCTAAAAGAGCCCAATTTCTATTTTTTTACGTGACAAATCTTGCTTTGCAAAACCTCATACCATATTTTTTCCTAAAATTTGACGTTTTTATCTAGAAGAGCTCAAAAGCAGCCTAATAAATATCCCTTAAAAAATAAATCAGATAAAATAAGATTATTATGATCATTTCATTCTGCATTCTTAGTATTTTAGAATCTATTCTTTTTCTATTTCTTGCAAAGAAGCTGGCCATCCGTGCAAAGAGCGCATGCCCATTTCTTTGCACCGGCCTTGCTTTCCCAAGAAGTGTAGTTTGTGCATGCCTTATCAAGGCTTTAAGCTACTACTTTTACAGGAAACATCCAATCCCACGCAAATGTTTTCCCTGTTTGCATGTTTCTGTTTTTATTTAATTGTGGATTTGGGGTTAGGTTTACATGAGAATGTTATAGTGCACCAGAAACACAGCCGTGTTTTTATTTGAAACTGGATTCAATCATTTACACAATACACCAATTCGACCTACGGCTGCACTTTGAAAAATTCTTCAAATTATTTTGTACAAAATTTTTGACCTCAGATTCGGATTGACAGCAATAATTTTAGTCTATTTGTAAGTTTTCATTATGATATTGCTCACGATATTGATTTTATGACGACATGAAGATAAAAACTTTATAAGGGATTTGACCGTGATTGGCGACTAGGGGGGTAAAGTTTCCCCCGGAACGATTTTTGCGGTCAAATCCCTTACAAGTTTTCAAACTTCATTTCTCGGTTAAATCTAAAATACAAGCTCAAAAAATATGAAAAATGGTATCCCGCCTAAAATTACGACGATAAAACCAAATCTGAGCTTAAAAAAATCGTATAATTAAGTTTGGAGAAATTTCCAAAACGAGGTCGTAAGTCGAATTGGTGTATCAAAGAGATGTACTGGATTGTGAAGCATTATGATGCAAATAAGATTGGATAGTTTTCTAGAAGGAGGTTCAGAAAGGGCCTAGGCATCCTGTGCAGTAGTGTAGCGGAGGGAATAGGCAATTTTAAAGCCTAGTTTTTTAGAAAATACAATATTCCTAGGTGATGGCTAGGTGATTTGTTTGCGCAAAATATCAGGTAACTTGAATCTTAAAATGTTTCCTTGTTTAATTAACGAAAGCTTAATAAGGAGTAAACTAGGGGATGGACATCTTTGGCGGTTGGGGCGAGGTAGGAAATAGGTGATGTTCCACTCCAGATATTTTTCAAACCGTTCGTATTTCTGCTTAGGGCTCCTAGATTTAAACCAAAAAACTAAGCTCAAAAAAACTTCTTTGTAAAAAAACGTAAATTTTTTTCCGGGTAAAAGTATAGGGGTAGGTTTTTCCACAGCAACTGTGTTTTGGATTGAAACATTGACAAATCCAGCTTGAAATTGAGGCAGGTGATTTTGCTAATTACATTTTGCAAACAAACCCGCTGATTTGTCTAGAACAAAATGTGCTCTTGTTAAATAGAACCCCATTGCACTCCTTGATCCGACAAAGAGGGAAATTCACTGCCTGCCTGCAAATTTATATCTGGTATGGCCTGAGAAGCATTACCTTAAGCCTTACTTCACCTATTTGTTAGTTACTCTAGGAATCTATTATAGGTCCTTTCTAGAGTTTGGTCACAAATCCTCTCGGGATTACAGTCCTTGCTCTAAGCAAAAGTTCAGTTCAGTTCAGTTTCATATTTTAAATTCTCTACATACAATTCATTCACATCAACAATAAATAGTAACTGATACATAACATACAATTCAAAATTACGCAAAGTCAGTACATTATCATCAAAAATTAATACAAAATTTAAATGCAAAACAAAGAGTGGGACAGATTGTATGGAGGGAAATACTTAAAGGAGGAGCTCTCTCAGTAGTTACATTAATTCTGCAAAGCACTCAGCAAAACAAACATGCTCCATAAAACAGCCTTCAAAGATACTCAAAGGGCTCTACATATTTAACACCTCTCAGTAAATTTTTCTTGAGAGTGTCCTTGGAAGAAGTGTTATATAAGAAAATCAAAAGGGTAACCAAAAAGTACCAGATTATTAAAAAAGAAAAGAATAACCCTCAAGAGCCGTGTAGATTTTTTTGAAATATCTTATTTTTTGTAATTACAAGTCCTCATCCCTTGAAGAACTCTTTACCTATAGCTACTTTCATTGAAATGCCACAACATGATTCTTTATGCCACAACAAGGAGGTCATTGTCAATAAGCAAAGAGGATTGACCTAGTGGATTCGCATCTAGAACGTAAAGCTGTTAACAGGATGCTCTTTTTCTTCCATACTGTAGTCATGTTTCTTCATGTAAACAGAAGGCAAATTTAGTATGATCCAGGGTAGAAATTGGCTCCTTTTGGGCTGACAAGGGGCTGACAAGGGGCTGACAAGGGGCTGACAAGGGGCTGACAAGGGGCTGACCCTCCTTGCTCTACACCCTTGGATATGATATTGTACCATATTTCTTTTTTATCACAGTATCTTCTGTACAGGGTCTTAGGCCATGTCTACACAGACATGCTCCAAAGGCTGCATTTTCATCTTAATGAATACAAATAAAAGACTCGCATCTATGTTGCTGTTTCAAAAGTTCCCACTTGCGAAGGGGTTTCCAAATTTTTGTGTTTTTTGGTCACAGATTTACCCTTTCCAGGTAAAAGGTAAATCGTATTAAATTACCCTTTGGTTAACAAATAGTATTCTTTTTTGTATTTTTCTGAATTATTTTATTTTGTTCCAGAATTTATAGCATAGATAGTGCAATAAAGTATTAGAAGTTCAATATTAGAATGTATTTATTCAGGTTTCTAAATTGCAAATCAAAATCTGCACACCAGATTCAAAGATGATGATTTGAAAAATATGTAATAGCAATCTCTTTGCGCAAAATATCAGGTAACTTGAATCTTAAAATGTTTCCTTGTTTAATTAACGAAAGCTTAATATTTACAGACAACAGGATTTCAAAGATAATTAATAGAGAGTGCGGGAAAATAACCGACCCGAGCGGGGCTCGACCTCACGACCCCTGACTTTGTACGTCAAGTGCTCTGCTGCTGAGCCATCGGGTCGTGCTTAATATACTTAATAAGGAGTAAACTAGGGGATGGACATCTTTGGCGGTTGGGGCGAGGTAGGAAATAGGTGATGTTCCACTCCAGATATTTTACAAACCGTTCGTATTTCTGCTTAGGGCTCCTAGATTTAAACCAAAAAACTAAGCTCAAAAAAACTTCTTTGTAAAAAAACGTAAATTTTTTTCCGGGTAAAAGTATAGGGGTAGGTTTTTCCACAGCAACTGTGTTTTGGATTGAAACATTTACAAATCCAGCTTGAAATTGAGGCAGGTGATTTTGCTAATTACATTTTGCAAACAAACCCGCTGATTTGTCTAGAACAAAATGTGCTCTTGTTAAATAGAACCCCATTGCACTCCTTGATCCGACAAAGAGGGAAATTCACTGCCTGCCTGCAAATTTATATCTGGTATGGCCTGAGAAGCATTACCTTAAGCCTCACTTCACCTATTTGTTAGTTACTCTAGGAATCTATTATAGGTCCTTTCTAGAGTTTGGTCACAAATCCTCTCGGGATTACAGTCCTTGCTCTAAGCAAAAGTTCAGTTCAGTTCAGTTCAGTTTCATATTTTAAATTCTCTACATACAATTCATTCACATCAACAATAAATAGTAACTGATACATACAATTCAAAATTACGCAAAGTCAATACATTATCATCAAAAATTAATACAAAATTGAAATGCAAAACAAAGAGTGGGACAAATTGTATGGAGGGAAATACTTAAAGGAGGAGCTCTCTCAGTAGTTACATTAATTCTGCAAAGCACTCAGCAAAACAAACATGCTCCATAAAACAGCCTTCAAAGATACTCAAAGGGCTCTACATGTTTAACACCTCTCAGTAAATTTTTTTTGAGAGTGTCCTTGGAAGAAGTGTTATATAAGAAAATCAAAAGGGTAACCAAAAAGTACCAGATTATTAAAAAAGAAAAGAATAACCCTCAAGAGCCGTGTAGATTTTTTTGAAATATCTTATTTTTTGTAATTACAAGTCCTCATCCCTTGAAGAACTCTTTACCTATAGCTACTTTCATTGAAATGCCACAACATGATTCTTTATGCCACAACAAGGAGGTCATTGTCAATAAGCAAAGAGGATTGACCTAGTGGATTCGCATCTAGAACGTAAAGCAGTTTACAGGATACATTTTTGCTTCCATACTGTAGTCATGTTTCTTCATGTAAACAGAAGGCAAATTTAGTATGATCGAGGGTAGAAATTGGCTCCTTTTTGGCATTGACAAGGGGCTGACCCTCCTTGCTCTACACCCTTGGATATGATATTGTACCATATTTCTTTTTTATCACAGTATCTTCTGTACAGGGTGTTAGGCCATGTCTACACAGACATGCTCCAAAGGCTGCATTTTCATCTTAATGAATACAAATGAAAGACTCGCATATATGTTGCTGTTTCAAAAGTTCCCACTTGCGAAGGGGTTTCCAAATTTTTGTGTTTTTTGGTCACAGATTTACCCTTTCCAGGTAAAAGGTAAATCGTATTAAGTTACCCTTTGGTTAACAAATAGTATTCTTTTTTGTATTTTTCTGAATTATTTTATTTTGTTCCAGAATTTATAGCATAGATAGTGCAATAAAGTATTAGAAGTTCAACATTAGAATATATTCATTTAGGTTTGTAAATTGCCAATCAAAATCTGCACATCAGATTCAAAGATGATGTTTTAAAAAGATGTAATAGCAATCTTGTTATTCAGTATTCATTGCTTCTTTTCCAGATACCATATAAATTCTTAAAAAAAGCATTTTATGAAAATTTCCAAAGATATGCTAGAACATACAAGCACCTTCAGGAAATGCTCGATTCACCTGGTGAGTTAAAAAATTTTTGTTTGTTCATGTTTAGGCAAAATATTCCAAGATCCCTGCTTGCTGAAGTTGGTTGAATCTTGCCTAGAATTATATTGTGCTACCAGAATTATCTAAGGTAACTGGTAGGTTCATGGAAGATTCAAATATTTGTGAAAGCATAACAAACAAACAATATAAGGAATAAGTATAAATAGAATTTTTTGTAAACATTTTGTCATTAATTGGCACATAATGAAAGTCTTTATTTACCTTTTTTAAATTCTTGCTTAAAATGGTAGCATAAGAAGAAATCAATTTTCTGAATTGATCTTTTGAAGATCTGCTTATGAAGGTCTGCCCAGTTAACTGCTTAAAATTTAAAGATGTGTTCATCCTTGTTTTTGTTAATGTCCGAATAAACTGAAAGTTTGTTTTTTTTGTTTTTTAGCTTACGGTACAGTATACTATTTCAAGTTTCTTTTCACTTGTAACATCTTTTAACTGGTAAAAGGCTAAAGTATTTGCTTCTGACATGTTCATTTCTTTGGTTATGTCACCAACAAATTAAAGATTCCAGAGGGTGTCTTCACAAGTGAAGCTTTGGATTATTTACATCTAATGCCTCTGCTGTGTCAGAGTTTTTCTTTTTATCTTTGAACTAAAAAGGTGTATCTATATTTCTAAGTACCTGGGTTGAATTGAATAAAGTACTAACGATTAGGATACAAATTGGATGTTTGCAATATGTTCTCTTTAGGAATTCTGTGTTGGGACAAGGCTGGTAGCTTTTTTATCTCATTTGTTGCTCAGTACACTGCTTTGAGTTTGAGTTTATTAGAAGCTGTAAAATTAAACCACACCCAATAGAAGATGAGCCAATTAAATGCAAATGAACATGATTTTATAGCTCACACTTTTTTATTCGCTTTACATTTCAACATTTTTCTTTTGTGGATTGCTTTTTGTTTTTACATCCAGTCTTGTTGTCATAATAGCAATTCTTCTAGTTTATGAGATATGAAAGAAAGTATTCTACATTGCAGAGGAATTCAGATCCAAATGTCTTTTGCGCCGCCGTCGGCCACTCCAATGTGCCCCCATAACGTTGCAAATTGACCTAGGAAAGGAATGTCAATTTCTTGAAAGGCAGGCAAGGAAGAAGGCAGAGGTAGATATCTCTCATAAATTTTAAGTTCATTCAACGATTCTGAAATAGATATCCAAAAAGCCAGTCACTGCTCCCTTCCTTGCTATAGTTCAGTTGCAATGTGTTGATGTGATTTTATCAAGTCGGGATTCAAAACTGCGAACAAAGGTTTAAGTGTCTTCAGATGCATTTATCGTTGCATTTATCGGTGAACTCATAAGAGCTTATAAGGCGGTTATTGACCAAATTTGAAGAAATGTTACCGTTTGATTTGATTTGATTTGATTTGATTTGATTTGATTTGATTTGATTTGATTTGATTTGATTTGATTTGATTTGTCCCAACACCTCCCCTTCCCAAGTCTTCCTTTGCGCTTAATCCCAATCCAGTTCCCTATACGCTTAATCCTAATAACGAATTATTTGTTATTATGAAATTTCAGAAATCATTTTTATGTTCAAAGAATGTACAGAATGTTTTGTTGTGTACAAAATTCATTCTCAAAGTGTTTGGATTACAACCAGTACTTGCATTTAGGCTGTCTTTGGCCATCAGAACATTTATTTACATCATAAAATTGTCAAACAATTTTAAAATACACAATAATTTTCTTCTCTCAGTCATTTCAATACGTACCTTATTAATTGATTGATTTTAAATCGATTTTAAAGCTGTCTACGTTAATAATTCATTCACCCTTTACTTTTATTGATTGCAATTCAGCCTTTCCCAGGAGCGTTTGTCATGTAATCATGCTTTTAAAGTTGATGATAAATTCTTCCAATTGCATCATCTGCTACCATCTGTCAGTGCTCTCGACTCCATGTTTGGCATTACATTGATTTAGATAGATTTTCGAAAGGTATTTTGTTGTCCTGGAAAGCAGACACTAGCGCAAAGTGAACTTCCTTTATTTGTTTCAACATATAAAATATGTATATAGGTTTATTTTTTATTTGGAACTAGTGATTCGAGAAGGAGCTCAGGGTTGCATATAAGATATTTTTGTGCCTGAAAATAACATATTTGAACAGATATGTCTCAGATACTAGCCGTTGCATTTTGCCATTAGGATGTACAAGCCAGGAGAAATTATGTTTTACATAGACGTAGGCACCAATGGGTCACAGGGGCCCCACTTTTCAGAAGCTGGCTTAGGTGCCTCTTTTTTGCCTACATTTGTCCCCTGCGACCTTTGAAATGCTTCCTACTTAGATGATGTTTGATAATTTGTATGCAGAAGCAAGATTAAACCACAGAGCTGCAACGAATTCTTATTCTCCAAGTAGTTTCACCGCGTTAGTAGGCTGTTAGATTTTACGACAAATTAAGGATCTAGATTATTGATTAAGATTTCACGACACGACATTTCCTGCTTTAGCATGTACGTTAATGTCTTTAGTTACACCAGTATTTTATGTTTTTAAGATATTATTCCACATAACTTTCGCCATTTTGTAGGACGTGGATCATATAATGGCACAACGGTTAAATGAGCATCAATATCAACAGGTATGTAAATATTCTGTTGAAGAAACTGCATGCCAAGCGAAGTCTACACCACTTTACTTTTAGAGTTTAACCTACTTTTTCATTAAAGCTGCCTTTCGAATACTTAATTGGGCCTGGGTATAATAACACTTATAATAACAAGTAATTTTTTGATAGTTGGCAAGCAGATCGACATTCCTTGCCAATTCTAAACATTGCACGCACCCCTCCCTATTCCCCTGAAGCAATGTTGACGATTTTTATGTAAGTGCTTCGCAAACCTGGTTTTTTATGTGCCAAGCCGCGCTTCAGTCAAATACGGATAAACATTTGCTGATAAACATTGTTAAGGGGACGATGGGGGACGTGTGACATTAGAAGTTGGATGACCCAGAAAGATAGTAAGAGGGCTTTTTGCGTTTGTTTAAAGACGCTTCGTGAGGGTTGTAGCTATAGATATTGTTAATTAAAGCCATTTTACAACTCATTAGAAATGCAGTTGTTTTAAAAAACCCAATTGTGCAATTAATGTTCTACATTTTCTACAGCTGCACTCACAGTTATCTAGATTTCATTTTTATTAGAACTTACCTCTTGGCCTGGGAGCACCTCCAAAATCCAAAGGATAGGCTCAAGTCAGCAAATTTTCGTATTGTGCAGACTTACCGAGCGTATATGTTAAGCATTCCCATTCATTGTTACATTATGATGTCAAACATTCTTCATCTTTACGAATAATTTTGATGGTATAGCTTCCCACCTTTCTTGTATTCTTATTTCGAATCCTGTTTCACTTCCTTCATTGATTTCTAGGAAGGCCAGTATATAGAGTGTAATTGTTGTTTTGGTGAGGCTGTTTTTGAGGATATGACGCAATGCAGTGAGGTTGGCAATCAAAATTTGTTACTGTTTTTAGTATTTTTATAATTTTATGGTATTTTTGAATTAATTTATGTTTTTACGGAAGACTTTATCGCTTTATCACATTTGTATCTCAAGATTATCTTCATGATTATCGATATGTATCAAAAAAGCCATCCAAAAATCAAATTAGCTGGTTATTAAAACATAGGACACTGAAATAAGAAGGAAATTAACTGCGAAAATTGGTGTCCTGAAATATAGCTTTTTTAGAAGCAGGATTGCGTGTATTTTAAAAATCGTACTTCTTTGATTCTGGGGAGGATTTGGGACGTATACGACCCTTGTTGATGTGGAGGATTTGGGACGATCTTCCGGCATTGTTCTTACGATGTCACAAATCGCCCTTGTTAGTTTTTCTTTACAGCTTTAATCTTTAAATCAATCATTAAGGATCAGAACTTGCAGTAGAGAAGAGTATTGACTAGGCTTTCTTCCCCTTTTTTCTGTAGGGTCACTTGTCCTGTCTTGAATGTTTAAGGAACTATGCAAAGGAGGCAATATACGGATCAGGAAAGATACCGCTTTGCTGTCTAACATCTGACTGTTCAAGCATCTTTCCTTTAAGTAAGTAGCCTTCAATTTGCTAGGTAGGAGTTTTATGTAGTTTTTCTGACGTGGTTTATTGCTGATGCTGCCAAAGAGTTGCTTTCAGTATCAGTAGAGAGTATTTTCAGATATTGTTCTACCGCCCGGGCGCTTATTTAATTTTTAAGGCTCCAGGGCGGCGCTTATTTGAGGGGGCGCTTATTCGAGGGGTTCGCTTATTCAATAACTTCACCTCTAGGGTGGGCGCTTATTCGAGGGGGGCGCTTGTTCGAGGCATAACGGTACTCTCATTATTGTTACTCTGTGGGACACAAACAGCACAAATGCAATCATTGACATATTGGGATAATGAAATAACTTTATGAACATGTGACCTCCAGAATGATTTTCTTGCCCAACTTTGAATCACGATCCAGTTCATCTTTGTATAAAACTATTGTAACGGCCTAGCCATTTTTTGTTTGAATACTGTAAAGATATACTTGGCTTGTTATTAAGCAAAAACTCAATTAACGAGAAAGCTGAAGATACACTTTCAAAACTTTCATGAATGGAAATCTTTGCAATATTCAAACGAAAATTGGGTAGGCCGTTACAGTAGTTTTATGCAGCGATGAACTGGGTCGGATTGTCAATAGGACGGTCGGTGAGAATGCTTTCTCTGGTAATTAAATGTTGCCCCTTCTTGCTATCTTCGATTTTCTAAGAATTGCACTCCGATAGTTTTACTTAGATTTCAGGTTCCTTTTCCAACTAGTCTAAAAACGTGACTCTTTTTCATTTTGGACTTTCCATCTTTCTAAAAATGGCTAAACACTCAAGCTATTCCATTTTCAAGACACAAGGAAATAACTTACAAGGAAATAACAAGACACAAGGAAATAATTAATCCTATATTTGTTTTTTCTACCAAGATCAAATTTCAGGCATTCTCCACATTAACATATATCCCCCCACAGGCAGAAACCCCTAATTCCGTGTATTGTTGCTCGACGGTTTTTACGTTACAAACGTTTTTAACGTTCTACTTGTTAAGTTAGCAAATCGATTTTCAGGCCAACTCGAAAAGGCATTGGATTCCAGCATGTTTGACAAATATCAAGAACGGCTACAAGAAGAATCTCTCAAGATGGCTGAATTACCTGACCTTGTAAGGTAAGTCTCGTGTTAGATTTACATTAAAATTTACATTGAACGAAATTTTCTTTTCCTCAGAAATTTCTTGGCTTGTAATACTGGTGCTATAGTTTTGTTTTTTTATAACTACAATTTAACGACAGCACTTCAAGCGGTTCTAAATTGCTTTGGTATCTGTGAACCGTTGTTATGTCAAGAAAATAAAAGTCCCATAATCCCAACGTGGACATTCATCTTGGATCCGCTTTGGATGCAAATGTTTTTTCACCTTTAAAGGAAAAGCGAAAAATACAGTAATTTCCTGCATAAAACAACCAAGAATTTTGCCTGTCAGTCTGAAATGTTCTTTATTAGAACTGGATGCAAAAGTGGTCCTTTAGGTTAATAAAATTTTAACTGTATCAAATGGCTTTGTCTTACAAACAGTCTCGTTCTGCGAGAAAAATTTTCGAGAAAAAAAATCAAAGAAGTACGATTTTTTAAACACTGCAATGCTGCAAAATTTTAAAATTTCATAAAATTTCTGTGAGAAAATTTTTTGTTCAAAGATTATATTGGATTTAAAAGAGTATTTGGTACAATGGCTGGAGAGAGAGATGTAATTTATGGTTTTTATGTTTTATTGATTATTTGTGGCACTTGACGCCCAATGAACGATCTGGATGTCAAATGGCCAAATGTTTATCTAGAGATTTTCAGTATTAGACATTTGTTCAAAAATATCTATTAGAAAGTCAGCCCCAGGGTTGTGGAGTGGTTAAAGAACTTCTAGAGAAATTTCAGTTCGGGCCGGATTTTAAAATCAATAGTGAACCTACATTTTCAGTTCGTACCCTCATGAGTAAATGATTCTTCAAATTCAGACTTTTGTATAAAAGGTCTTTATTATTAAAGAGCAATTTTAATTTTCAGTTAACAGCAAATATGAACATTTTCAATGATCTGCTCGACTTGGCTGTTATTAGATTGTTATTTCCATTATGTCGCATTCTCTTACCTACTACAGATGCCCGTCATGTGATTATGCCGCAGAGATGCCTGCTGGCGATAAAGTTTTCAAATGCCAAAATACAGACTGCATGAAGGTTTCTAGTTTTGCCTTTAATTGCCTTTATTGATTTATAATAACTGTCAACAGTGGCAGAAATTTTCGGGAGCTTGGGATGAGCTCGGATCCTCCCCCTATAACGTCCTTGTCGGAAAATTTGGGCTTTGAAACCTCTGTGGTCCTGTTGAGTCTGTTTCTTTTCGAAAATTCGTAGGCCTGAGAAAAGCTCTCACCTGTATGTCTGCCTAAGACTGTTTTCATCTTTGCAAATCTATTGCCTTTGCATCGATATGTTGTGCCATGTGTAAACGTTTTGTTCTGGGGTTGTTCGAAACAAATATTGGTAGCCTATAAATGGGGGTATAGATAATGTGGATATAATCAGCCATGAATCTGTGCTTTTTGAATTAGTATTTTGAGAATTTTCAACCTTCCTATCTTCTCTTGTTAAATACGTTCTGATTCAATATAAATTCAGCGTTCTCTCTCTATTGAAGGAAACCTGCAGGTACTGTAAGGAGCCTTGGCAGGACCATTTTGGAATCCCGTGTACAGAAATGGAAAGTGGGAAAGAGAAAAATATACGTGTATCTTAGTAAGTGCTGTTTGCTGCCAATAGCAATCAATTGTTTTTCTCATAAATCGTTTTAGTATCTTGAAAATATTGTTTCCAAGCATGCTTGCTACTGCCATTTTCTTTATCTTTCCTGCAGGATTATTCTGAATATGTTTTCTTATTTGAAATATTTTCTCCAAATTTCGCAAATATCTCCATTTAATTAACTCGCAAAATTCATCAATAGCGAAGAGAAAATGTCAAAAGCAAAAATCAGAACATGTTCACAATGCGGATGTGGATTCATGAAGACAGACGGTTGCAATAAAGTAAGTGATTTGTCGTTTTAGAAGCAATCTTCGTTGCTAATTGTTAATTTGATTTAAGGATTCGTTCATCGATAAGACTAGTGTTGTGGAAGGAAGCACTGAAAAAATGTAAGGACTTAGTACCTCTTTAGAAAGCAGGAACGGGTTTTTAAAGGCAAGGGTCGGGGGGGGGGGTGTTAGATTATGATCGGTTTTGTGCCACCCCCTTCAGGTGCCTAGAAAATGACGAAAAGGCCCTTTCTACAATTCCATTTTTAATAGTAAGCTAAAGTTTCAGTTTATAATTTTGAAGAAAATAATGCTAAAGAGGATAATGTTAACGATATTAATGCTAAAGAGGATAAGAAGATATAAAAAGTAAAATTTTAGCACCATTTGATTTTCACTGACTACGAACAAAATCTTTCTTCCGAACCAAAGAAACGTTCACCGAACAACACAAAAGTAGCTGTAAGCACCCTCTTCTATCATCGCGTTATGTTTTTAGGGTGAGAAAGTTGTACAAGGAAGTTTCTCATGATCATTCGAATGCCTTGCGCACTTCATGGTCAATAGAAAAGGAATTTTTGACACATTTTCCGGGCATCAAAGCGTACTTCATGCTTAATCTCATTTGGTCCTAATCTTTATATTTTCATACTTTCAGATGACATGTCGATGCGGGACAACGATGTGTTATATATGCCGTATATCTAAAGTAAGCACTTTATGTATTCTTTCACTAGATTCTCTTCGGGTAAAAGGTTGTTGTGACAATTCTCGAACCGTAATATGCCTTCCATTGTATCACTGTGATTAACACCTTCCACTTTCTACGTATCCAAAGTAAAGTAATCAACAACACTTTTGTAGCTTCCCCTCGTTTTATGTGTATTGTATACGCCCAGTTCCCAGTTTTGCATTTAATCAGTCGGTAAATTCATCCAGACATAACAGCGTCTCTTGCTGGCTCCGTGTTTTCTGCGCGTTAAGCAAGATCATAAAAACGACTGCGCACTCAACAGGAGCAAAGTATAGGTGATATAACTGGTTTGATGTTTATGCAGCAAAGTAGTCCATACTGATGGGAGGTTAAGTAAGGAGTCTAGAATCAAGTTTTGTATCTCAGTTATCGAAGGGCCGACAATAGAGAAACGGGTTACGTGACCCAAGAGAACATGCATTTGACTAAATTCGTAAAATCGGCCTAAACCAAATAAGGGTTAAAAATATTTTTGGTATTTGAATGATTTATAAAAACATAACGACGATAACCTACATAGGAAGACGATGTTAAAAATTTCTGCAACCCAAGGACCGCGGAGCGTATAACGGATTGAGGGGGCTTAAACGTTTTTTTGGAGGGGGGCTAAACGTTCTAAAACCAAGAACAGGTCGATTTTTGTATGGTTCTAAGTACATTTTGGAAATTATTTGGGGGCTATAGCCCACTCAACCCTGCTGCAACCTCTATGGACTTTCATCACAAATTTAAATGAAAGTTTATCGTTTGAAGTTTTACTCAAATTTCGCAAATTTTGGCAAGGAGCTTCTTCAGCAAAATCAACAAAGTACCATGCACTTCCCCGCCTCGCACCACCGCTAGTGTTGACATTAATCAAGGAGATATAGGGATATAGGGAGATATAGGTGATAATGCAAGTTTGTTACTAAAAGATGTTGCTGATATGTCAACGAAGGATACTGACCACTTACATTAAGTCCTTAAAGACTATATAGTTGTATGTGAGATGAGCTTAATGAAGATATAAAACCTAACCTTAACGAACACGAAAATTGCAAGGCGCTTCAAGCCATGGATCATCGTCAACCTCAACTGAGGCTAATTTCTAACCCTTTCTGGTTCCCAGTGATGTGGTTTGGCCAGTTGATGGGATCAAGAGATCTTGAATGCTAAATAAGGAAAATGTGTCTTTTCAGTATGACTGAGAAAGGATCTGGTTGATAAAAACATTCACATCGATACAAGCATCAATAAGATATTTAACGAAAAGAGCTTTGAGTTTTTGCATTTATTAGCCTTTTCGTTTTTAATTTCTATGCAATTACCCTTTATGTCTTTTGCTTTTTGACCAGATAAGTCATTTTCTTTAGATTGGATATCAACACTTTTGCAGTCACCCTCGAGATCCAGGAAAATTATGTTTGTTCCCTTGTTGTTTTATTTTCTTGCGTCACTCGCTTAGTTAAGGAAGAACATCTTCCCGGCAATTTCCTCGAATCTTGAGTATTCAGCTTTACTCGTCGATTAACCTATGTTGGAAATGTTTTATATTTTGACGAAAACAAAGTGACAAAGACGCCAGCATTGAACTATATATACTATTTGCGATTGGCAAGATTTGCAAGTAATCAAGTAAACCAGAAAAGAAAAAAGAACGTTGGTTTGAAGAAGCATATAAACAATCAGTTACGTTTATCAAGCAACTGATATTTTTTCCATACACTAGTGCCACTCTGTAATTGATTTGCCACATTCAAATACCATTGATTTGTAGTATACTAAAAGCTTTTTCGTCTGACACTCCTCAGATTATAAAACGTCAAAATAAGGTTCCGAAAGAATAAGATTGAAAGATGGAACTGGGTATATATTTTCCATCTTGTTCTTTCAGAACCTTATTCTGACGTTTTATACTCTGAGGAGTGTCAGACGAAAAGCTTTTGGTAGCATGTTGTAGTTACAAGGTACATTAGTATCTAGGCCCATGAGTTGAAAATTGATCCTTTCGCTATTAATTTCGATCTTCAGATTTTATGAATGATTTTCCTTTTCAGGTACAATGTGTAAAAAGTGTTCTTTGTGGACTGACCCAACCGTACGTGCTATTCTCCATTTTTTAATTCAATATTTTATTGTAATAAGTCAGTTGATTGAAGCAGGTGATTATCGTGCTAAAGATTATTGGTTCCAGTCCAGATTGAACCAACAGTTTGGACACTGCTCTCTAACAGCCAGCAGCAGGGCCGGATCCAGGGCAAATTTGAAGGAGGGGCAGTTGGTAGTGTGTGCGCTGAAAAATGTTGACAAGTGTTAGCTTTATACAACAATTTAAGACCCTAACTACCGACGGATGGCTCTTTATTCACTTTGCAAGGCAATTTTCAATAATTGTTGTATATCTTGAGGTAATCCTTGAAGCGAATAAACCTATAGAATCGGGTTAAATCTTAAAAAGGGGCGTACAATTTCCAAAAAAAAGCCCCAGACTTACTTCAACTCGATGAGGGAGGGGCAACTGCCCCCCCCCCCTTTAAACCCGCCACTGGCCGGCAGTAACTGGAATCCTAGTGGTTACGATGATTTGTTTATTGTATGCTGATGCTGAATAATATTGTAAAAGCTGCCACTGACCCACTGACCTACGCAAAAAGATCATTTAATGCGCAAAAATGCTTTTCCTAGAGGTACCAAAATATGGCATAGGGAGTAAAAGCTAGCGGTAACAGCTACTAGTCTTAAGTCTTATATATAGAAATTTTCATATGAATTTTGTATAAAGTACTTTTGGTAAAAATTATTTTATTAAGTATTGTTTTTTTCTTTCAACATGATTTTGTTAGTTTGTGTTAGGTAATATTTTATTCTTTTTTTATTAATTTAATCTAAAATCAATCAAAGACTCATTGTAAAAGTTACATTTAATTTCAAGTTAAATGTAGGGTCCTTGGGCTAAGTCTACCTTCTTCATTCTCCCTTGTAGGAAGACGACGAAAGGGCCGTAAGGGAGCTGAAAGAGGAAGCTGCGAAAGAGGTGGCAAAGGTTAAGACCCCAACCCAAAATGGTATGTAATCGAGCTTTGAATCACAGATAAATTGCATTTGAAGCTGTTTTTTTTATTTAAATAGAGCTCGTTTATTTATGCAGTTGACTTCTTTTAAGTCAGAACTTCAAAGGAGGTAAAGAAATGGTTGTCAGTCTAAATTTATACCATTGTTTTCGTAACAGAAAGGTACCAGTCTTATTTATGAGTGGCCTAAACTGTCCTTTTTGCCTTCGTCGGCTATAAAGAAGGCTTAACGGGGCCTTAACAAATGCTGCTCATCGGAAAATTACAACAAGATATTTTGAAGTAAAACCAGATCCACTTGCCCAAAAATATTACGACAAAAATGTTTCTTTTCAATGTACTCCTTACTGAAGGATTCGTCACAGGTCATGAGCGGTAAAGAAATTATTTCTTATTATTTTTATTAAAAAAATTTTAGCAGTTGCAAAAAGAGAATGAATGAGCAAGAATGATTTTGAGCTGGAAGGTCATATTTTCATAATCTTGTGGATTTGATCCGAAGAAGAGCACGATAAGGTCGCAGATTTTGAGCGATCTAAAAAATGTGGGCATTTATCTTTGAAAATTGACAAAAGGCAGACGTAAGTCTACTGCCTTAGAATAAGATTCACTTGACAGTTTTCGCAATTTCTGCACAGATTCAGCTGCGTGTTTGCTTAATCAGCCAAACTCTGAAGACAAATACTTGTACAGTAGAAACCCGCATAAAAGAACCTAGGTTTTTCTCTCGCAGCCTGAATCGGTTCTTAATTAACAGGCTGCTATTCTAAGTTCCAACCTGTAATGTTCTTAACAAGGTTCTTAAAAACGTACAGGCCTCACACATATTAACAATGTTTTCCACCGTAAAAATTCGCACTGACACAGTTAAACCAGCTATATTTTTCATGATAAATTTCAACAAATATATTTTTCTTGTTGCGTTGTCCATTTGGAATGCAACACACCATAACCTGATTTACTTTAAGCTGGTTTGATTTGCCTGTGTGAATAGGGAATAAGAATACCAGTCTATTTTTTCATATACAATTTTAAGAACCTTTCCAAGTTTCAGCTTCTTTGAATCTCTTATTAAAGGGGTTTAAAAGATTAAATTTCAGCCTCGAGGTTCTCATAAAAACAGGTTCTTTAATGCGGGTTTCTACTGTACGCTAACTGTTTCATCACGCTACTGGTCGAATATCAGTTCGCTTTGCTAGCAGATTTCATTTTAGTCCAGACAGCCGTACAATTTTTGTGATGAAGCGGTCACAGTGTAAACGCAACCTTTTTCCGCGCGAACTTTTGTGCTTGTCCAAGTTTATCCAATAGAGGGCAAAAAGTCTGACGACGGGTAAAACGTGAATTTTAGGCAACGGCAAAAAAAGCGGGGTGAACAGGAAGCAACACAGTAGCGGGACTCATTCGAGCAGTTTTGTTATCGATCTGTAGATTTTTTAACACATCTTCGTGGAAAGGGAATCGAATCTAACAGTCAATCTTACAACATAAAAATTAAATGCGCTTGATTTATATTTAATGTATTTCTCATCAGACGTAAACAATATCTAATACAGCAGTCCCTTTTCATACTTTTCCGAAACCGTCGAAGAGAACGCTGGTATATGTTAGCTGCATAATTTCCCAAAATCGTGAGACAGTCGATTTGATGTCATTTCAATTGTTGGCAAAACTCCTGAGATATTTTAGAAATTGTTTACTTTTTAAACCTAAGTCGGGGGCCCCCATATTTTTGCGTGATGCGTTATTGGCCATATTTTCGTGCGTGAAATTGTGAAACCTCGATTTTTTATGCGTGATTTCGTGAATTAAGATTCCTGCGTGAAGCGTGAAGCATGAGTTTTCCTTGCGTTATGTCGTGGAAAGGCTTTAACTATCCGTGAATTCGTGAATGAAATTTTGAATGATAATTTAAAAAATTGCCTCAATTTGGTGCGTAATGAACCAATAAAAGTTAAATATCAGACTAGTATTTTTGATTCACTGAGTGGTTTGATTGCGCGTAAGTATGGACACAACAACAGTAACCAATTTGACCAATACAAATGTGCAGCTCCAACATTGTATGTTATGTGGAAACCATTGTTTATATGAAAAAGACCAGAAGACAGAAGGATATAAAGATATTTAAGTGAAGCCATTTTGTCAAAAGAATATTGACGTTAACTGTACGACGAAACATTTAAACATTGTACTCTGATTAATAGATTTCGACTCTAAAGGCTAAAATGAATGACAATTTGGGAGGAAAGATTATTTCGAGGATTGTACGGGAAAAAGGCTTAATTTAGCTATTTGTTCAAGAATTGCGTGCTCTTTTACTGAGTTACTTTTACAAAAAATATTTAAAAGCAGGAAGAGATTGTTATATTTAAAAGAGGAAGAGATCGTTTTTTTGTCAAAGTAGACGATATTTTGTAGAAATGCTCAGTTGAGAGATTTTAAGACGAGTTTTTGATGATAAGGCTTTGAACAACAGCTGGTGTCTTTGAGAAAATCGAAGAATTTATGATGAGGAGTGAGGAGTCTAGTGATATTCTTTGTTAAAAGTGGTTTTTGGCGTCAGGTCAAGATGTTGTTATTTTGCAGATGTTCACGTTGTTTCTGCTGGATCGAAAAGACCCTTAATGGTAGGGCCGCCTGAAGAACATAATACACCAAAGAAACATAAAAAGAGACGATAGGAGCGTGTTGCTTTTCTCAAAGTTCTTTGATTCGTTGCTCGAAATCAGCTTGTTCGCTAAATAAAGGCATGGCAAAGCATGGAAGAGAGAAGATTTCTTCAAATTATTTTTTGAGACTCTAGAACCAGCGTAAATTCTTGGTCAATTGTTGAACTTTCTAAGCATTCTCGCTTGTCATTAGAGAGTTATTTAGGTATAAAAACTGAATGCGTTAGCCGTTTGAATTCCACTCTCTAGTTGTAGCAGCGAGTTTGGCGACAAGAATCTTAAACATAGCTTAAAAGGGAAAATGTTGGACTAGAACGATTTAAAAGAACGAAAAGACAAGAGGCATTCTTTATTCTATTAAGAGACATGAAGAGGTTCTGTCAGTGATTTTTCTTTTGCCATTAAAGAACGACCCAGCAATTTTCAAAGAAAGTCTCAGCTTTGTAGGTTTTGCAATTACTAAAGAGAACCACAAAACTACGACCAATATGACCTCAAGAGCTACTGTTTGTGTAACCGAGGTATTTTGTTACTGGCAAGACCATCTGCAGTATTGAATGCGCTGTGTAGACCAAGTTAGGGACACTATGTTGTTGGCCAACTGCCAAAAATTGTTTGTCACAAAAGTTGAACTGTTTTCAACCTTCAAATATCGTTGGTGAATTCGCTTAAGTCCCTTGAGAACAAACAAATACCTCTAACCGCCGCCAAATTCGCTCGAGAACTCTGCAGATGGAAACCGTCCTTTATCTTAATCTCTCGTAATCCCCTCGAAGTTAAAATGTATCAAAAATATTTCAATAGTTTCGAATTTTGTGTATTTTGTATATGAATCGTTCTTACATTTGGAAGAGTTTTGTTCAGTTGGAATATTTTTATGATCACAAACATGTTTTTGACTTTGTCTCCTTCTCGTTGGATCGTATGATTTAGCAAAAAATTCTTTTGCTGCAAAGTCAAAGTCACACCTAACAAAAGGGCTTTCCTATGACGTCATCTCATGTTTTCTGTTGATTTATTCCCTGATCTTACTCGAAAAGATGCATAGAAGGAGGTTCAATACTCATCCTTACTCAGTATTGGGTAGCATAGTGATAAACCTCTTTTAAACAGAACCATTTAAAGAAGGGCATTTCTAAATCCGTCCAGTTTTCATTAGTAACAAATTCGCGTAACGTTATGTAGAAAGAGTTGACTGGCGGGCAGTGCCGGCCAGTAGCTATTTGACGTGAATTGTGTAGATGTGAATGACTAAAGGGCATCATATCTGAACGGTTTAGCAAGCTATAGACAGCGATCAACTGAAACACAACAACAGCAACAACAAAAGCAGCGCCAAGAAATCAAAGGACATCATGTGGAAAGACAGAATCCACGCTGGGTTTAGACATGAAGACCAGTAAAGGTTGTTGAGAAATTGTTTCTAAGCGAAGATCTGAGACATTATCAACACAATAAACTTGCAATAAATCCTCTTCAACTATTTTGTTTCTTGGAAAGCCAATTCAACCGTTTATTAGCCTCATGTTTATTAGCCTCATGTTTGTCTAGGCAGATGTTTATTAGGGGAAACCGTTTTTTGCTACTGCTTTCCCAGAACAGGTACATATGTTTTTCTTGATTGATTTCTTGTTCTCATATTTTTGCAGAAACATGCAAAAAATACCTCGTAAGAATTAACAATTATTTTCAGAACCCAATTTATTGCCATGATATGCTTGAGTATTTGACTTGGCGTTTGAAATGTTGTGCTTTTTTGGAAGTATTTGAAAGAAAATGCTAAGATTACCTTGCATAAAAATGTTATACCATCATAGGGTTAAGAAATCACTTTATTGATGCAAAACTGATTTTTTGACTTCGTGGTTGCAAAATGATGTTTCAAAATATTTAGAAAATTTGGTTGGCATGTTTGCATGAAACGATCTCACGACAGCTAACATTTGTTTTTCAAACGAGAACAGACAGATTGCCAATTTTTGTGCGAATACTGTTATTTATTGAAGTAAAAGGCAACTGGTGAGGCACTTATGATTCGTGAAAAGAATAAATATTCAGTTATTTGTTTCAGCTAATATGAACCTACCTATCTTTTGGCAATATTAATCAATATATGTACAGCTAATTAATAAGCTAATTAACGCCAACATATTAAATTAAAAAACCTTGAGTTGCAATTTTTTGCCTACAAAAACTTAAAAATCTACAAATACCGAAAACCTTTGAAGATGCTACACGTTTAGGGAGGTTTAGTATGGATCTTGGCAGAATGTTATTGCTTTATTGGGATAATACCGTCCAAGAGTTTAAAATGAGATTGTGAATTCTAAATTGTGCCCGATATGAGGGGGGGAGGGGGCTGCAGCTCTTCCAGTCCCTATGTTCAAGAGTATAACAGACTTACTTAAAACTATCGCAAATTATCGCCAATCTACAATAGAAGAAAAGAAGAAACCATCGTCGAAATGTGATGAAAATTTGCCCTTTGGAATCAAGCCAACTCCCAACAATTTTTTTAGCTTTTACCCTTATTTCAGCTGTGGTTGTATCGTGAAAACAGTGAACATTTTCATCATGTTATGTTTCTAAAATGCAAGCCATAGAAGAAGCCAGTTTTTTTTAATTTTCGTTTTGTACAATTGTATAACCTTCAACCTGCCACTAAACTAACCATTCGTTCTAAGACTGTATGCTACATTCAACAACGAGGTTTACATTTTGAATGCAACTAACGATACGAAAATGAAATGATTTTTCAATCGATATTAATCTTTCACTTTACAGTTGGATGCCTTATAGCTAATTACATTTTTGCTTATAAAAACAAATTTTTTACAGCTAGCCATAATAAATTATAATCAATACACAAAAGATGCATAATAATGGATGATGTTCCCTCGGGGAGCATTATCATATCCTTCCATCCTAAGATTGTCCCTCTGAAATGGATGGATCTTTAAACAGAAAACCTGCAACTTGGCCCAAATTTCTCTGTAAAATTTGCAAATAGTTACGTTAGTACCACCAACAAACCTGCGATTGGGTCATTTCCTTAAGAAACCTGACTGGGAATAAGTAATTTGCTCATTCTGCGATTTTTATGCTTTTCAGAGCCTCCGATAAAGGGGGAGGGGGGAGATACAGGTGATCCCTACTTAGTCAAAGCTGAAAAAAGAAAAATGGCTATGCTATCGGCCTCTGTGTCAAAATCAAAAGTATTTCCTAGATGATATGGAGACATTGATGATTTCCATTCCCAATCCTGAGTGAGGGAGTTATTGGTAATGGGTGGTGTGGAAATACAAGTTGTTTTATTCTATCCTCCAATCTTTGGGTGGTGCGTCCTACGTAGCCAGAATCACCGTTGTTTATGAATTTACGTGCCAGTGTGATTCTGGCTACGTAGGACGCACTACCCAAAGATTGGAGGATAGAATAAAACAAGGTGTTCCGCCTAGTATTAGAAACAAAACTCGTCCCCAAAGAGAACAGCCACCTCGGTCTTGCAAATCTAAAATTACAACTAAAACCTGCGATTCTGCTATCGGGCAGCATTTACTGGAAAACCCAGATTGTGCAAAAAACTATAATGGCGACATGTTTCGGATTATTGGTAAAGCCCGATCGTCGTTACAGCTAGCAGTTTTGGAATCTATCTACATAAGCACGAAAAAACCGCTATTGTGTAGACAAAAGGAGTTCATTTTCACCTTGCACTGATTGGTCAACCTCAACAGTCATGTGCTCGTGTTTCTGATTGGCCTATTTCGATCCACAACTGGGTATATATATTTCCTAGCGTAGAGTTTTCGATCTATGTTCTGACGTTTTAAACTCTGAAGAGTGTCAGACGAAAAACTTCAGTTTACTAAATGTTTGCTTTTTTCAAAGCCATTTTAAAGCTTTTAATAAAGTGCAACACAAAGAACTCTTGAATTAAATCTAGGCGGAAGAGATTCAACAGCACTTCACAGACGTATTGGGGACAAACGGCGTGCATGCGGGTAGGTAAGGAAACACGTGCATACAGCAGCATAAAAAGAGGAGTTCGACAAGGATGCGTTCTCAGTCCAGATCTTTTCAACTTGTACAGTGAGATTATTCTCTGAGAGATAATGCCATTGGAAGAAATACTAGTTGGCGGTCATAACATTAAAAATTTGAGATATGTGGACGACACTGTCCTGATTGCAGAATCTGAGGAACAGCTTTAGGTGATATTAAATTCAGTGGTTCATGCCAGCGAAAAGAAAGGATTTTCGATAAACTGCAAGAATACAGAATGCGTAGTAACTAGTAAACTGGAAATAAAAAAAAGCTTTACAGGTACAGAAATTCAATTGCCTTGGCAGCATTTAAACTGAAGATGGCAAATGCGATCGACACATTCGAAAACGAATGGGAATGGCAAAAGATGCATTTGAATAACAGTCTATCCTCACATACAGTAGAGAGTGCTGGACAAAATCGAATGCTTCTCATTAGAATGATGAAAAAGTATCTTGTACTGAAAGGAAGACAAATCAGGAAGTGCAGGGGACATGGGGAAGTGGAGGATTCCCCCTTTAAAGTTTTGTTTCCTTACATAGGTTTTCTTTAACAGTTCTCTTTTAGGCTCATTTCTCCGATCACATTTTACCCTTACCCTGCCTGTCCAAGAAAAACGTTGCTGCCCCCCTACCATGTTTACCTGCAATCCCCCGTGAAAAATCAACTTGTCGGTTTTGTTAAACCTAGGGGAACAAGGAAAGTTTTGTGACATTGCATAGCACTCTCCTAATCATGCACTTTCGGTTGGTTATCACAAAGTGGCTGGTATTGGCAGGAGCCCCTTCAGCCCACTACAATGCCTGCTAAAAGTACTTGGAACACCCGGCTATTTTCGCTGCATTTGATATTTTTCATTCCTTTCTTGGAAAAAATTACTACCTCCGCCCCCTTCCCTCTAAAACAATGTTGATAACTTAGAGAAATATCATAAGAAAAGCGCAAAAGAAAGTGCCTCCTAAAATCCTAACCCGTTTGATAGTAAACCAACATTGTTCTGTAGGGGAGAGGGGGGTGATTGATTTTGATTGATTTTGACCTTGGAAATTGACGTCAGTGTTCCAAGACTTTTGGCAGGCATTGTAGATACAATTTTCATGTGACAGAATACATGAATTTTGAAATTTTTCTACCATAGACATAGGAATCAGGGGCACAAGGGTTAGGGGCCCTCCCCCAAATTTTCAAATATTCAGGTAAAATGTGGACTTGCTACAAGTCTCTCTCTTTAAAGAAAGGGAAAAAGGAAAAAAAGAAAGGGAAGGAGAGACTTGTAGCAAGTCTCTCATTCCCCCCAATTTTTTCTTTTTTCCCTTTCTTTAAAGAGAGAGACTTGTAGCAAGTCCAGGTAAAATGCCCCTTTAATAATGCTTCCCCCCAACTTTAATAATTCTTCATACGTCCTTGTTTGTTACTCTACCTTCTTTAACAGTTTCCTCTTCAGCTGGCAAAATTTTCCTCCGCAACCATGTCAAAAGAAACCTGTGACATTTGCTGTTTCCAAACATTATGATGCAGGAACTTGTGATGCCTGAGCTTAATAACATAATAAGTGTCCATTGATGTGCGATAACAAGGTCCGAGTTTGAAGGATCCTGTTTTCCATATTTGTAGTAAGCCAAAATGCAAGATGTGACGTTGAACGGGATGTAGCATAAACAGACATCTATCAGCACCACATGAATTGTTTTAATGGCAGAAAGTTGCGAATATTTGGTCGTTTGTTGGGATCTGTCGATTTTAGTGATCGTTGAAGGGGGCTCCAGTTTGGTTTGCCGGCCTCTCGCTGTTGCATCACGCTTGTTAAGTGTTTTAATCATTTTGATGTACAAAATCATCATAGAGCTTATGTAGAAGGTTGTCATAACAAGAAGAACAATTTGGAAAGGTAGCGAGGGGTGCATAGCATTTATGTATGTGATGCCAATTGATGACATTGCAGAGCAGAAGATCCAGAGCTTCATCTTAAACTTGCTCTGCACTTGCTGGTATTGGTTAGGCTTATGAATATGCAGAAAACGATCGACTGAAATGCACATTAGAACAAAGCTAGAGAAGGAATGAAACAAAATTATCGCCCCATCTACAACTTTGGCAAACGTGCATTCTTTTTTAAAGTCTGTCAATATTAATATCTCAAGCAATGGCAAGGTGAATATTCCTGAACAGATATCAGAGAGGCTCATTATGAAGATGAATCTGTTCGAAATTGTTTGAAGTTGTTTCGTCTTTTTCAAGGCAAAGATCAAGACAGAGTTAGCTACTAAGTTGCAAGGGATGAACAAAGCAACGATAATCGCCCATGTCAAACCGTTTGACTTTTGAAACATTAATGCGACAAGGCTGTTGCACTGGATAATGTTGTTGTCACCCAAAGCGCCACCCATTTTTTTCTGTTTGCAAACGTCGCCAGTAAATGACCAATGCTTCTTGTATCTTTCTGGCACACTTATTTAGAAATATCTGTTTCTACAACTTTATTAATGAATTTGTCATATATGCTGTAACTTCGATGCAATTAACTCACTTTGAAAAAGGTAGCATTTTCAATGAATAGCCGCTGTTTGCTTTTCAAACGTAGCATGTCTTGCAAAAACAAGCTTCTTTGCCAATGCTCTCCAACACTTTAAGCTCTTTTTAAACCAATCCATCCATACAGTCTATAACACCATGGCTCTTCTCGGTTCTAGAGAGGAATTGCTTGGTCGCATAATCAAAAATGAGAATCATCGAAAAGCGCAGTTGTTCATTAGTGTTGTCCATATGACCTGTTGAAACCTCTGTTCGCAGCAACAGCTGTCTGATTTCGTTTATGCTAATACTTTGACTAACTGTTAGTACTTCAAAGGTCCATTTCAAATATGGCGCAAATGGTAGTAAACGAGCCAGTTAAAAGTGTGTTTTTTCTATTTAAAGTTTGGAGCTGATAAGCCGGTTTTAGCTTCAGAAGATAAACTTTTGTCTTCACCTTTATAGTTGATTCAACTAATGAGTGGTCAAACGATTCCATATTCATTCGCTACCAGATAAAAAGATCAACATAGGTGGAGAATGGACAATCGGGATTATTTGGTATACAGCCAATTAGCACGTGCTTGTTTGACAAACTTGCTGTTTAAACATGACTTAAGTGCCTGGCAATGCATATCAAATAAATTGAGGAGCATAATTTAAGTTTCTATCCTGTTTTAGATGCGGAGGCGCAACTTCGAATGTGACGTCAGACGACTAGTGATTGGAGTTTAATGCGTTTTGACGGTCAGCATAATTTCGTTGTTCATTAATAGATTTGGAGTTACGTTTAGTTTTGATAGTTCTAATACGATTCAATTGCATCAGATAGAAGTGTTTCAAAAGTTCCATAATGCATCGCTCGAATTACAGTTATTCCGAGAAGCTTGTGGACAGCCAACCACGCGAAGACCGCCGTGTTCCTTGGGAAAGTTTAAATCACGTGCCATTTTCCGAAAGGAGTGAATGCAGTGGTTTCTCAAGGAGGCCCTCTCGAAAACAGTACTTATGGCAGTTGCTTGCAGAGTTTGAAAAATGCGCCCAACAGTCAGAAGATGTTCTATTGATTAGAAAGGTGTGTTTTTAATCAGAAGTTTTTTTAATTGCATACTTTTAATATGACGATATTATTCTTTATCTAGTATGTTTCCAAATATAAGCAATGAGAAAGTTTTTGTTGATTTTTAAGAAAATTGTTTTCGGCTGTCAGTTAGTTAACCTTCCTTTTTCCACGTTAGGCCTTTCCCTTTATCTCTCCCTTGTTTTCCCGTTCTTAAAATGGTTCACTTCATTTATTGAAACTCCCCCAATTATGCCAATAAACATTCTTCTTTTATAAAATGATGATTAAATATAATTTTATCAGTGTTTATTTCAAGAGGACGTTTTTCTTTTGATTGATTCGCTTTAATCTGCTATTTTTAATGGTCTCTTGTGACATGCTTCCTTACGTTTTACTTGGACTCGCTCTACAAAATAAATGCACAATGTTGTGGAGTCTTTTGTTTACCTTGGGGCTGTGGCTTAGAATGCTAGGGTAAGGTGTGTGGTTTCTTAGCGATTCTATTTTCTTTGTTTAACTATGGGCTCGACATAGCGTGTGTCTACAGATTTCCACATTTTTTATTGGGTTATTTTACACCATGGCTTTATACTACTTACGTTTTGGCTCATGCTGATGATGTGAAACAAAATGATTCCCATGCCCTTACTACGTTTTCGAGTCCACAAAGCCCATATTCTGGTACGCTTGCCCTTAGGGAATACCGTTTTGATAAACAAAGAAAAGGCTCCTTATTTACAGAGGACCCCTCTCTGTTTATAGTTGCCTAAATAATAGCCACTGAGAAATTAGCCACTTTTTGGCACTAATTGGACACCTTTTGGTCAATATGCCTCTAGAGGCCAACAGCATTACACTCTTGTCTTGCCTGCCGTTTCCAACCATAATTTTGATAATTGCTTAATTACTTTTCTAGGAATTTGAGCAAGTGAAAAGAGGCATTGATGAAATCCATTCTCAAATCGAAGATATCAAGTTCGAGAGCAAAGTACGCGAGTTACTTTAATCAATACATCTGTAATTTTAGTTAGTTTGCCCAAAGAAAAAAATGGTTGTGCCATAGGACGACACTTGCTTGAAAATCAGGAGCCCGCTAGCCTGCGTTCGGACTCAGAAGTATCTTACCAGTTCTGGTAAGATACTCACGATTCTTGCGCGCAGGCTAGAGCCCGCTCGAACAGATAGAGACGACAATTTCAAACTCTTTGGGCAAGCAAAGTCATCTTTCCATTTGGAAATTTGGCTAAGTCAAAACAAAAGCTGTTTTTTTAGACAAACAAATTTGGAATCTTTAATGATTCATGCATTTAAGCAGAGAATTTTTCTTACCTGAAATGTTTTGTTTTGTGTGGGTTAGTGAGCGCATCGAAACATGGAGAGTACGCCAAAGGTGCCCATGAAATGTTCAGTTTGCCTTGAATATAAATTTTCTTTCTCCTTACGGTCACTATTCGACATTTGTACTCTGAGGATTATTAGATGGAAAAGAACTTCCATTGCACAGTTATTTGGATTCTCCTATTGGTGCAGTTTTGAAAAGTCCCATTAATTTTTAAAACTTTTGTCTGCCTACTTTGTTTCTACCATAGAGTAACATATCTATATACCTTGTGAGATTACAAGCAAAAAATTTCAATAGCGTTTTAACCAGCAAAAGAATGTTAAACACGAAATTTCTGAGCGTTTCTCGAGAGCTCCAATGCAACGAGTTACACAATTTTATTCAAAGAAAAAAAATTATCCAAAAACAACCCTTCTGGGAAAATCCGAAGTGTTAAAAAACCAGACGAGCGTTCTTGAGTAGCTGGCAAAGCAAGATCGACTTTTGTACTGAATTTTTAGAATCCTCGATGATTTGCATTTGTAGACAACGTGTCGATTTTTCTAAAATTGCCCTGTCTCTTTACTGCTAACGTTATATATTGTGAATCATTAATGATCTTGCAACTTAGGATCATTGAATGATCGTGCCTGTTTTGAAGCTAGAGAGCTTCATTTGTTCGTTAAATCCGTTTTAAAGTTGTTGCTCACTCACCAGTACACTTCTCACGCTGGGCACCAAAGTTCCGCGTCGAGTCATGATAGCTTTTAAAATCCGTTTCATGGTTGCAATCAATCAGTTTATCGAAATATTTTGCAGATATCTGGTGATAAGGTGAAGTTTTTGTCCAAAGACCTCCAAGAAGCCAAAAGTAGCCATTTCAAGTTGCGAGACGAAATTTCAAAGGAGTTCAGGAAAACATACAAAAGGCTAGGGGCTATAGACAAAGACATAGATTTAATCAAATACCGACAAACTATGGCAGTGAAAAAGGTAAGGTAAAGTTTCTTTGACGATGAAGGTTACTTTTTGCAGTCCCCTCAACACAAGCCTTTGAAGAAACTTTGGCGGTACAGAATTTAGATATAGTTTTGAAAACAGCAAACAATTTGAAAAACGCACTAATTATTTATAAAACTGCGTGAGACTTTTAAACATTTCAGATCTTAATTCACAAATTGGTTTACGATCATCAGTATTAATGCATACGGAAGACTTATTCCATCCAGCCTCATAACGGAATATGAACGCGTGCTGATAAAAAATTTCAACCCACCTTTCAGCCAGTAATGGCGATTGTATAGAAAAGCTGCAACCAAAGAGAGGTGAGGTCTGGTAGGCAGAAAGTAAAATTCGAAAAATATTTTCATATAAATACAAGCTAGAAATTATAAAGCATTGTATAGGACGGCCAGATCCAACGTCTCAGCTCTCTCTTCCGATCGCAACAGGTCATCTCTCAACTGTGGAAAACCGTAAATCCTCGAATTAGCCCCCTGGGGGCTTATTTATTTTTTGTATTTTTGGATGGGGGCTTATTCAAGGGGGAGGGGGATTTATACAAGGGGGGTTATAAAATTATTGTAGACATTAAAAAGACATTATTAAAAGACCTCGTTTATTTTAGTAGGAATTTCTTTATGAGCATCTAATCAATTCTTACCAAAAGTATGAATTTGTTGTGGTAATTCAATAAAACGCCATTGGTAAACTCAGATGGCAAAAATCATCCAATTGAGGGGTCCAATTCGAGAATATACGGTAGCAATGGGGGCTTATTCGAGGGAGCCTATTGAAAATTTGTAGTTCTAGGGTGGGGGCTTATTTGAGGGGGGGGGGAACAATTCGAGGATTTACGGTAATTAAGAATTTTACTTTCCATCCAGTCGGCAGGTGGCGGATGCAGAGACAAAGTTGACAGTCGCACGTTAAACTACTGCAGGGGTTTTTGAGGGTGATGCAAGCCCCCCATGAAGTCCTGGGTAAGGTTGCCAGATCGGATTTATAATAGAAGGTCAGACAGATAGGCAACTCAGGTAAAACTGCGCATAAAAAGGCCAAAAAAATTTCCCAAGAATGCACTGTCAAAAAACCTTATTTTGCTAATAGTTAGCTTAGGTGATAATATTTGATATCTGGTTCCGCACTGTGCAATGGTACTCTTTCAATTAAAAATTTGTTTGTTTCTTAGGGTGTTATGTTAAATGTTAAAAGTTTATATAAAACAAAGCAATGCATGTACTCAAAATTTCTGCTGAAAAAGGCCGAATAGGTCAAATTTTGGTAGTAAGCCAAAAACAAGTTTTACAATTTAACTCAATTTAACTCTGAAAAAGGCGAAAGTAGTAGAATTTGGCCAAAAAGGGCCAATCTGGCAACCCTACTTCTGGGCAGAAGTATGGTGGGGGCCCAGGGGGCGAAGCAACCGAGAACCAGAGCAGCGTGGACAAGTTTTACAGGCAAAAGCCCTATAATTTAATCATGTCGATTACTTAAACAACCAATGATGAAAAGAACAACTTAAATACCATAATTCTCAAGAAAGTCTCTTTGGTCTGAAATTTCATTTTCCACGCATTGTCAGCTTCTATGAAGTGCTTGCGTTTGAAATCCGCTAAGAAAGAACAGGGGACATGATAAAATGCAAAGCTGGTAGAAATTCAGACACCTTGCAAATGATTCACTTTGATCGATGAAAGGCCTCAACCGGACATCCTCCTTTGGGAACGGAAGTGGAGACATCAACGAGGTTTCTAGGTCTCGCAGTTATTCTAACGGTGTCCAGTTACTAGTCCGGGACCGGACAAATTTTTATAGCTTTGGCATGATCTGAAACGTTCAGATTGTTCAGTTCTTCAAACAAGCGTTAAGATAACGATAGAAGTTGGGATAACGTTGTTTATACGAGCAGGCCTTAAATGGGTTTCGTGAGGAAGACAGCTGGGATCATATTGGTCACAGATCATCCCTATCTCTATGAGATCATTTATATATACGCAATTGGTTGATCTGATAAATCCACGTGCGCAAAAGTTTTGGCGTCTTGCTTCTGTCTTGCTTCAAGATCCTTTCATGCCGGGTTCACAACCCGGAAATAAGAAATAAATATCATAAAGGCATATGAAAACTGCAATTTTCTGCAATTTTCCGCCACCTTTGAAAAAACTATTGCGATTAGTATTATTGTGGAATCAAACTGAAAAAGATCGACTGTATGCGATGAATAGCTTTTCATGTGAACGCCAGTGTAATCGATAACTAGTTAGTTTGGCTGGCCCTTCTCATCCAAAGAGTTCGTAAGCGCCATAAAGCGTAAAACAAGTTGAAGCACAATTTCTTTACGTTTTTTTGACAGCATCAACTGGATTTGGAGACACTAAAATGGGAAATGACGTCATCAAGATCTCAAGAGTCCCCAGTCTGCTCATCACGGATTGACATCGGCTGCTTCAAAACACCAATCAAAAAGGATTCTACAAGTTTTGGGGAATTTTCTCTTGTTTAAATTGATAGTGTGGCTTATGAAATGCATAAATACGGATAATTATATTGGCATACTCTGAACACTGTTAGCAATATTGAGGTAGAAAGCAAATTATACAATTTTATAGCTTGAACATAGAGATACGACAAAAGTTGATCAAAGTGTATGGAATTTGTAGTATCTGTCATTTAAACAACCTGACTTCGACCACGAACTTGTTGAAATCCACTGTCTGCAGGCGCAGTTTAAAGGACCACAGATTTTCTCAGATTTTTTATCAAAAGTTGACAATTTTTTGGAGCTCTGTGAACGGTTCGTAAGGTTCTGTGTTGGAATATTCTAGAGAAATCGGAAGAAATCTCTTAGTGGGATGACAGAGGACTGGAAAAATGGACCGACAGACAGAGGACCGGTTTGCGCCATTTGTGTCGAAGGAATTTAAACCAATGAACCCCTCCACCTACTTAGAGTCAATTCTAAACTCGTACTTGATACCGACTCTACTCCCTTTGTAGAATTTTTTCTTACAGTAGTGGCGTAGGAGGATTAGAATTATAAGAAGGACAGCATTGTTTAAGAACTAAATAAACAAAAGGAACTGTTCATTAGAAAAAGAAGAATTTTTAAAATTTTCAGAGAGAAACGAGCCCCCCCCCCCACCCTGGTAGCTCAGGCAATATAAAAGCAATCTTTCAATTTTTAGCTATAAATCTAACGTGATACGGAGGCCTACATATCAGTTCTGTTTTTGGATGTTTTTTATTTTCAATGGATGAATCGCAACATTACGGGGCGAAGGGGACGTCTTCACTAATAGTTGACATCAAAATTGAGCTTTCCTCCTTTAAAAAAGAAAATGTCAGATGTCAAAATCTCCCAATTCCTTTAGAAAGTTCAGTCCCACCCTCTGTTCCTATATTTGATTATGGCATGCTTATGTCAGTAGGATTTTTACGTAGAATTATGGTCGATATTTGTAGGCAATGTGATAGGCTTCAGTCAGGAACCATTGGTGTAACCCTTTTGGCGTAACCTATTGGCGTAACCCCAGACGGTTGATGCATGCAATCTGCGAAAACCCGTTTATAAAACGACTTGGCAAAAAAAGTCAAAAAGTGCTAGATCAAACCACTTCCTATTCTTCCTATTGAGTCACTGTCCATATAATAAAACTAATTGAAGGAAATAACAAACATTCTTTACTTATATCAATCATTGGTACTAGGTGGGGAGGGAGGGGCGGAAAATACTTGAGCCCAAGAAACTGTGAATCCCTTATAAATTTTTTTTGGATACTTACAAACTTACAAACACTGGAACTTACAAACAAGCGTAAATATCCTCTTTTACTCTAGAAACAACTGAGGTAGTAGCTTAAAATTTTACATTGCAAGAATAACAGGACTCCCAAGAACCATCTTAAAAATTGAGATGTGCCAATACACCAAAATAAATTTTTTGGAAAAAGAAAATACACCTCGATAGAAGGTATGAACTCTTTTCAAAAACATTTAAAACTACGTTGTTTGGCAACAGATCGCATATCAAACACTGAACCTTTATTGAATTTAATTATGTTTTAGATTATTTCAATATTTCTTAAATTAGATATTAAAACAATAAAGATACTCATTTATGACAAAGCAAGCAAAAAAATTTTCAAAAGACTTTGAACGAACCTTTCTATTGGGTGTGCAAACTAGAGATTACAAAATAAATTTTGCTAAATAATCTGACAGGATTTTTTGTAACATTGATTGGGTAGTGAAATATAAATAAATAGGGAGGAACGCTACAATGTTTATTGCCAGAATATTTTGAAACTGTTTGAAATAACGGACCGCGTATGAAGAGATAATTCGACGGAAGAAGGACGACCGAAAGATGATAACCTTAGGCTGAAAAATGTGTTGGGTTGACTAGCCTGGTACATGATACTAATACAAGCATAATTGTATCGACTTTCTCAACTGGTAGATTCCTGATGCCTTCTAAAACTCCTACAAAAACACTTGGAAATTCAAATAAGCGTTGTTTGAATGTAAAAAGTAGGTATGTATTTTTTGCACGTTGGAATAAGTAACTTAAAGAGTCAAGAGTAATTAACACTGCATAACATTTCATGACTAGCTAACATTATATCACACCAAAGTCATATGATGACACCCTTCCATTGCATTATGAAAGTGACGAAGAAGCAGGTCAACTAAAGGGCCTCTCCAGGCAAAAATTTATTCATTTTCATTTGTCAAAATTCCAAAACAAGGCTGGAGCTTCACAAACGAAGGCAAGGTCATTCGAAATACAAATTGACGACAAAGCTACGTCATAACGTCACCAAATCAAAAATTTATTTTTTCATAATTCCGTTCCAATTTCAAAATTCAAGGGGTTGTACCTGAAAAACCATACAAAATATTAGAAACTTGTAACAAATTTGTAATCATGAAGTAAAGTTTCAAAAGAGTAGTTGATGATAGGGCAATGCAAGATTTGGCTGGAGAGGCTCTTCAATGCAATCAAGCTACAGAATGTTATTACTTTACTTATTACTGATCATTACACGAACAACTAATATTGCTTTCGTCTCTGTTTCTAGGACTTAAGTGGATTAGCAGCAGAGGTGCCTTTGATATTGCTAGCATCTATGGGTTGTGGTTGTGTGACCATAATTCAGTGACATTATTGAGCCTGTTGAAGATTTTGAACACTGGAGATGCTTTCCAACAGTGAAAACGATTAGTTAACACAGAAAGTTTTTTGGGGTCTAGCAGTCATTTCACATCTCAATAAGACCTTCTGAAAATTATTTGCAAGTAAGATAATTTGTATAATGTGGATTTAATCAGCCTCCTCTTCAACTGCTGCTTCGATTTCCATTGGTGAATCGCCCATCATATTTCGCATTATATCATCTGAAAAGAAAAATCATTCTTGTGCTCTTAACCAAGTCTTTAATCAGGCTTTTATACTTCAAGTCTCTTTTGACTGCACGAAAAAATCTACTTCTAACTAAAAGATGCATTATCTCATCTAAAAACCTGGACACACAAAAGAAACACAATAGAATCTAATAGGGTGTTACAGTTAACGTGAAAAGAGTCATTTCAATGATAAGCGAAATCCCACTTCCAAAAGAAAATAAATCGAGAATACTAACACAAATAAGAAAAAATTTCAGTTGCTAAAGATCCATTTTTTGCAATAAATATCAACATGAAATGCTATTAGTTGCACCATAGGTTATGACAATGACAGTAGATAAATTTTAAAAAATATTATCTAAAATAGTTTTACTTTAGCCCCTGGCAGCACATTTTTCAGCTTAGTTTTAAAAACAGGTTTTAACTTAAAATGCATCAGTTTAGAACAATTTCGTTGTCAACTTTTGGTTAATTGGTAGACTTCATATGGCCTTTAGACAGCAAATGGAATCATACAAGATAGAGGCTGATCTTAAATAGCTGCAAAAGAAAATCCTTTCTATCACCTTTCTATCTTCATGTGTAAAGATAAAATGTTGATGGACCCAATAATTCTTAGAATAATGAAATTGCCATAACAATGGTATATTCCTGGAGATATATCAACTTCTAGAATGAATAATTAAACCACAAGAACATTATAACCTAAGAATATAAAAACACGCAATCATTGTTGTATCAGGAGAAGTTTATAATTTGGTTAATTTCATACCTAACATTCCAACGAAACCATCTTTTTTCTTGCTTTCTTTGGGTGGCACTCCAAAAAATACCTGACCTATTTTGTCTAGATACTAGAAAATAAATATGACAGCAATGAGGTCTTCTTATACCATTGATATATATTCAGATAAAAAGATATGGAAGAAATACATGGAGTACAATTTCATCTGACAAAAATTAGATATTACATCAAATATGCTTCACTGATATTGGTGATAATTAGGTGGTAGCAATTGATTAGCTGCTAACATATGACATCTACGAAGCTGATGTGATGGGTTTTGATGGTCTTGGGATCATTTTGTGATAAAGATAGGAAAAGCTATTGCTCCAATAATAAATAAGATTTTACCTCAAAGTACATGGGGTCTCTTGAAATTGATGGATGATACTGTTCACAAAGTGTGGTGAATTGTTGCAATGATCCTCTGATAAGAAAAAAACAGGCAATGCTATTCTGATATATCATACTTTTTAAAATAACAGTACATCTGAAAAAATGTATTTCGACAAAATTACTTCATATATGTGCAAGTTTCTAACTGTAAGATAAGAAATAAACTGTAAGATATAAATTTTCCTTGAAACAACAAATATATGCTATTATGCTATATATTAGTTTTTGCTACTATAACAATCAAATTATTGCTCTTTTTTAACAATGATCATAAGACTGAAACTTTACCTATATACCATTGATAAAACAATGTTAATGATAAATTTGTCATCAGTATAAAATAAAGGCACACTCACATCTCAACAGCTAACAGTAAGAAAGCAATGAAGTTCAGGAGTGGCTGCTTGTAAGGTTTGTTACATCTTTTTATTCCAGGGTGTTTTCCAGTGTATGTAAAGAAAAGGATGTTTGCAGCTGGAATTCTTTGTAAGCACAGAATCCTGCCAAAATTTAAGTAACAATATTTATTAGCTATTGCTCTGAGTATGAACATGCTATTAAATTGGGTATGGGGTATTGAACTAAAATATACCAAAAAACAACTTTTTATAGCGAACAAAAAATTATGTTAAGATTGCAATACTTGATAGAGTTAAGAAATGTATTGCAGATTTGGTGCATACATAACAAATTGCTGTGAGGCTTAAAACATCCATTAACTGGTGCCAACCTACATGCATAATCACATCCTGGTTGCAAAGGAAATAGCTAGTCACTGACTTTTTTGACTGGGGACAATGTGAAGAATGAAATCTTACAAATAAGATGTAAAATGATAGAAAAAAATGGTCCCTCCTTCACCTTTAATTCACTTTAAACATACTGATAAAGGCTTCAATAAACAAAAATAGTTTTTTCCAATACAAACAATATGCTTTTTTTTAAGTGAGGTCTTTGTATTATGGCTTACATACATGCTTACGTATGGCTTTCTAAATAACTGGTTAGAGAAAAACCTTTTTGATTGTTCATATACTTGTACCTTCCAATCTCCGTAAATATCTAAGTATAAATAAGAAGAAGAAAAATGCTTAAAACTTACTGCAAAACAGCTTGTGTAACAAAGAGATCAATTTCTCCTGGATAGCCTGATGTCACATGATATTCAACTAAAAAGGCTCCATAGAGTTCACCTTCTTGACCATGGGCAAAATGCTGCCTTGCTGAGCTATAATTTCTTTCTGCAAGAAATAGACACAATAGGTTATAGCTATAATTGTGATATAATAAGAAATTCATTGATTAAAATATTTAACACTAACTCTTTTTCTAGGTAGGCATTATTCATTTCTAGGTAGTCCACAATTATGCTAATTTTCACTCTTGAGAGACGTTTTTCTACCAAAGGTTTGAACAAAACTGTTAGTTATAAAGCATTCTACCTCTTCCACGAGATGGGTGAAACACAAAAACCACAAAGGGATAGTGCTCTACATAAATGACATGCTGGTTGTATCTTTCTATCCTTTATTGGTTGAGAAATTAGCATTTGAGATCAATCATTTAGGTTCAACAAAACTTAATCTTTTAAGCAAAAATCTCTGTTTAAAACGGTTACCTTCCCAATACTTGATGGCAACTGCTTGGTGAATTTTTGGATGTCCAAATTTGTACCCTGTATTGGACCATCTACAAAAAAGTAAATGGACCACCTTCAAGTAGTTATTGCAGGCTTGGAGTTCAATTCATTTGATTTGGATATCAACAAAGGCATGGCTAACACCGCTTTTTTCATTTTAAATCATACTTGTAGAATTGTTTGCATGAACCAACAGCTTCCCTTAATGTGTCTCGTATGGAAGAGACAAAGCACACCAAGAAATACAATTAGCAGGGAAGTAACTTCAATCAAATCAACAAATATGGGTTATTAAGTTGCTAAACACAGTTGCTATTTGAACAAATAGTTTTGCCATTGCATTGATGTAGCCATAATTTATAGTATTGATATATCTATGATACCAAAGTGACACTGATACAGATTAATTAGAATGAATATACCAAAAGAGCAAAAATGGTGATGTTATTGAGATTATAAGTAGAATATTATCTGCTCATCCCACCGTTTTTCAATTGAAATCAAGCAAAATATGAATGAAAAAAACCAACCATTCTAGCTAGGCCAAGCTAGCTTTCTAAGTAATGGACTTGTAACTTTATCAAAATGAAAAACAATATATATATGTATAATACTCACTGTAAAGATTCTCTCAAAAAATCCTCTCTTGATGGTGAGTTTTTCTCACAAAGGTTGAGAATTTCAACGATTCGATCTTATAGAAATAGAAAAAATCATTGAAAAGAAAATGTCTCAATGGAGCAACAATGCTGGGAAAAACAAGCCATCAATAAAAATGTTTTGCATTAAGAATTAAGAATTAGAAAGATCAACTAATTTGAATAAACAAGACTGCAAGAACTAGCAAAAACTGATGAATGTTAAATGGGAGTTTTACAAAAGGAGACCTACCAACATTATCATCATTAACATTTACTTTTCCTTCATTGTAACACTTTATCATGTCTCTTGCTAAATCTATTCCATTTTCATGCTGAAAAGTAAAAAAATCTAAATACCAAAACTGAAAACACAATTGAATAAGGTAGATTTTTCATTTCATTTTCATCAGAGCTTTAGATAATGGGACAACAAAATCTTCTATTCTGCTGGAAAAGCTTAATGTACCTAAAATATAGTTCCAATTAGGGGAAGGATATCCTAACAGTGATATTAAAGAATCTTTGATATACTTCCACAAAACTGCTTTTAGCTTCTATGAAAATGGGATTCCAACCATAAGAAATTTTTGACAAAGCCCTTGGTGAACTGCCTTCAACAAAAGAAAAGCTAATACTAGCTTGTGATGCTTCGCATTCAAGACTTTAAACATAAATAATTCCCAATATTTGTCAGGTTATAATGGATCAAAAAATTGGATCTAGGGTTGCACAATAGTTTTAAACAAAAAGCATTATAGGGAAAAAAGAACGTGTATATATGTCATGTTTATTATGGTACAACTATGTGTATCATTGTTTGATAAACAACAAGTAAACTGTACCTGGGATTGCTTTAGTAGCAATGTGGCACAGCGATAACATATTTTGACAGCTTCTTCAAAGTTTCCTTGCACCTTGTATCTAAAGTAATGGTGAAATTGCAGCTTATAGAACGTTCAAGTACGTTTAACAGAAAAAATAACATAATTTTATTCTTAACATTAATAACAAAACTTTTTGAAGTAATACACAAAGATGTCATCATCAACAGCATTTAAACCATCGTTGTTCAAGAAGATCACAAAGCGAGCAAAAAATTCATGACAAATGATAGAACATGACAAATGCCAACAACAAGAAGTTCTTTCATTTAAGAAAGACTTAAACAGTCTGCTCAAGAGGCTTCAATTTCCCAATTTCCAGACTGGAAACTTGCCTGCAATGTTATGCCCACGCACTCAAATTTTCCATCTGCGGGCTTTTGTATATTGGTCCAGCATAGTCCCTATTTAATAACATTTTACATTACTAACCATGCAAATTATTTAAGTGCGTGATTTCAGGCGCGCAGTAGCAAATTTTCAAAATGAACTTGTCTTTGCAAGAAACAAAGTTTCTAGTCTGGCCCAATTTGCACCTTGTTGTTGACACTGTAACTATTGTTGGCTCCAATACTGCTGTGGAGAGGGGCATTCAGTGTCTTAACTCTTCTGCTTAATGATCATTGGCTAAGCATGAGCAATGAGACAATGGAAAATTTGATGATAGTAAAGAGAATGATAAAGTTTGGACAGATAAAGGAAAAAAGGCTTCTGTTGAGATGTATCCTGAGAAAAGGCCCAGAACAAAATTGTCAAGATCAGAGATTGAAAAAGAGTCATCAAATAATATGTATAGTATGCTTTGAGGGAAAGGGAAGCAAGTTGAAACTACCACTTTTGAAGATTCAGATCAATCTGAAACAACCATTAAGTCCACAATGACAATGACATTTATATTACTTGGAACTCAAAATGTTATAACATCATGTTGACATGATGTATGCTAAGACGCTTGTAATATAGTGGTTTTTATCAATGCTTTAATTAATACTGCATTGACTTCAATAATGTTTACGTAATCAGAAAAAAAAGGTTTCAGCAAAACGATAAAATTATTAGAATTTTCGCAAAATGTAATGAATTAATTAATTGATTTCCTCTTTATTACAAAATACATTGCGGAGAAACTGGATTAAAGAAATCGCAGTTGATACCTGAAAAAGAGAGTTTTTGCTATTTGAGTTGCTTCATAGTGGTCACCATCCTCAACTTTACTTGCAATCCTCTGATAAATTTTTTCGCCCCTAGCTTTATCATTTCTCGATCTTCCGGACGCCATTTTATCTCGATTGTGATACAACCTCGATTTGATCTGCTAAAGTGAAAGAAAGCTTGTTATTGCTGTTTATAGAGTACCGAAGTGATGACGTCATAAAAATATATTTTTAGAATTTCTGAATTTTGATCCCATAACCTAAAAGAGCATCATGAAATACCTTCAAGTATGCAAAACCAGTTAAAGGTACTACGAATTGGCTGAGATATGGCCACTTAACCACAGGCTCTTGCCCCATCAAACCTTTGTAAATTCGTCTTGTTTCTTAAAGGGCCTCTCCAGCCAAATTTTGCACTTGCATTTTATTGGCTAATCTAAAGGAGTTTAACCTGCTGATCACGAATTCGTTATTTTTTTCGATATTTTTTACAGTTTGTGAGATATAAGCTCTTGCATTTCGATAATTGAATTGAATTAACCGACAAAAATTTTTCGGTTTGGTGACACTGTGACGCAATTTTGACGTCACAGTGCAGAATCACAGCAATCCGTTAGCAAACTTGAAATCTTTCATTGGCCATATCTCACCCAATTTGGAACATATCCAGCTAATTTTGCATATTGAGAAATATTTTATATCGTTCTTTCAGATTATGGGGCCAAATTTAAGAAATTCTAAAAATAGATTTTTGATGACGTCACACTTCGGTACTCTATTAGTTCTGTTTTCATGCTTTTTTTGCACTGACCAGGCAGGGCCACTCTCATTGTCAAGTGTAAGCACCCGTGTCTCCAATATCTCTGAGAAAGGGGGTTCAATTTTGTCATATATCTAGGACATAGAAAAAAGAAGAAAAGGTGTGTGATTTGGAAATCTTAACATAGTTTCTAATATTTCCTTGTTTGGCCTTATTTCCACTATTTGATTTCCGAAAAAGGGTAGAAATTTTCTTTGGTTCCAAAGAAGAGAAGAATCAAATCGGAATCAAATATCAGAGATAAGGGTCAGCTTTCTAGACCCTCAGACACGGGTGCTTACACTTGATAGTGTGAGATGACACACCGGGTGCACTGACAATTTTTTTCGTTTTCTTAAGTACAACACTTACTACTTGCAACTTGCCAGGGACAACAGAAGATGCATGAGGCGAGACGACCTAAGCCCTCCAACTATTCCCAAAATCACCCGCCTGTTTAACCTACCAACCAGGAATCAGTTGCTACAAAGAGAACAAAAAAGGGCTCTCACACAACACGTTTAAAAATGAAGTGAGTTAGATATTGGCTACTTTTTGGCATTAAAATGGGGGGTCAGTCACCCGAGTCCTCCAAGCACCGGACCCCCGAATCAGGGATGCCAGAAGTATGACGGTGCGAAAGAGGGGGGATGACTTTTTAGGCATGAAGATGTAGGTAAGGGAAATGAGCCGAGTAAAAACGAGGGAGTTTAGGGGTTCCCCCCTCTGGAAATATTTTTTACCACACCCTGCAGTTTGGTTTCTTAAAGCAACACCAAGTTATATTTTGTTGCAATTTACTTCAATTTTCTATTTTATAGCAATTTCTCTACTTTGATTTCATTTTTTTACAAATAATTTTCTCATTTAGAATTTCTAGTCGTAGACAAATCTTCTAAGTGACAATGGCGAGGGGAGGAGAACATGATTTATTTTCCAGGGTAAACTTTGCTATTTGCCTATCTTGTTCTATGCACCAAGGGTGAATTTTTCCCCTCATTCAGATCGGGCATTAAAATATGTTGTGTCCACCTTTAACAAGGCCCTGTTCTAATAGAGAGTTGAGCCTTGTTGCGAGAAAGATTTTACGTCAAGTATCAATGAAATGATATCTAAAGCTCTGATAGGCATGAATGAGATGTAGGAAGCCTATGCAAAGGGTGGGCTTGAAGCATGCTCTTCTTGCTAGAACCAGGAATTCTATGACATTGCAAACAAAAAGGCACTTTCCGCCCTTTCACTTGCCCCTCTGACCCCTTGTTTCAGCATCGCTGCCGCGGACGTATGGCATGTTTAAAACAATTGGCAGTGAAAGCATTAACTTCAAAGAACTTGAGGAACTTTACAAAAACTGAAACAAATAAATTATAACAAATTCAATTTTTCAGGACACTTGGAAAGGACCCAAGAGCTATCCGGCCATGTGCCCTTTAACAGAATGCCCAAGCCAGGCCCATGAGATTTCTTCCTTTGGTCTATAAGTTTAATTTTCGGATATGTGCTGATGCTTGGCCTCTTATCTAATATTTGTAACAAATACTCTTAGATTGCTGCCTGGGGGGAGGGGTAATTTCAATAGGCCAAGGACAGGAGTGTGCTATTTTGAGGTATGTAAACATACCCTAAAATTGGTGAATTCTCCAAAAAAACCTTTCGCAAAATCTTAGATACAATATGTAATGCATGTCCTTAAATTCAACTCAAACTTGCAAAAATCCAACAACTCAATCAACATCTTTCTCTTAAAAATGACACCCAAAAGTTTGAGGTCATGCTATAAATTAATCCCAAAATTTATGGCCATGTTTGATTTACCAAAATTGATACCCCAAAATTTAATTTCTACTTTCAAAAAGGCACCCCAAGAATGGCATATTCCTTCCCAGTGTATATGGAAATTAACCTCTGGGCTTTGCTTGAGAACTTTGCAAAAGAACAATTTGGAAGCCAGATATAGGCACCTACATGACAACGCCACCTGCGAGAAATCCATCAAACCGAACACTACAAAGCACTCATTTATTTATGCAATACTGAAGTTAAAGTCGTCCAAAAAAAGAGACCTATAAATTCAAGCAAATGTTCTCTTACACGTAAATAAAGCAGATAAGATGATGATTCCATGCATATTTACGATAAAATTTAGCAAGATAGTTGGCAACAAGGGGTACGATGCGAAGATGTCTGCTAAAAGTAGAGTCAAGAGATAGAAACCACTTGGAGAAACAAAATGATAAAATTCACTTTTTTCTTCCATTGAAAAATGGCTTTGGAAAGAGTACAATTTATGTAAAAAGCGCAGATCCTTCGTTATCACAAGAAACATCCGATTTCTCTGAATTCAGAGCGTTAGAGAAAAGAGATGGGTGGAAAATGGCACCAAAGAAGACCCTAAACTTTTGTGCCAACAAATAGTGAAGTAGCTGGCGACAGTAAATCTAACAGGCCACTGATATAGGAGATGCAATGATAAGATTTGAAATGTAGGCCTTATTGCTATGTTGCTGAGACTTTTCAGTTTTAAATTCTGCTTCTCTACTTTTTTGGCATTTTAGTTTTTAGAAGGTTAGAAAAAGAAGTATCTAGCTAATAAACAACCCAAAATTCAAATGTTTGTGAAAATTTCAATTCTTGGTGTATTTGCCTTAGCCAGCTCTGTGGTTGCATCAGTCAGTGTTGATTATCGCTTATCAGACATTGCTGCTCTTAATTTGAGTGGTAAATTAATGAAAATATTAGCAGAAGATAATAAACTCCCTGGGTTCAAAATGAAGATATTTTACATCTTCATCGTGGAGAAGTCACAATTAATAATGCATCGATGAAGGTTCCAAAAAGGAACTTGACATATGAAAAATTAAAAATATTTTGTAAAAAATAAAGTCGAAAGCAGCAATAGATAGGCAGATGGAATCTTTAGTGAATAATCAGCGATAGTTCTTGATGAGATGAGAAAGATACCCAGCTACAGCTTATATCGATAATTTTATTAGAGGTGATTGGAGTTTATGAGATGATATATTGCAAAGGATCAGCAATTGATACAAACGAGATAAGAAAGTTACCCGGCTTCGATGGTATCGATGGTAATAAGATATAGGTTCCAATTCATTCTGCAAAGTTTTGCAAAGACTGCAAAGTAACTATTTGTCATGAAAAATGAGGAAATGAATACAAACTTTGCCTATCTTAATCTCTTTTCTTCACCAGAACAGCAGGTCAAGGGTAAAAAATCGAGCCTACTTGATTCTTTAAAAGTTTTATCAAAAGTAAGACTGGTGGTCTAAAAATAACAAACCGTTTGGACATGTGGACTATTCAGCGTTTAGTTTGAATGTGATCACAAGAAAGGTTCACATCTCAATTATCAGCCATGCCTGCTTCAAACTTTTGGTGCGATGATCATATACATTTTCTGTTTGTTCATATGCATTAGAACACGCTTTATCCTTTAAGACTATCAAAGGATTTTATCTTGGCCCACCATTCCGTGAGGAGTGTATCACCCCATGAATTTAAAGTTCGAGTTAAAGTACGAGTTTTTTTTTATTTAAAGTTCCATCGATTTCGGTTCCTGATTTGCGGATACTTTGCGGATAGAGTGTCAAAAACCCGCAGCGCACCTTTATCAGGATTCTTTAGAAATTTATCATATTTGAATTCATTTGACGTATACCATTTGAAAGTACATTATATCTTCATTCCAACAATATCAAAGTTTGGCACTTGCATTAAATCATATATTACTTAATGGACCGTATTGTCTTGGTATTCCACAAAAGAGTCTGGATTTTCATTGGTAGCTCTTGCCCTTTTGTTGACCTTTAAGCACGAAAATTGAAGTTTTCTTCCTAAAAACGACTTATGTTAAAGGGATCATCTTCACTCCTAAAGAGGCACTGGTCTCCAGACTTTTCAATATTACCTTGAGCATCTGTGGTAAGGAGATAGGTTTTTGCGAAATCAAGGGTTGGTGGTTCTTTTCACGTTTCTATTTGTCAAGGACGGAATGGATGGTGCAAAAAAATAAAGGGACTGGAAGAAGAACTCGTGTTACCAAAGATGATGAGGAACGGTAACAGCAACAACAACGGAAAGTCTCCGTATTCACTGCACCGAATTATCCAGATCATCGTCCAGATCATCCATCGTAACTTTCGATGATGTCTTTGATTGATCCAATAGATTTCGTTCAAAATGTAAGTCCGTTATGTAATTCAACGCTGATGTTGCCAGGGGTTGGCCTCGTTACTTTGACTTGGTACCGGACATTTCTTGAACATTTCTGAGTTTGACTGGATTTTCAGAATCTTATATTCTTTGTGATTGAAGGATTTTAGTGGATTTTTGCGGATTTTTGGCAAGGTATACAAGGTATTTTGAACTTAAACACCCCTCACACGTACACATGCGGATCTTCTCTATCCTATATGGTCTGGCTGCAGGTTTTAATCTGCCTGCTTCTTTCTTAAGGTTGTGGGCAGGGGCGCAGTGGCTGGGGGGGCAGGGGGGGGCGGCCGCACCCCCTGGCAAAAATTTTGTCGGATTGTCGGAAAATCCAACGTTTGTCGGAAAATTTGAAATATTAGACAAAATGTAAGGTTTTCATCGATCCTGTCTAAAAGGTCGCATATTTTTTTAAACCTGTCGTAAAATAGTGCATGATCAACCCTTCTTACTTATTTTCATTAGAGTATTTTTCGAAATCATCGCATTGCTGAAATTTGTAAAGGAAATTAACGCTCTGGTCTCAGTTATTTTATAAACTCCCATTTCCGACAGTTAAAATTCAACTCAGTTCATTTCGAAATGAATTCGCTGGTTTTGTAGAAGACGCAAAAAGTTATTATTTTCGCCATGACTTAGAAGAGGAAAATTTTGTCGAGCGACGAATATGCAGAAAGAAAAAGATGCCAGGGGAAAATTGCATAGATGAATTAGAGGAAAATAGGGAATCCGTATATCATCGTGATAGTAGATACAGCTATCAGCTCAATGAATACAATATTCACGTCTCATAAGGCAATTTTGACAGATTTTGCCTTACTCAACCCTGAATGTTTTCAAAAAACAATTGAAAGGCAGTTCTGTACAGTGTAATTCAAAATTAGGAGATGAGTACAGCTCTTTCGCCAATAATTACCGTAAATTTTGGAAACTTAGAGAAAAGAGCAACCCTCTCCCGGCTGCAGGAGAAAGAGAAAACTTTTCAGTTCCATTCAGTTCTTCAGTTGATGATAAGTATAACCTGCAAAGTGCCTTTCCACAGCTGGTCCTTCTTTACAAGGTTCTCGTCACTTTTGCCAATAGGTTCAACAAACTATGAAAGAGCTTTTTCAAAGCTGAGGATTGTAAAAAAATCGGCTACGGTCAACGATGGGACAAGACCGCCTTTCCTCTCTGATGACAATCAACGTCGGAAGTGATATTTTACAGTCGATAGACTATGGTGACATCATCGATTTGTATGCTGCCCCCCCTTTTTTGAGAAAGATGCTGCTTGAGTAACAGTTTATATAAATTCAGTTAAAAGAAAACTATTCTTTTGGACGCGTTATATCTATTTAAGGTATAGCATAAATAAATGCAAAGTAATTATGATGCGACTTAAAACTTGCCAAAAACTTTTTGCTATAAACAGCTATAAACACTAACTTGACAGTTTATTGTCTAGTATAGCGAGAAGACTTGTAGGGTGTAAATTTATAACTAGTTGCAGTTTTGTTCATAGCGATTTATATTTGGTAAGTTTTGTTAGAATAAAGGCTATTGTTGAACTTGAAGGTGTATAACGAACGATCCATTCGTTAACGATTTCCAGATCCATTCGTGATATTGTAGTATCAAGTGTTGCAGTATATGCAGGAAGGGTAATCTTTAAGGAATGTATTGAGAAAAAATTTGTCGGAAAAATCATAGTTTTATCGGAAAATTTTCAGCTTTGCCCCCCCAAAAAGTTAACTCCCACTGCGCCCCTGGTTGTGGGTGGGAGTTGTTAGTTGCGACACATGTTGCGTGAATAACAGCCAGCTTTTGTGATGTTTTCTCGATATTATTATCATTGAAATTACATTAGCGGTATTTATCTTAACATTTAAGTTCTTTGCTCTATACGACGTGGCCCTCATTTCTTCTAGCCATTCCCTGCTAATCCTTCTACTACTTAAAATTTTGCTTTTTCGGCTTTTTTTAAATATTATAAGCTCCTTCCTTTGTTTTATATTGCATAAGCTTTAACACCCCAAGTAACAAACAAATTATGAATTGAAAGAGCAATACTACACAGTGTAATAGCCTAACGATGAGCAAGGGAATTCATTTGAAGGAAAAAGTTTCTCAGTTTCTTGCTCGAGTTTGTCTAAAAGGCTCATGCATGGAAATATGAACTTCAATTTGCTCAGTGCATTTTAGGTAGATTTTTAATTTGTAAATCCCATCTGGCAACCTTGGCCTACAGACCTTCCATTTTCCGTCCTTCGCGGAGGAGCATTACGTCAGCAAAGACTGGTAAAACCGGTTTTCTCTGTCACATGCAACGTCTGAAGAACAAAGGGGAACTTTGAAACGGCGTGTGGAGGAAGTTCGTTGGTGAAGGCTGCCATAAAGAAGACCATCTACTACTTCTATTTGTGGTTGTTTCTTACGCATTCAACGTTGGAAAATAGCCAAGCATGATGGTTAATCATTTTCGTAAAAGGTAAAGCCATCCAGCTCGCAGTTTACGTTGGAAGATTCTCTTCTCGATGTCGACAGACGCCATGTTGTTTTTGTCAAATGCTGGATGAACAGTTTTAGACGCTATATTCGCATCACTGGAAACAAATCTTGGCGCCAAAGACTGAGAACATTTCAGTTGGACTCATATTTAGACAATGTCTTCGATTCACTATAAATTTAGAAGTAGTTTAGAGTACGATACATTGACCTTCGATGGGCCTAGCATTTCTCTCAGCGACCTGAGAGATGCAATTATGGTACAAAAGAAAATCGGAAAGAATCCTGATTTTTTCTTGGAAATTACTAATGCACAAACAAAAGAAGGTAAGGTGGTGGATATAATTTTTTGAATAATTAGAGGTCATGTATAGTTAAATTGGATTCTTTCGTAACCTGGTTCAAAGTTTCATTTTCCGCCTAAAGGTGACCCGTTGTATTGGCTAACTGCAGCTAGCCCTTTTTCTGGATGAAAGCATTGGATGTGCTTGATATTTCAAGAAGAAGTGAAATATAAAGGTAGCCGCTTGAAAATGAATTCATGAATAGAATTTAGAAATACCCCCCCCTGTCTTGAATAGGTTTCGTCGTTAGTTTTAACAGCTGCCCGTAAATATTTGATTTTTGGCCGAGCAAAAAAGCCTTATTTTCTAAACTGGCCCAAAGGCAGCCCTCGTTGTATCCCTGCCAAAATAAATAAAATTTGTCTAGCCCGCAGTCAATAGGATTCTGATAGAGCTTCCCAAGTTAATTGCAAATAGAGTGTCATATCAATTTGTAAATGTATGTGGCGTTTAGAACGTTGTGTTAAAGAATTGTGTAGATATTTTTCTAGATAATGTAAGGCAGAAAGCTGTGATCATGATCCGTCTTTGATATTCTTCATATTCTATTTGTAGCTTATTGTATAGTTTAGCAGACTTGAACTGCTTTTTGTAGTGTGCCACTGCAAATTGAATTCAAGGGGAAGGGGGTTCAGTTACTGAAATTTGCTTCTCAAAATAAAGATACTAATTTTGCTCCCCAAAATAAAGCAAAGTTGACTTGAAATTGGCCTTATTTGTAAGATGTATGAAAAGGCTAAATGATTAACTTTACAAGAGCTCCAAAAGTTATATTATATTAGATCCATAAAAGCTGCAAAGTTTATTAAAATTTAAATGTACAGACCTTACTGAGCAATTGTCATATTCAAACAAGTTTCTACCAAGCTTCCCACAGGTTGAATGAGCAAAAATACTGTATGATAAGGGGAAAACTGTAAGTGGTACGTCTGCTTGTTGACTATAAGCCACTATAAAAACAGTCAGATTTCTTTACAGAAAGTGCAGAGAAACGATGTGAGATTTTGTAAGAAATGCAACAGACAAAAATGAGAGATCAGCTAAATGTCCAGTTCAGGGTCAAAGTCTTATCATAATAGTGCTCCAGTATGCAGTTTGCTGTGATTATGCACACAAGATGTTGAAATCGTAAATCAACTGGCACAGCTAATAGCAAAGCCTATGAATTTATTTACTGAACACTCAGCATTTTCGTGCACCTGCACCTAAGGTGTGAGTCTGTTGAGGCACCCAAGACCTTGTCTAAATCAGTCGTATTCTGCAAATGAGACAGTGTCAGTTTAGATGTTGCTTTTGTTGCAAGGAAACAGCTTTTTGAAAAGTTTACATTTATGCAAAGAAATCACAATAATTTGGTCCTGAAAAGTTGCAGATGTCTGTAAGTGTAGAATATGCTGTTAAACAAATATAAACACAATTATTTAAGATTATATACCAGCCTTGGTGATATACAATGCAAGTATGTAAATGTCACTTTGGAGAGAACAAGAAACTTAAACTTCATGCTGGCATTGTGAATAGTTGATAGATTTAAGGGTTCAAATTTTAAGTTCCAATTCATCAACTAAACCATAAGGAAAGTAAGGTGTTAGCTTTAGACTTTAATTTTTAAGAAGAATAGTGTCCTGGAATTTCAAATAGTGCAGTATTCTCTGCACATGTCAATAAACCTTAAAATGGAACAAAGTTAAGCAAAGGGTGGTTATGTTGTTTCATGTAATTGTATTTATGTTCAACATGTAGAACCTTCCCAATTTGCAAGTAGGAGACTGAAAAGCAGAAAATAGGTTGAAAATATGAGTATTTTCACATTTTGGAACAAGGCACTGCCATGAACAATTGACCTACTGGAATCTTTAGGAAATAGCTGATTGAAAAGGTTCTTACAGGGCAACTACTTAGTTGTAATCATAGTTACACATGTATCAGTTTTGCTTAGTCAAGATTCAAGGGGGTTTTTAATTCTTGTTTATTAAGTTTGTGAGTAGTTTGCAGGGCTCTGTCAATGCAAGGGAAAAATGTTATCCCAATCCCCATTTCCAGTCCACTACTAGACACCACTACTAAGTTTTGAGAAGCACGCAACCATTTATTGGGTCCAAGTTTGGCTGAAACATCAGCATTTGGTCAAGCAGTCTTGAGTTCATACTAGCACGAGTTAAGAATAGCACTGATTTTTTACCCAATGCTTCTATGACTGTTGATTTATTATGTCTTTGTTACATTCATGTTATTCAATTATGGTATCTCAAATGAATTTGATTTGGTTCAAAATCTCATTTGACTATGCAGGGTCTTGATTTCCAACTATAAACTTGATGCAATGCCATAAGGTTGCTCTTTAAGGTTTCCTCCAAAGAGTTTGCAGAACAGTATAGATTTGATTTTGCTTTTGCTGTCTATTTTCTACCAGTTTTCAAGATCAAAAGTTATTGCAAGTTTTTCTAGATTCTTTATGTTCTATTCCAAGTCACATTCATGTTTCTAAAGCTTCTTTAGCAATTTTGTACAAAATTTGCTCAAAGTTTAGGTAAGGGAGTATCTTTCACCTGCTATTCTCAGGGAATTTGTCACAATGCGATAGAGCAAGTCTCCAAGTCTAGTTTACTTGATATCAACCATAGCTTACTTGTGCATCTTGTGGCAGTTTTGATATTTGTATGTATGTTTTGTTGCTGTGATGCATTTCTGTTTTCATTTAACTGCTTAATATATACCACTTTATACTTAAATACACCAGATTCTTCTAACAGAAACTGATCTTATTTATACATATTCACATTTTTTATGCATACCTCATTCCACATTCATCTTTGCAGCTAACAGCATATTTCAATCTGAGACTTTTATCTGTTCGTTTAAATCATGTTTAGGGATTTGCATATGATATCTGATGTTTAGATAATTTTCTTGCCAAAATACAGTCTGAAGAGCCATACTTTATGTAAAGTAAGCTATGAAATGAAGTCTGATTTTGATGTCATTGCTACTGAATTGTTTGTTGCGAGGTAACAAAAAATCATTGCATGACATTGCAAAGGTGGACCCGATACAAGTAAAAGATTTTGTCACTGTTGTCCATTTCGAAATGACTTAATCCAAAATTATCCATAGCTAGGTTACCAAACGTAATGTTTTCTTCATCTACAGTTTACGAAGAAGATAATGACCAAGTACCAAGAAACACATCAGTCGTCGTGAAGAAGGTTCCAGCTGCAAGATTAGCTGCTATGTAAGTAACAGTTTCTTGTGCATGTCTACTTAGCAACAACATTCAAAATTTCCAACAAAATTCAAATTAAAGTGTTGCATTAAACTGTGCTGATAGTTTTGCCTTACTGTAATTTGTAATTTTATGATAATGGACAGGGAGACAGGGAATTTACAAGTAGCTGCAGAATTTTCCCCACCCTCTAGGCTGGTTCACACTGCATAATCTTTTTAAAGTGCCTTATGTTACTATGAGATAATTTCTATTCAATCTATTTTAGTGTTAAATTGCCAAATATAAAAGGCTCTGGTTAATACCATATTGCTTGTTAGTTCACTGACTGGTTAGCTGCCAGCTTGTGCAGGCAAAGAGTCGCTCACTGCAATTGATAAACAACCAGCTTTTGGGGACTCTTTGACAAGATGGGGTTGATAGATCCACTGAATTCTCCCTCTTTTAACCTCAATTTATCATTGGTTTTCTGCTTGCGAATGATTGTATGTCTCATTTTCCATTTCTCGTATTTCAAATTTGGCAGCCACCTAAAAACATAAATGGATTTTAAACAAAAGAGTTCCTAGAAACAATGCCATTGCAAAATCTTTTTGATAGCAGTCAATGTGAACAGCCAAAAATTGCACTCTTCAACAAAATTGCACTCTTCAACAAGGGTGCAGTGACAAGGCAGCCCTAGCCTTGTTTTCATCAAGTCTTATTCCAAGGATTTCTGTCCTCTGGAACAACTTCCCCTGTAGCATGTTAGGGCCGCTCTACACATGGCCGATGGTATTTAACCTGTCTTGCTACTAGAACACTGGCATTTAGCCTTAAAGTTTCCACTCCTTTTGCACATCATGCCCCTGCTTAGAAGTTTATCATTTTTACCCATAATAGGGAATATTTCTAAAGCAGCAGGGTCAGGCAAATTTTCAAGAGTCAAGAGTTTGGATTGAATAATCATAGGATTAATTTAAACTGAGATAAATGGATTCCAGAGGAAATGTAGAAAAACATTTCTATACAGAAAACCATGGAAGGGAAAAATGTTAAACTGGTTCACTTAAAATGTACCCATTTTTTTACATAAGTGCCAGGAATGCCAACTTTATTGAGGTAAAGTTACCAATAGTTGATATTTTAAAAAGGAGAAACCAAGTAGTAGAGACAAAGTGGATTTGTTTGTCCATAAAAGCTAAATCTGCAATAACTTTGACCACACTCTCTTGATCTGTTCAGGTCAGTTAATTCGTTTTAAAGCTCCCTTTAATACACTAAATCTACATACCTATTTAATTAACAATGATAAATTGAAATAAAATATAGCATAGAACATCTGATGTAGGCAGATTAAGTAGCCAGGTATGAAGAGCTTAGTGAGATGAGGGGGAATTTTTTAAAGGAGGGGCTCCCTCAATAGGCAAGTTAATCAAGGCAGGAACACCCCTTAATCTTTAAGGTTACCTTTCTATCTAAGAGGTCTGCTCGAGGAAGGACTAATTCTGGTATGTAATACGTGGCATTTCGTGAGCAAAAAATGTATCACTTCCCCTTCGAAGTATAAGTAATATTTCCATTAACTATAATTTAAACAAAACCACTGGAGACAAGAAATGTTATACCTTGGTCGCTAAGGTGCCAAGTTGGATAAACATTTTCCTCTTTTCTTAATTTGGTCATGGCTGTTACTGCCGTCAAATGTGGGAAGTAGGAATAGGTGGTCAAACTACCTTTTGGTTCCAATATGTGTTTGTAAGCATTTTTCTTCTCTGACCCCCTCCCCCTTCTGACATTATTTTCTGTGTCAGTGCTCATTTAACCAATTGTGTCCACAACCTTTTTGAAGTCATGTTTCAAGATCCCTTCTGTCACTTCCTTATTTATTTAGTTGTTAATTTTTTGTATATGAGCCAATCGTTACGTTCTGCTTGCTCTTTTGTAGGACCGGGAAGACCATCGACCCAGAGGCCAAAGAAGTACGTAGTGAAAGCAGTAAATATGTCAAAGCTGTTTCCAAAGCTTATTTGTGTGTTGCAAATGCATTAGGGAAAATGAGACTTTCAATTTAGCTATAAAGTTTGATAAAGATCGAGTTGCTCTCCCAACCACTTATTTTTAGGGCCACAAATAGTGGATGATTAACAGGTTTTCATAAAAAAGTTTCAACACAGCAAGATAAGATAAAGCTAGAAAAATAGTTGATAAAAAAGTGCAAAAATTTTAATGTTTCTCAAATCCTATGGGGTGGCTTGTATAGTTATTTAAAGTCTTTAACGTCTGACATAAACAAGCTTCTGATCCAAAGCAAAATTGGTTCCCCCTGTTTTTACGTAAGCAGGCAGCGGTATGGTAATAATTTGTATTTAATGTATAATATGTAAATAAAGAAGATATTTATTTGAAATGGTGTTGAATTGAAATGAAAGAGATTGCCACGTCATGCATTCCCTTGTGTCCGAATGGCCCTCTTGAGAACGGCTTATAAATAGCTTGCTCAGAGACTGGTGCTCGGTGGGGCAGCCCACCGAAGGACAAATCTCAAGGGAACAGCGACGACTGCGTGGTTGCAACGCTCACAACGGTGGAAAATTCCAAGACATCATCTAATCGATATTTCATTCTTTTTTGCAATCAAGGACGAGGATTCAGGCAAAGTTTCACTTGCAAAGCTTTCTCAGGTACCACATTGTTTTGTTTTGCTTGGCGCGTGCAGAAATCTGCTTTTTAAATCATTAACAATCTTTCTTTTCGCACAGGAAGTGATTCTGCGGTTTTCATGATATCATCTTTAGGCCTTGTTCCATTTGCCATCGTTAGGTTTTCTGAAGGACATATATCCGTTTGTAGCGTGGCCTGGCATCTACAGTGTTTCAAATTTTCTGTCAGCATGGTAGCGCTAAAAATTACGACGTTGCAAAATTTTGCCAGAAGGCAATGGGCCATTTATACTGCTGCAAAGGGCTCTGTTGAAGAAGTATTTATCATCTGCCCTGTTTCTTTGTCTTATACCAGATTGTTAAAGTCAGCCTCTGAAAATCTCCATTTCAAAGTTTATTGCAACAAAAGCCCTTAAAGACAAAGCAAATATACACCAAAAATACATTAGTGCCATCTTGCCTGTGACAAAACGGCTGTTGGCAGTGTCAATTGTTGTCAATAGAGATGTTTGCAAGAAAGGTTAGAATTATGACAGAACGTCTCTAATCGCAAGATCAACCCTTGGTCTTATGCCTGGATAGCATGTTTTTGCACGCCCACTTTTCTCCCACCTTCATTCTTGTATAGTTTAGGAAACTCAGCGCAGGTCTAGCTATGTAAAATATCAAAAAATTATAGGAAGGAATGTGCACAAAATGTATTTTTGCTGGTAGGTTAGTCGAAAAGTGAAGCCCAGAAGTTTTTTTCGATTGAAAGGTCACAAATCACCGAGTGAATTTATTTAGTATTTTACTTAATAAGACTAATTATAAGTGAAACATATCGAAGTACGTTATGCGTTTCTACTAAGAAGGCTTCGAGTTAACTATCATCTTCATGTTACCTTTTATCTGCTTCTGTTAACGGAAAACAGTAAATCGGTGGCGAAACCTGTCTTTGTGTTTACAATATTAAAGTCGAACTTAAAGAAAAAACACCGTAGCACGCGATTATATGTCTGTTCATTTTTGTTTATGTGATCGACATTTTTAAAATCAACGTTATTTGATGGTGACATTTATGGAGTTGTAATAGACAAGGGCAACTGACTTTGGCAAGTGGTGCTGCTAGGCACAAAGGAATGTAGATATGGTGTGGCTGACACAGCATCCCTTTAGGAAAGTCAAAATCAGGCATCTTTGCAAGAATTTTAGAGGGTGTCTTGCCCAAAATTGGAGGAAAGTCTTTGGCCGTCGGGCACCAACGCTGATAGAGACGAAACCTGATTTTTTTGAATTCCTTCAAACTCCACAAAAACAGCCGAGATGTGAATTTATCATTTGGAACCTTTCCGCCAAAACGTGAAAGCCATTTGTCAATTAACTACATGATTCACAATTGTGACTACAGTTGAATCACCTTCAAGGGGGTTAAGGAAATGGTCCCATTTAGCAAATTTCAGACTTATCCTGGTACTATATCTGACTTGAATAAAGTAGGAATATCTGGTGGGAATTGAAAATAAGTCCCACTTAGTTAAAGCCCGAGTTATCTTTGATATGTCTAAACGTATTCAGCCGTATAAGCATTAGAAAACACCTCTCCGCACTGTCTTGGTTAAGCATCCAGATGCACGGTCCTGATTTCTTGTTTTTACGCCGGTTCTCTGATAGGTCAACGTTCATCTCGACGACTTTTTGGCTGGGAGACAGGCATCTAAATGTCAAGGCTTTTGTGAGCGGATAAGAGCTTGCCATTTCATCGGGGCTTTACCGCCAGGCGTGGGCTCCTCTCATAGGATACTCGTATGTTGATTGACTATAGGGGCTTGATAAGGTTTAATAACAGCATGTGATCTTTTTCAACCGAAACCAGGGTCATACAGTGAAACGGGCAGCAAAGGAGATTTTTACTTGGTCTTAATCGTGTTTCGTCAAGCTTTGTTTTTATCCCTAACTGAAGGGGTTTACAATTTGCGCAGCTTTAGATAAATAAGGCAAAAGTATGGGGCTACTTACACTCGGTTTCAGAAAGCTGCAAAATCTTACCCGTAGCCAGGGGTAAATACGCATGCATCTAAACAGGATAACTGCTAAATACACCTAGATGCACCAAAAAGTGCTTCTGAGTATCGACAGTTTCAATCAAAGCGTAAAAATATTTTGCTCTTTTACTGACCATCTTATAAAGAAAATATTTAACAAGACTTATTATTTTATCGCGAGAACTTTTTCTTTTTACCCTGCAACATGCCAGCACTCCAGCACTTGCAGGCACTGTGAATGTAATTTACGGTAGATTAAGAGGGTATTGTTTTTTTTGGTTGATATTGTAAACAATGCTAAACCTCAGTATTCATGAAAATTCTGCATATCATAATGCATAGGCAGAAAAATTAGAAATGAGAGGAATGAAAAATTGCAGTCTGCAATGACTCCTCTCTCCATATAGTCGAAGTGTCTTGAATCCACCTTTGCGTATAGCATGTGTTTTTAGTTTTTCCAAAGCGAAGCGTAATAGCAGAGTCTAGAAAAGTGCTTGTATTTTCTCTGGCCAATAAGCCAAGTTTGTGAAGAAATTGCATACAACACAAGGTGCTTTCTGGGTGTCCTAAAGTTGCAGCCTTATTCAATTTTTTTGCCACAGCTTTACTGCTTCTCAAAATTCTGTTTGGATTGGCTGTTACAAGAAGCAGTGAAAGCATGAATTTCAGAAGCAGAATGTAGGCGAAATGTGTGTTTTGCTGTATCTTTTCTAACGCTAGGTTATGAATGTTTCTAGTTTGTAATTTTGCAGCAGAATTCTCGACGTTTATTCTGCTACGCAGATGTTGCCCAGAAAACAAATTGTCTTCTGTACATACAAGGAATGGCTAATGTGTCAACCATTCCTTGTATGCAGCAAAAAACATGTGCAATAGAGATTGAGGTCGTTACGCATGCTCTGACTGCATTGGTAGGGGATAGCTCATTACGAGAAGAATTTCACCTGTTCATCTTCCTAGCAAGGGTCACTTTGTAAATTTTAGACATGCCTTCTCGGAAGATTTTTTGATTTAGTCAATTTTGGCTCATTGCAAGCACTGTAAAGTTAGCCTTGCGCCAAAACTTTTAGCCTAGCCTAGAGTTGATACTTTTTTGCCGAAGTGAATGTAGTTTGAGTATCCCTTCTTGTAGCAAGGCCATATTATTTTCCCCTTAGTCTGTGAGTAGCCATCTTCATCATGCTGGATTTAGAGTATCAAGAACTATGGTCCCATTGACCCGGCCACGTTTTCTTACCGTTTCAAAAACATTCTAATTTTTGGCACAAAAAATGAGTTGTTCTTTAAGAGACGGAATGGCTAAGTACCGATTTTGGTTCTGTTAACACGGTAACGCAGTCGTTACGTTTAACTATTTGTGCTCGAACGTGCGCAGAAACAGAACGAACGGAACGAACGGAACGGAACGATTGTGAACCGTTCCACTTTTCCTTTAATGTTGAGAGTTTTCCACTTTTTGGAACAGAACATATGAAATGGTACACAATCGTTTCCGTGTTCGCGGAGCCTAACAGCACCCTATGAAATGATGGTGCTCTGGTATATTTAGAGTGGGTGTTATCAGGGTACTTGTTTAACTTAGAATTTCAGCAAAGAATATTTTTTGAGAGTAAATAACCTCTACCAGTACTTTTCTGGGTTCATGAATTGCCGGAATACGTTTTTGAGGATATCGAAAAAAGCGAATGTGATTTTCAGATAAAATCTTCAACACCAATGTCGTAAATTCAAACTGCTCAACTTAATATCGAATTGTTTGGGTTTATTTTTGTCGAAAAGGGTTTTTTTTGGGTTAACATTGTAAAAGTTCAAGGGGGAACCTATATCTTTGGGTAGAGTACCGGGGTATAGGTTCCCCTGTTGAGCTGGACACCTGAGAAAGAGTACAGTGCTGCTGTCAATTTAATTGAGATTGACGGGAGAGGTCCTAGTCTAACTTTAGTGCAGTGGCGATGCCAATGGACCTGGCAAGTGCGCGTACATTTGTTGCATATAATAGTGAACCCAAACGTAAATTGATGTCTTAGCTGTCGTGAAATAATTGCACATGAAAAACGGCGATAAGCAAACTGAATGCGTTTCGTTTATAATTGGCAGTGTTTTGATTTTAGAAAGAAGGACTGGAAACGCAAAATTGATAATTCTTTCTTCTATTTGCCGCAAAGAGGGGAAAAGTTGAAATGCGTTTGCAATTAATCAAAGCACTGTAACAGACAAACAATTTCTCTTGCTTGCTTATTAAAAATTCAACTTTGCATAGTTGCAACGGCATTGTTACTGTTTGACACTATGACTAGTTAACTTTCAAAATGGTCATGAGAACGAAAACCGTAACAAAACTGTTGCCACGAGTTTCATTTTTCAGAACTTTGTGCACAAATTTGTCAGCTGATCATAATTATTATTATTCGGCATTTTCATCAAAAACATTATTTTTAAAGAATTCTTATAATGATCTAACCTTACTTTGGTTGTGTTCCTAAGCCCAGAGCTTAGAAGGACCTAATATTTTATAAAAAGCTTTGTTCCTGGAAAGGAATATCTTGTGAATTTATTGATATATACGGATTCGTACACTCTTTTTGTTGATATGCTCAGAAAATCCACAGTACAGTAACACCCGGTATACAATGGCTCCTATATATAAAGGTGGTTAATTGGCAAAAGTCACCCTGACGTTTAAAGTTTGCAGCTTTTTTTCTGCGGGCTTCAGCTGGCCTGAATGTTTCTTGATTTTCTTGAACTGAGTGCTCAATGTTTTTTAAGGGCATGTGTCGTGAACATGAATGCTAATGCATTATTTTTTTGTTTGATACAAAGCATGGAATCGAGGGTGAATTTTTACGGCAGTAAAAATGCAAGAAGAAGAAATGAAAAGTCACCAAACAATGGAATTCCACTCCACTGTTTTATTAGCCAGCTGTTAATGCGACATGTGCCCTTTAAAATAGTTCTAGAATTTTTCAAGGCAGAGATTATAGAAGTAATGGAATGAAAATGAATTTTGATTGCAAAAGTAATATTGTTTGCAAACAGCATCTTTTCTCAAACAAACGAAAATGTTTTTAACCCTGAAAACGTTCCAAACAATAGGCAGCCCGAGTACTGTGTTTCCTATAGACTGTTTTTAAAGGAAAACCATGTGCGAAATTTTGATGTTTAGTACATTTTTTGCCTGTGAGTCCTAGCATTATTTTCTGCCGAATGGAAGTCCACTGGAAATCTTCATAGCGTATACCTAACAGTATTTTCTCCATGTTTGATATTTCTGTTTTAATGTGACTTTTGACGTTGCAGACAGGAGATTTAGCCAATGCCAATGCTTCCGAAGAAGACAAGATAACAGCAATGATGCAGCAGTCGGGGGAGTCTTTTCAACCTGATCAGTGAGTAAATCGTTCCATTTGGCCTGCCTGGAGGCATCTCTTTCAAGATCCACAGATTTTATGATTATGTGACACAGGAAGACAGGGGAATACTCTCAGACTTGTGTAAAAGCGACCATCTGAGGACAGAAGTGGCCACATATGGAATGTGACTATCTTGAAGAGGAATGGGCTCGGTTGTTGATTTTGTCTGTCTGTAGACAATCGATGAACCCTTGAGGTCTTTTTAGAGCAGTGGTCTTATGATGGTGGTCGTTTGAAACGGTTCTGACAGTAACCCTAGTACCCAGTCAGTGCATGTAATTATGCTCGGATTTTCATTCCACCTGGTCCTACATAGATTATGGAGTTCAGTTTAAAATGTGACATTTTTAGTAAATGTTTTGTGAAGATGGTTGTTTAATCATGGAGGACCTCTTTAAGATGACCACATTGAGAAGGTGGCCGTTTTATGCATATGATACCTTCTCATTGTTTTGGCTTGTGACCTGTGTTGTGAAGGATTCTGGATATTATGTTTGAAAATCCAGTGCGTGACTTTGTGTTGTCATTTGTTCGTTTTTTGTTGAATTTGCTGATCTTGCCTATTTTATCAGCTTTAATATTGCTCTTGTCCCCCTACTTCTTGTTCAAGAGTTGTGTTTTCCCTTAGATATGCCAACAAGGTGAGACCAGCAGGATATATTTGCTTCAGATGTGGAAAACCAGGCCATTTCATCCGAAACTGCCCAACAGTAGGGGTAAGGACTTCATTGTAGTCTTCCACGATTCTGTTTCTCTTCAACTTTTATCCACTTCGTCCTACTTCTTCCCATTATCCCAACTTCTCCATCCTTTACCTCGTAACTTTCAGCTCCCCCTCCACCGACGCCGGTAAATACAGAAGTCCATTTTCTCTCCAATGTCTGCAGGAATGGGTACCTTGCTTGAAGGAGGCTTTATATTCCTGCCAATTCGTAAACCATAGCTTTTCATATATCAGCATTTTCTCTTTTAGGACCCACGGTATAATACACAAAGATTTGGACGAGGAACAATCACAGAATACCATATATTGCAGATGAAAGAAAGGTAATGAAAAACTGGTTTAGCCTTACGTTTAGCTCCTCTAAGCAAGGCGCACGTTTTATTTGTATTGCGCTTTTGATTGTCTACTGGTATAGAAATCAAAATAATTTGGAAACAAAGCTTGGCCTAACCTGGTCCGGTAGAAATATAATAATTCCGCAAAACCAGATAAAAAATATTAAAGTTGTCAAGCTATGATATACACCGCAGTTTTGACACAAAAATCCATACTGCTCGCTCTATTGCGCTTTGTAAAATTAATCGTCAGTTTCCAGTAAGAGCCGCTTTTTCCTATAAGACAAGAACTTTTAGAATCAGATACTTTTTAAAAAAGGTTTTTCTATTTATATATAAATTGATATAAATAGATGCCAGATAAATGTGTTCAGATCTTATTTGGTTGGTCTCTGTTGAATCACTTAAGGCGCTTTTAGCAATATTTTTATCTCGTACATTCAATGATCGTTTGCTTCCCTTTTCCGCGCAGAGAGAGATTGGCCTCGCTCAAGGCATCTTCAACTGCAACTACGAATCGGTCATATTCACCGGCAGTGAACACCAGTGATGGTCATAGTGGAAAAGAGATACCCGCTGCACTACAGTGTCCCATGTGTAAAAAGCTATTACACGATGCTGTCATCACCCCATGCTGTGGAACAAGTTACTGTGATGAATGTAAGTGGCTCCGTATGTTACATATGTTGTATATGTTAAATTCCACATATGTTAAATCTCACGTTAAAAGTAGAATTTGTTCAGGTGCCAAATTATTGGTAGATGCTCAGCCTCTGGAAGTAAGAATAACATTGTCTGAAGCCGTTCTCAAATTTCTTGTTGGTCAATACCTCATAGTGTTCGATTGGTCAATCATCAGTCGGTAGATTGGTTTGAAGTGATGTTTCTATATTAATTATGTATCTATTTAACAATGTTTATCAATCTTTTGTTTCCCAGGTATACGCAACTATTTAATTGACAACGACTTTTCCTGCCATTCTTGCAAAGAAAAGACATCTCCGGATAACATCATACCTAACAAGTCACTTCGAAAAGCCGTCGAGAACTTCAAAAATACGAGCCACTTGGTTTCGACTGCAGCTGCCGAAGCTACGACAACTGTAACCACTACTGTTGATTCTGTTATAAAAACAGAGGATACTGTCGTCGAAACAAAGCCAAAGATATCAATAACGCTTCTAAAAAGGTAGCTTTTTGATTCGTATCTTCCTGTAATTGCTCGCTTTTGGTACAACGCTGAAACATCTGATTTCTTCATGTGACACATATGACTTATGGCTTTAACTGCTTTGACAACATCCTCTGAAATAGCCGATAACATCACATTTTTTGTTACGAAGGCAGTGAAATTACTGGGTTGTGCTTCATTTTATGATTATTTTTTTCGAGTGGTTTTTCATTTTGATAGGAATTAACAGAAAGAGTCTGAAAACCGTGAATAAGAAATAAACCTAAACAGAAACTTTAATCTGCCTGTCACTAAAATGGCACTTCAAATGTTGGCACCAGTATGTGGAACTTGGGAAGTAGATGGAGCACAGACAAATTTCATTGAAATAACATGAATGGTTTTATAATCTCCTTAATAAAGCTGGTGCTTGGTATGCTATTCTTGATGATACAGTTAAATTAACAACATCCCTGTCTAAAATGCCAGGTAAGATGTAAAATTGCACATGATTAATCTACCACGCTTGTTTTGTTTTAGGAGTGAACCGAAACCTGTTGTACAGCAGCCTATAGTGAAAGAAGAAGAAAAGGAAGCAAGTGGTATGTACTAGACCGCAGGGTAGACAGTTTTAGTAGAAGGGGTGGACAGATGAGCTACATTTATCGTATTTACACTAGTGATGCAGTTAAAAGATAACAGGATTGAAATGTTTATTAAAACAGTAATACTTTGCCACGTTTTACAGACGACAATTAAGTTGAATACCAGCTAGCTATATGTCCCTTCTATCCAGGTGAAGTAGAATGAGAAAATAGTTCTACTGCTTTATTTTGAACTTATTCAAAAAGGGGCCATTGATTTACTGAATGCTGTGAATTTTAGCAGTATACTGGGAATGCCTATGTTGCAAACCCACGTCGATGGTTGCCCTTTTCTCTTGCCTACTTGCGGTTCGCAAAACGAAAAAGCCATAGCACTGCGGGTATTTAATAACCTTGATAAATCATCTTTAGTTATGATTGTGTAATCAAAGTTTTAGCTGTTTTGCAGCAATAAATGAAGTATAGCCCAAGCAAATCAATAGACTTAAATAGTATACAAGTTTACAAGATTTAAAAGCATTAACCAAAGAAGCGATTAATTTATTTGTTTAGTCCGGTCACTTCTTCCTCTAGTTCTGCATTGATTGTCTCAACAATTGAGCCTATAGTTAAAGTCTTGTGTCTTGACCTTCGCTTTATACATTAGGCTATTTCTCGGCACATTTGTGAACGTAACTCAGAACTTACCATGAAATCTCAATAGTAACGGAGGCAGGTTTTTCGAAAGATATTTTTCTGCCTTTTGCTTGGTTATCGATGTCACATTACATTGTCCGTCTACAGATCTCTTGAATTCAAGCGTTGGACCCCTTACGGAGGCGCAGCTGTTCGAAGCGATCGCCAAGGAAACGCAAGTGAAATCAGAACAAGAAGAAGGCAAAGACGAAAAGCCATTGGCTGAAGTTTCTGAAGAACCAACCAATAGCGATAACACAAAGACAGCTGTAAGTAACTTCATCTTGCCTATTTTGATTAAATAAAAAAATATAGTGGACGGCACCAGCTTTAGTAGTTGGTACGAACCCTCTAAAAAATCAACAGCAAGGCGCACCTCTCTCTTGAGCAGTTCTCTGTGGATTCGCAAAACAATATAAAATTGTCTGTGTATCACCATTCCTGTCCTACAAAATTTTATTCATTATTTTTGTTTAAATATATTTATACACAAATTAAACCTTCAGCAAATCAAAATCTAAGCAAAATAAAAGTAAATCTGATTAAGAATGTAAATACATTGACCAAAAGTCTAACAATTAAAGGTTACAACACCTACCAATCTTTTCTACCTATTGCTGTTCTTCCAGGGAGTTGTGTTTTAGCGTCAGCTCTTTAGATGCGTTTGAAATTGTTTTTTGAAACGATCTAGTGTCGGTAGTTCATGAATTTCAGCAGGTGTATCCATCCAAGATTTGAGAGCTGCAATTTGGTTCGAAATGCAAGATTTTTCCGCAATAATAGATGTATCCTAACTGCACAATAACTTTAAATTTTCGCAGCTCAGATTTGAGTTTCTGTGAGTATTATTTGCATGTTGCATATGTAAATAATGTTAATAATGCTAAGAGTGTCTGCTAAGCGACGCAAAAAAACATCTGTAACATTCATATGTTATAATTTTTGTGATATTCTGAAGACAGTTGTCCTGTTGTCACAAAAGACATTGATAATTTCTGCATTAAAGGACCTAGCCGTAGCTGATGAAACAAAAAGCGCAGAGACTCAGCCAGATTCCAAGACCACCGAGGCAGAGAGCGCAGCAAGCAAAGATAGCCCTGCACACACTGAACAGCCAACTGCTACAACATCCACAGTTTTGACTAATCAAACGCTGCCGCAACTGCAAATCGCTGCACAGCAGCAGCAAATACAACAGCTTCAATTGCAACAACATTTACAGCTACAGCAATTGAAGCTGCAGCAAGCACAGCTCGCACATGCAGATAACATACACTTGCAGGCAGGTGCTATCATTCCAGGACATCCCCATCCCATCGCTCAAGTCGTACAGCAGCCACTGGTTTCTATGCAGTTGACATCAACCCTCAATCCAGCGCTTACAACCCAGCAGGTATTCTTACGATACCAAAATATATACTTACAGGCTGCAGTTTTGAGGCCGTGTTTCTCCTAAACTCCTTTCGATAATCGTTATAGCGTTAGTATAACTTTAAGGACAATCAACAAAATACTCAAGTGGCTTAAGCCTTCTTTCTATCAATATAGGCCAATCAATTGTGTGATACCAACCAGACGCTAACTGATTGGTTAATAGTTGATTGACAGGTGGTTTAAGCCACTTAAGCATCTGTCGATCGCCTTTGAGATCAACACCTTCAACAATTTTGTCAAAAAGTTCGAATCCTATGATCCAATGTTCGCAACAATCAAGAAGATCATACAAGGAAGATCACCTTTCACCTGAAGACAACGTTACCACTATTAACTCTTCTAAACTGCAAATCATTTTACTTATCAAAATATCACTAGTGATTTCAGGGTCAGATTATCTTCAATTTAATATTTTTTGTCACAATAGCTCATGGTGTCTGCTGCCCAACTAATCGACCCTTCGTTGCCTGCTGTTGTTGCCTCGCAAGGTTTACAGCGAATAGCAGCCCCAGGTATTCATTTCCGCCATTTTTGCTTCGTATTCTAATCTAATAAAGATGTGTGTAAGGGTTCGGTTTGTAGCACTGGAAGGATTGGTGAAATCCTAGACTTTCAGTAGAAGGAAGCTGTTCAAAAAAATTATCCCACTGGTAGAAATTACAAACAAATCTCTGCTGTATTTGGTACCGTAATCTTATACATTTTGCTGCTTTCGTTTATGAGTTTTTTTCCACTTTTAGCTGCAAATATAAATTAACTGCCAGCATAAGCAAACTTGTTTATTTTTTGGAGATATCTAGATTTTCTCAATTTTTTAGAAGGATTTGTCTTTCGCTCTCAGCTCAGTGTGAATTTCTTAGATAAAAGACCTGAACATAAGCTCTAAGGCAACCCTTGATTTAACATCACAGTTTTGTCTCTTTAAAAAAATCTAATCTACGTTCCTTTTGGTAGAAGTAAAATTGAAGTTTGGATTAAGATTCAAAACTCAAATGGAGACATGTTTTAATGCCTTATGCTTAAAATGATAGGTTATTTATTAGCATTGTAGTTCCAACTTTGTTTTGAAGGAAAGGGGGCAACACAGCTGTTTCTATAGACATGAATTGAAAATAGACCGAGGATTGACTAACACTGCTTGGATGTTCCAAGTAGTTTTGGCAAGCATTGTAGGCCCCTCAAAGCTGTCGAGCTTAAACTTCGTTTGAATATATTTTTTAGATAAAGTTACATTCTATTGAGTGCCAAATTCTTTGTCATCCTCCGTTTTTTGCTTTCTATAGTGTGATTTCCCGTTGACACCTATCGTAATTCTTTTGAAATTATAAAGGTTGACACACAACCAATATGTGTCATGTGTCATGTGTCAGAAATAAGTGAGCCACTCGCACTGTCTACATTTTAGGGCTTACGTCACATTTAAGCACAGCTGGTAACATTGCCCGTCAGGCACAACCGAACCTTGGGTAAGGAATATTCTTATTTTGTCGTAATAACTCCCAGATTGAACGCTTGGAGCTTTGTCAGTGTCAATTAAAGATAACACATTGATTCCTAGTGCCATTTTTCAAGTGTGCTTTAATATAATTTTTTTTGCCTGCTTTGAAATAGAACAATCGAACTTTGGATTCAAGGCAAGTTTGTTCTTTTTTGTTCTTGAACAAAATCTTAGTGTATTTGCAACGTTTCCCATCTTCCCCAAGTTTTATTTGAAAAGTCTTTATTAGAAAATAATACGACGCTTTGTTCTCTAGGATGTCGATGGCAAGTGCTTTTATGCCAGACGCTGTTCAGTCACTGGTGCCAAAGATGTTACCCACTGGTGTGACGTCACAGTTGTCAAGATCCTCTGCCCTTTTGAACAGAGACGGCAGATCATTAGCATTATTCGACCCACTATTTGATTTGAATTCAGAAAATTCTGACAGTCTACCGATGACAGCAGACGAGTTCTATAGAATGAAGCTCAAACTAAAGAATGCGTAAGTTTTCATCTTTGCTGTAGCACAATCAGGGACGCCGTAGAGGGGGCGCGGGGGTCAACCGCCCCTGTTGCCTTTCGATAGAAGGGGCAAGGGAGGCCAAAGTGCTCTTTTCATTAAAGCGTCCATGACATCGGCTGTTTGTTATTATAAAAAAATTCATATGAAATTCCAACTATACTGCTTATTCATGACGACATTTCTAAAATTTTGTAAAGAAATTTCTTATGCCATTAGTTTGCCGATTTTCAAGATACCTACTACCTACAATTGATCGAAACAACAAAATGATATTTACGAAAGAATTGTTAGTATCTGGGAATTATTTTTCAAATGCTCTTTTCCTCGAACTTGCACCCCTTGCTTCTTGGTCGTTCCGGCGTCCCTGCGCACAATTAATTTTTTCGCTAAAGGTACTTGTAAGTTCCATTTAAAATGTTATTTTCTGTATATATGTTATGAACATTTTGGTTTTTTTATTCACATTTTATTTAGAATGCCCGATTTTTTCTTTGTATTTATTTTTCAATATAGCATATTATTCTACTGTAAAATAGGAGCATTTTTTCATTACTTTGAGTCACGTCTTTATCCATTGCATTTTAATTTCGTTAGGAATACAAAGAGAAGTGACAGAAGCAGATCACGCTCAAAAGAGAGAAAAAGATCTGATCGTTATCGCAGCGATGATAGAAAAAGTCGCCGGAGAGACCGGGGAAGAGAAAGGAGTAGGGACAGAACGGAAAAAAGTAGGTCTGCTAGTCGCCACGATTCACGTGACAGACATAGTTCACGTGATCGAAGCAGGAGGAAGGAGGGAGAGTCGGTACGAAGCAGCAAGGAAAGGAGTAGCAAGGAGAAAAGAAGCAAGCATAGAAGTCACACTCAGAGGTCATCCCGGCCAGAAGAGTACTTACAGAGAAAGCAAAAAGACAGGGTATCTGAAATGATCAAAGATTATGACAGTTTCGATGAAGAGGAACGAGAGTTGGTGGAAGACCATAGGTCTAAGGGAAGCAGTTCCCACCGATCACATGGCAGCTCAAGGTCGAAAACCTACTCACCTGAAATTGGACTAGAGCAAAGAGAACAATTTCAAGGTGAAAGGCGGTCTGACAGCAGTTGGAGCCGATCGCCAACCCCTGATTTGGAGAAGAAACTGGTTGGGCATAAGGATGACACTGGCTTTAGTGGTGAAGAGTTGGGAGTTGAGAGTTCAAAGAAAAATGGAGCCTCAAGTAAACGCCAGCAGAAGAAGATTCGGAAAAGGAAATCAGGTGGTGTTGAGAAAGATGAAAAGACGATGGTGAAAAAGGCTAAAGGGGAAGATAATGAAGAAGACGCTGGCAAGGCTGCTAAGTTGGACAATAAGGTTGAAAAGAAGGAGAAAAGTGACAATGTAAAACATAAATCTACATTGAAATCGAAAAAGAAGAAAGTCATTAAACACAGCCTTCATAAAAATGCTAACTTGTCTGAGGGATCCACCAGTGTAGGAGAAAGCCCAAAGAAAGCTAATAGGCTAATCGTTGAAAAGGTTGCTGAAAACAAAAAGAGTAAGGAGAAGAAGACTAAAGTAAAGAAGATAAAAAAGACGAAGAAAGTAAATCGAGCTGTAGAAGAAGCGATCGCAGAAGTTAAGACAACTAAGCCATTAGTTGATATTTCTTCAAGTCAGACCGAAAGTGAAATCGAATCAAAGAAAACAGGTGAAATAAAAGTTGAAAATGAACACAAACATGAAGTTGAAAAAGAAAGAGAAATGAACTTGAAAACAGAAACTGAAATTGACACAGATAAACAAGATGAAATCCAGGTCAAGAATGAAAGCAATATAGTAGTGGAAGGGTACATTGCAAGTCAAGCTGTGTTGGACAGTGGCAGGGATATCGAGGTTGAGAAAGGAACTGAAATTGATTTAAAGGAAGAAACTGAAATGGAGATCAAAGAGGGAACTGGAATGGATGTTAAAAGCGAAATGGCGGTTAAAGATGAGACAATGGTCGAAGTAAAACCGGAAACCAAAATCGAGGTAACAGTCGAAAATGTAATCGTGGTAAAAGGAGAATCTGATATCGTGACAGAACAAGAAAACGACTTTATGGCTAAAAAAGAAGGTGTCATAGAAAAAGGTGACGTTCTGATGGATAATATGGTAGATAAGAGTGAGAACGATTCTGTTACCAGTACCACATGCACCCATGATGGCGTGCTTATTGATGGTGAAAAGAGCAAGTTGTTAGAAGAGGACAGTAAGGGAAAGCTAGATGTTCCTGGGGATAGTAGAGACGAAAGTCCTTCCTTTAATGAAGCATCCAAAACCGAACATTTTTCAGCTTCAGAGTGTGCTCCAGAGAATAATTTGCTCAACAAAGATGAAGTCAGAAACTCAGAAGAAGCCCGGTCAGAAACTCTGAGCAAATCAATTGATGAATCGGCAATTGATAAAGAATCTGTTAATGAAGGTAAGGAAAATAAGCCTCACGATTTGGAACAATGCGAAAATTTATCTACCGGTAAGCAAGAAACGGGAAGCACTGAGGAAATGGCTCGCAAGTTGGCAAAGGAAGATATGATCGTTGCAGCTGGAGATAGAACTGTTGTTGAGGGGTCGTCGGAAGAAGCAAAGGGCACAGTAGAAACTTCTAGTGAAGAAATAAATCTAGCTGTTGAGGATGCTAAGTCCAAGGAAAAGATAAAAGAGGTAAAACGACCGGAGGTACCTGGAGAGTCAGTAACATGTCAAGATGCTGAAAAAGAAACAAATGTTGTGGTTGGAAAAGAAGATGCGGCAAAATCTATCTGGAGAGATGGAAAAGGTTATGACTCCGAATCGTCTGTTGGTGACGAGGAAGTAATAGGGACTAATGATAAAGACTCAGATGGTTTGACAGTGGAGGCAAGTGATAACGATGGGCAGGGCAAAGGGAGTGATGTTGACCATAGCGATGATGAAGAAGAAAGCGATGGTGAAGAAGAAAGCGATGATGAAGACCAAGAGAGCGACGATAGCGTTGAAAGTGCAATGGAAGATGAACAGCAGCAGAATGAGGAGATTGAAGTTAATGCCTCCAGTAGTGAAGAAACCTCTGATAGTGGATCTGAGGAAGTTGTAGATGAGGTAGATAACGAGGATAAGGAAGATGAAGATAGCGGAGATGAAGCGGAAGAGGAAGAGGAGGTAGAGCTTGATAGCGAGGAAGAAGATGCAAGTGAAGAGGCTGGGAGCGGAGAACAGGAGGAGATTGAAGATTCAAGTGAAGATGAGAGTGAAGGAGTTGCAGAGGAAAGCGAAGAGGAAGATGACGATGCTAGTGCAGAAGAAGTTGAAGAGGACATCAAGGAAGAAGAGAAATCTTTACCGCAAGAGAAACCTTTGAAAACTGCCCATTCGCGCTCTTCTGTCAGGAGACCAGTCAAGGTTTCGAAAGTTGATGCAAGCGCAAAGGTAAATGGGAAGTATAAACCTGACGATAAATCGGATGATGAGTCTGAAGATGAACGAGAGGCAAGGCGTGCTAAAAAGAAGAAGAAAAGAAAGGAAAGGCGAAAGAAAGAAAAGGAAAGAGAAAAAGAAAAAGAAAAAGAGAGGAAAAGGAAAAAGAAAGCAAAATACGACGATGATGAAAATGATAGTGAAGACAGTGACGAAGACGAGGAAAGGCGACACAGGAAAAAGAAAAAAGCGGAGAAGAAAGCTAAGAAGAGCAAACGGAAGCACAAGAAACGGAAACATGCGAAGAAACATCGCAAGGCCAAAAGACGAGACGAAGAGGAAGATGATCATGATGACGATGTTGAAGTGGATAAAAAAAGAAAGAGGAAGAAACATCGATCAGACGAGAGTGAATCGGAATCCGAGAGCCCGACTAAATATATGAAGGTATCTAAATCGAAAAGAAAGGACTCAAAGGGCCGAAAATTGCAAAGGCATTCTAGCGATGAAGATGGAATTGTTGTCGATATGGACGAAATTAGGCGTAAGGGTTCCAACAGACATGAATCAAGGACAATTTACATAGAAAGAGATGCGCGTGATGACATCAGGCGAATAGAAGCAAGGAAGAAAAGTAAATTGGCAAGGACCGTTAGGACTTGACCTGCATAGCATAAGTCAGCTGCCTGTTTATTCGGTCATTCGTAAAACTAATGCTATCTGCGGTATGACGGTTTTGAACGACGTTCAATTTTTCCAAGGATCCCTAAGCCCGTCAAACTCATTAATATGCACAATCGAGTTTCATATAAAGTGTTTTTCCTCCCTGCCACGTTAAAATAGATACCATCGAAATGTACTTTCATGATTTTACATTTGTTCCAGGTTCTAGCTCTGAAACCAACCAAAAACCCCTCAACCAAAAACCCCTCAACCAAAAACCCCTCAACCAAAAACCCCTGAAACTGAAACGCTGTTCTAAGAGTGGCAAAATTTGAACTCATTTCAGCATTTCCTTTGTTTATACTTTTTTCGGTATATCCATTTGATTCAAATGTCAATAGCTGTTCTGCAAAACTAGAAACATGCATCTATTGTAATTTTCTGTATATCGCAAAAATATATAGTTTATTTCCATGCAATTTTTGTTATATTGTTAAGGGGACCTAGAGTTGCTTTCTCTTAATTTGATGTACTCGTCAGCTTGAACCGTACAAGCATGATGGTATGCATAAACATTTTCTTATAGTAGGACGTAAACCGTTGGGTTACACTACGACTTTATGCGCTATTTTTATTAGACATGCGTTGATTAATCCTATGCATTTATGTAGATTAAGAACCCCCTACTCTACATTTGCTATGCTTCGGTGCCCGTGCTACTGCAAAGGGACAACACGGACAATGTTTATTGGTACACTGGCTGCCTATTCTCTCTATTTCTTATTGTGCCTTGCAAATATATTTGAATATTTTAAACTCCCCACTTACTCATGAAGATACTTTTATTTTCTAGCCAGTTTTTTATTGCCGTTGACATTTTCTGCAAATTTTGTTCAACTAACAACCCAGGTTGCCGATTTAATTTTACAATACTCTTGTACCCTTAATACCTCCTAGTTCACCTCGTTAGAAATTTACTGTACCATAGGAACCCATTAATAAAAATCGTCAAAAGATACCCCAATCAGTCTTATTTAGGCTCAATTGCTTCGAAACCACCAAGAAAGAACTCTAATTTTCTGTAGGAACCTTAGGCAAAGTTGAAAATCGTAATCATATGCGCTTTTTCAGTAATTTCCTCCTAGAATTAGTTTAAATTCGTTTTGATATGTATAATGTTGAGTTCATTGTACATGTTGTAAATATATTATTGTGAAATTCATAGAGATATCTCATAAATATGTTGCCTTTGATTTTCTCCCAATCACTCAACGTAGGCGAAAGTTTGTTAATCATCTGTTCATGCCTGTCTACTCATATAATTTTTTACTGTTCTAATTTCTACCAAGAAGGTTCAAGAGTAGGCTCAATTTGTTTTTCCAAAAAATCTGAGCGTGAAGGCAGGTCAGTTTTCAAGATATTTGCAAGCTAGCAAGCAAATACACTACTAACACCCTACTAATTTAAAGAACAAATCAAGAACAGTCCAGCCTCAGATTTATTTTCGAGAAAAATTCAACTGTCAGCCTGAACATTAATTTCCTGGTTTTTATGAAAAAGAGTGTAATTGATAACATGGTTGTCCATACCTTGAGGAACATTGATTCCTTTGAATTTTCAGAACTTTGCATGTGCTAATTTATAAAGTTCAATTTTCTTAATAAAAATCTTACAGGGTCGAAAGTAGCTTGCAGCTCTGGGTTTCACCATGTTCTACAGTTTTCTTATTCCATCTATATTTTCTTGGACGATATACAAAGAAAAATGCCTGTGTGAAAACGTACACGTGCGAGGAATGGATCAAGTTAACGATTTCAGGGGCTTCCCTTTGTGTGGGGCTGGTAGCCTCCATAGTTTCCTTAAAGATCATACTGCCACTAGCTATGCAAAACAGTGACAGAAATAACCAGTGTTATGGTTTTTGACATACATAAATGAACATTCTTCCAGTTTCGGCAAAGTCAATGCTGACACCTCACATATTCAAATGAGACAGGGTTTATTTTAAGGAATTTTTGTCACCGCAAATATTTAACTACCTCGCACCCAAGCATTCACGAAAGATCTTGATGAGATAAAAGTGGTCTAGGTTTTAAGGTGTTTTCGAGAATAAAGATTTTTTAAAAACAAAACAAAACAAGCTTCTAGATATTGAACAAATTTTATAGAGGTTTCATAGACTTTGCTCATTGCTATTGCTATGTTCTCAATTTTAATATTCTCTCAATAGTCTCTCAATTGTAGTTTTATCATGAGCTTATCACTGCACAATTACAAGCTATCACTGCACAAATTGGTTATCACTGCACGTTGAAATAAACCCTACTTTGATATCTCTATGCCAATAAGCTGATTGAGCTTGTGCTGAGTGTGCCCCCCTCCTAATCCGAAAGTAAATACTTTGCCTCTGGCAAATATATGAGTATATTTTATTTCAATTATCTATGTCAATCTATGGGTTCCCAACATTGATAAAAAACCCAACCCCAGAATTTCCAACAGCAAGGGGTTTTGTCCAAAAATTACGTAATTGATAGTGCCACACGGCTACAATGCACGTGTAGACGTACTTACGACGTAATAAACGAAAGAAAGGCAGCGCGGGAACAAACCAAAGCACTAAGGATACTTGTTCGCTCCCTATCTGTGGATTGCTTCGCCGATAGTTTATGGGCAGAACATCAATTTTGGTGGAAGGGATCAGATAGAGTCAAGTAAAAAGCTAGAGTAGAAGTTTCAACATAGCTTGGCTAAGATTTTTGCGCTGCTCAAAGTTGCTGCAGCTTAGGCCCTACACTCAAAACAAGATGGCTAGCGCCAGGAAGCGCAAGGTCGCCTTGGCTTGTGATGAAAATTCTCCTAAGAAAAAGAAGATAGCGGCAGTTGAAAATGATAAAGAGGACGTTGGTGAATGTGCAAATACAAGCCAATGTCCTGATACAGAAATCTTGGCCTACTATTCCGAGAAAAGGCGAAGTGCTCAGCCCGAGGGTGGTAAAGAATTTAAATTTAACAAGAAAAGAGTGAGAGTGATATCGGAGGCAAAGGATATTCCAGAAGACTGCAAAGGGGTCGTTTACTGGATGTTTAGAGACCAAAGAGTTGAAGGTTTCACCCATATTCTGTTAAATTCTTTACTGTTAGCTTAATTTAATCCAGAACTGTTAACTCCAGTAAATCATTGTCTGTATTTAAATGAATCATTTATTGTGTTATAAATTTTAGTTTTGTTGAGATTGTTTTGAAATTCAACTGACCCTATGTTCACTCCCATAAATAAGATCTTCATAAAGGCCTTTTAAAACACCAATCAGTGCCTTGCATTTGATAACACAAATCAGCATCAGTAATTGTTGTAAATGCAAAGACATACCAAATTTCAATTTGAAAGTTCTTACAGGAAGGCTGCCTACAGTTTGCAAACCATATATGCAATTAAACTGTGAAAATATGTTTCCTACGTATTTTACTTTCAACAATGCCATATCATCCAGTATTCCTGGCTCTTCAGTTTAGTTCTTCATTTCTCTGCAGACAACTGGGCTCTTATTTGGGCTCAAAGAATGGCAATTAAGATGGAAGTGCCACTTGTTGTAGCATTCTGTCTACCAGCAACTTACCTTGATGCCACCATGAGACAATATAAATTCATGATTGAAGGGCTGAAACAAGTTCAGAAGGTAAGAATGGTTTTATGAAAGTTTTTTGTTTTCTATGAATTTGCAGAAATTTTCTATGGTCCTGTTGCATTCTTATTTAAAAGTTTGCTGCAGAACTTACAACTTTTTACGGATATTGTTGGCAAATTGTGTTTGTTAAGTTTGAGAAGTATTAAAACCAGCAGTTTCACGCACAATAACAAGCAACTTATATTCATTCATATATTCAAGCAACTTATATTAAGATAAATTCATTCATAACATAACAGCGATTACAACCTTAGCAAAAAAGTAAGAGGAAGTATCATCTTACAGCTCACTGCATGAAGGTGTGCAATAAAATCAAAAGTAAACATCATGGTTTGTAACAAAATAATAGCTCTATTTTTTGTGTATTCTAACAAGAAGATAAATATCTGTTGTGTTAAAATTTGCCCGATTTCAACATCGTTGGAAAGCTAACTTTCAAAGCTGAAAGCATAATTTTCAGGAACTTGAAAAGCTCAGCATCCCATTCAATGTACTGCAAGGAGAAGCCCCATCTGTGCTTCCAGATTTTGTAAAAGAACATAACATTGGAGCTGTTGTTGCCGACTTTCTTCCCCTCAGAAAGCCAATGAAATGGTTAGACGATGTTGAAAAAAAATTACCCAAAAATGTTGCTCTTTGTCAGGTAAATATGCTTCTACTACCCTTGATATCTTAAAAATTAATTGCTTATCTTATTTTTGAAAAATGCTTTTGACAGTTTCTTTGCTCTTTAAAACACCAGAGTTTATAATTCAAATGCAAAGTCCCTGTATAAGAACCTAGTGAATTAAGAACATACAGGTTGAATTTCTAAAATTTGAGCACCATTATATAACAACCCATCCAGCTTGAAATCTGAAGAAGGTTCCTATTTGTAAAGGTCACCAAATTACATCTTGAAAACTCTAGTTGCTTAATCATTATCATTGAACCTCCAGCTGAAATGGTAGATGCTTAAAAATGTCTATATAAATGCAGAAATCAATACCCTGTTCAGTATTTCAATATTTTTTTATTCATGTTCTAAGGTGCTGTACAGTTCATATTTTTAAAGTCTTTGGATGACTCTTTTTTACTCAACTTTCTCAACACAGTCTGTAGTTAGTAGGGATTTCAACTAAAAGCTATGCAATCCACTGAAATTTCAAGACCTGTAACCCCAGGTTTTAGTTGTGGACTCCTTGGGGGGGGGGGCAACGGGGCATGGTTACCCTAAAATATGTCGTATATTAGTATTGAAATGCTTAATGGTCTTTCAAGCAGTTGCCCTGCCACCTAAAGCTGCTTCTAACAGTTTTTAATTTGCACTGATTTGACATATCTTTCATAGAAAGTGACTCATCAAAACAGGGTAGGAGCTCAGTCCTAGAAGTTTTTAAAGAACATGCTAGGTGCCCCCTCCATGCCTAGAATTAATCTTGAAGTTGTGATGGAATTATTTGTATGGTGAAATCAGATTATTATGTCACTTTGCTATTCTGTATTTCAGGTTGATGCTCACAACATTGTTCCTTGCTGGGAAGCATCAGAAAAACTAGAATATGCTGCAAGAACGATAAGGCCAAAAATAACAAAAAAGCTTACAGATTTTCTCACTGAGTTTCCCCCATTAAAAGTGCATCCACACAAAGCAACAAAAGATCTAGAAATGGTATGTTTATTTCTAAATGATTCTGATGATTTCTTTCAGACATTTGACTGGCTACTGGCTCCTTACTTGCGACTTGTTTATAAAATTTTCCCTCATTGGAAAATTTGATCAGATATAAACATATTTGCTGAATGGAAGTATTAAATTGTAAACATATCAATTTTCAATGCAGGCTATTGACTGGAAGTCAGTTGAAAAGTTCATCAAAGTTGATACAGGAGTTGAGGAAGTCAAGTGGGCAAAACCTGGAACACTCAATGGCTTGATGATGTTAGAATCATTTGTTAATAAGAGACTGAAGAACTTTGCTTCAGATCGTAATGACCCAACAAAGAATGCCCTTAGCAACCTTTCTCCATGGTTTCATTCAGGTAGGGAATATTGAACCCTTATTACTTGGTTTACATTATCAACACCGCAAGGAAACATGCTAGCTACTTTGTTTCATGGTAGGAAACTTGCAAATTTAGCATGTCATAATCACTTAGACTCAAGGAAAACAAATAATAAATCTACACATAATATAAACATTGTTTTTTGGTTTGTGAAAATCCAGTTAAAGGAGTAGTTTCCCTACAGACTGTGGCTTAACTATTTGAAAGTTGCACTCTGAATTCCTTTGAACAATTTCAACAGGGACATTTTGTTAAATATTTTTTTCTCAGCAATTGCAGAGGTTATTTGGACAACTGGAACGCATTATTTAATGTAAAATTGATTTAGCAGAGCGGAGATGCTATCGAGGGGGCCAAGCTCCCTTGTTAAAATTCAGAGAAATTTCAGGTGGCTCGGTTCCTTCCTCTTAAGCTAGCACATGATAGGTTGGATAAATTCTGTGTTGTTAACCATTTATTATGTTGTAGATTTTCCGCGAATGAGCAGTTTCCTATCTGCCTTATGTGAAAAGTTCATATCATTGCATATACGCAACAGAGTCCCTTTAGCGCAAACATAAGTATATTAGGTGTGGTCATGGGAATGGTTATAGTTTTGGCTTCTAGATTTTTCCAACAGCATAGCCCACTCACCCCCGGCTCATATATTACCTTTCAAGTTTTATCAAATAATTCGCCACTTCACAGGGCCTACAGGGGGGGGGGGGGGGGGCAAGTGGCTATGGCCCCACGTTTTTGCCAAACAGTAGAGTGTTTTGCAAAATCTTTTGAAATGGGATTTAATTCGCCATTGGCCTCCCTAACTTTCCAACTTGCATCGGAGCTCCTGCTTTAAACATAAACTAGCCCATTGTTGCTCCCAAGCATCAGTCTTCTTGAAGGATGTTATTTTACCAACATCTCTCACCCACAGGCCAGATAAGTACCCAAAGAGCAGCTCTGCGTGCCAGAGAATTTCGCAACAAATACAGCGATTCTGTTGCTGGTTTTCTGGAGGAAATGATTGTCAGGAGAGAGCTCTCGGACAACTTTTGCTTTTATAATCTGCAGAAGTATGACTCTCTGAAAGGTGGCTACGAATGGGCTCAAAAGACCTTGAAAGACCATCGAGGTGATAAGAGAGAAAAAGTTTATACCAAAGAGCAGTTTGAAAATTCGAAAACACATGACCCGCTTTGGAATGCTGCTCAGGTATTAAATTCTAGGCATTATGCATAATGGGCATGTTAACTTGCAACATAGGTTGCGTTATAGAAGTAATAGGGGTTAAAGGGGACTGTACCTTGTAATTTGGATCACACACAGGTTTGCTTGTATTCTCAATTTGAGCTGTCAATTATCATTTGACCGCTTTCTCCGTGTTTGAATTGGAGTTATTCTTTATTTGGTGTGAACATAAAAACGGGGTTCTTGAGTTGCTGCCAAGTCAATTTATTAATAAAGAGAAAACTTTCCTTCTCGAATGAACACTATTTATTTGTGTGTTCAACGGCTGTGATACTAATGATACAATGGTTTTGGATTCATCAGTATTACTTGTTTCAAGAACAAAACAGATTTATTTTTCTTTATTAACCTCTTAAGAAGTTTTAAGACGTTTAATTTAAAAAGCTGGATCATGATAGGCCATATGAAAGGCTAAAAAGAATCAACTTTGAATTGTTAATTTTTTGTTTCAGAAACAGCTCGTGCAGGAGGGAAAAATGCATGGCTTTCTTCGCATGTACTGGGCTAAAAAAATTCTCGAATGGACTGCTTCGCCTGAGGAAGGCCTGGCAACTTCAATTTACTTGAATGATAGATACGCTCTGGATGGAATCGATCCAAATGGATATGTTGGTGAGTCATAATAATTAGTGGTTGTATCATTTGTCTCGGTATCATTTGGGGGTGGGAACTATAATCGAAAATCTTGCGTTTCTGGTGGTGAACGTGTTTCTAAGATCCTTAAGGTTGTTTTTAAACATACCCTTTAGGAGAAAGAACAAAAAAATTTAACCAAATCATATTGCCAGAACTCTAGTGGCAAAGGAAAATCAAAACCATCTAAGATAAATCAAGATAGAGAGAAATTAAAATTAATGGCTAATAAATTAATTATTTCGATGAAACTTTTTGAACGTTATGCCCTCCAAAACCCTTATCATTTTCCAGCATTTTGATTGAGCAATCTCGTTTGATTTTTCAGTAACGATATTGAATGACCGATGCAGATATTTAACTGTTTCTTTTCCCTCGAAATAATTGGAAAGATCTATTTCCAAAAGTGATTGCGATGTTTTTGCAATTATCAATGCCGTCATGGTCTGGTCTCAGAAGAAATTATGTCTTTTTATGTGAAATGCACAGTTTTACAAAAAGGAGTAATAAAGGAACTATACATCAAGTAACAGGGAAGCAATAGATCGTCCTTTTGGAGAGGACAATTCTGTTTGCAATAATTGACTCAAAAATCGTTATTGCTCACCTTATATTTTTGGTGTTTTTTTCTTAATGTAGGCAGAATTCAAATAATTGACTTTGTTCCAAATGATTGCTTGCTTTTAGGTTGTATGTGGTCTATCGTTGGAATTCATGACCAAGGGTGGAGAGAACGCCCAGTCTTTGGCAAAATCAGATACATGAACTATGCAGGTTGCAAGAGGAAATTCGATGTCCAAAGTTTTGAAAAGAAATACGCTTGAATTTGTCAAAAGGATCTACAAGGTGGGCGAGTGACGTCAGACTGGGATTTTATTAAGGATACCTCTTTGAAAGGCATGTTCAAATATGGGTACGGAGCAAGGACTGAATCAATGTTTATACTTAGTATGACTATTAAGTTGCCCAATTTAATGTTTAGTTTCGTTGCAGTGTAATGTTTGTTTCGATATATCTACCCCACTAGAAAACAGTTTCATAATTTGGCATTTGCCATCTCCACAATCTGTCATCAATATATCGGCATTTGTTATAGTATTTTGTTCACAAGTGTAAAACGCGTTTAGGCCAACTAAATATTACGAAAGTTTGCCCTTTGAAAGTTTTTTAGAATAGTAATCGATGACAAGTAAAGCACGCCCCATATTTCAAGTCAATGAAACATACGCATACCATATCTTTTAACACTGATGTCAGTAATCACATAATCCCGCCGTACTTTGTCTTTTGCCAACTCTATGACATTTCAAGCACCAAAAGGCTGTGTATTTTTTTAATCCTGGAAATGTAGCAACCAAAATATTTTTACTCCGATTAAAACACTCAGTAAAACCGTATAATCCTTACCCTCTAAAGTATTTAAGATTTTCCTAAAGATTATAATAGGCGTCAGTAAGTCAAGAGAAACTTATTTCAATATTTGTTAAATTTCTGTATGATAACTAAACTTTATACAATATTATGTAAGGAACTATATAAAATATACAAATTAACGTCATTAGTGTGCTAGTGCAATGTTGACTTTAAATCTTTTGTAAATATCCGTTTAGGCCATTTTCTTGTCACATACGTATATTTTAAGATATCTATTCTGAATATGATATTTATCGTTATGTTCGAACAGCCAAACTATTATTTCGTAAGTGTGTTTCTCGATTTCCGCCAAGCCATACCCGTCCATGTAACTAAATGCATGTCTTCTGGGCTCAACACATTCCGCCTACCCATTTCTACGAATGTGTTTGAAAAACCCTGAAACTAATTGTATGTTTACTAAGTCAATAATCAAGTCACGGTTTCTTCAATTTTATATCAGGGACTTTATCCAGATCTTTCAATTTGTCTATTTTTATTTCTTCTTTTTCAAGTGTTTCTGCTTTTTGCATCTTTTGTTGGATACCCGGAATAGCAGGCTGCGGGTCAGTTTGCTGTATGCTTTTTAACGGCTCTAGCGATGGTTTTTCGACTTTTGGCTTTCCAGGAATCATGGGAACTAATCCACGTATTGAAATCAGATTCTTGATTATAGGTTCTTCGGAAGTAACGTTTGATGCAACGGGGGCCTTTATGCTAGTATCTGTTTGCACCAGGCTCTTTTTGAAAATTCCAGGGAATGAATTGGCAGCTATTAGGTCTTTTTTAGTATTATCGAGTTTTAAAAGCCTAAGTCTTCTAACCAATGTTCGTTTGATGAAACTTTTTAGCATACTTCCCAACTTTACTGGAAAAATTATCTGCTGATCTTGCATTTTGTTTTCAACATTTCTTTTAGGCCGGGAATTTTTATTCTTAGCGAGTTGCCCTTTTCGATTAGGGTTTAGTTTTCTAAAGTTTTTTATCAGTGTTTTTGTATTGGTTTTGGATTTTTCTTCTTTTTCCTGTACTGGTATGTCATTCGGCCCTAGAAATTTTTGTTTTGCTTTTTGGCTATCAATGATTTGATGAACCTCCATGAGTATGTCTTTGTGACGAAGTCTTCTATTCTTCTTTGTGTGCAATTTTTTCCGAATTTTATTGCGGCGATCGTCTTCTTCATCGTCGTCCTCTTCGTCGTCAATATCGTTATCGTCTTGAATCGGCTCGACCGGCTGATAATCGTTAATCCATGGAATAGAGTCGACTGCATGGATTGGCATGATCGGAGTTGCGTCATTGATGTAGGGTTCGTGTGGATGAAAAATCCGATTCACATGCTGATTGGATTGCACTGCTTGAGTAACATCAATGCATTCGCTTGGTAGGAACTGTCTTTTATTGCTTGTCGTGCAATTTACGGTGGAATTTTGTCCTTTTGGTTGTACGATCATAGGTGCCGGTAAAATGTTTTGCCCTGCAATTGTGCCATAAAGAAAGGGTATGAATAATTGGGAAATGGGAAAACTGTTTAATAACGGACAGGCTTGAATGGTAAATTTCAATTTGAATAAACGTGTCTTGAGCAAAACTAAGTCCGTTTTCACAACGTGCTTCGATGCTAACTGATTTCGAGCCTATACCATTACAAACAGCTGCAGAATAATTTCAATGTGATGATACAAGGAGCTGAAAAACCACATCCAATTCATTTTAGAAGACTGCATAATTTTAAAGTTAATAACAGCCCAAATATGAAGAGATATTGCAAAAAGATTTAGCAGTTTTTCTGGTTTCCCATATTTGTGCTCTAAACGTAAGCTCTATGTCTAAGAATATTCCATTTAGAGGGCTATTACCCATCCCGCAATATGCAGGGGAAAACTCCCAGCCCATTATTTGGTTTTACGTGTTTCGTGCTGTTTTGTATGTATATTTATCCGCTCGTTACCTGTTGTGGCGTTCCTACTCTCTGCGTCCAAGAAAAACAAAGCTATAACAGCAAAAACTGGAATCATTCTACCTCCGAAAATCTTTCCCCTTCTGAGCATCATTGCTTTGATTTCTCATTTTCATTCGCAATTTTTTTCAAACGAATCCAGCAATTTCGCTCATTTTGCTGTAGAATTGACCGAAAAGGTCATCACATTTCGTTTGAAGAATATTTCTTGGTCACTGATCCGTGACAATGCAAGTCATTCAATTGTGTTGCTGCGGAGGAGAGTCACTGACAACAACAACTACTGTAATCACATTTAGTAATGGCGGACAGCGTCGCAGAGGCTGGTGCAAGAACCTTCCTCAAAGAAATAGCATCTAGGCTCAGTTCCGTTAATGATGAAGTGGATTTTATTGACATTCTAAAAAGCATCCATCCTCTTCTTTTTAAAGATTCTACTCAGACAAAGTATTTTGAATTAGAAGTTGACTCAAAAAGGATTTTTGTGGAAAAGTTTTATCAAAACCTCCTGGAGTTGTTATTGGGGACAGCGAATTGCTCATGGTTTGATCGCTTCAAGAAGAAAAAATACGATGATTTAAGATCACTTTTTATCGAGGGTCAAGCTGAAAGTGTCTTTCTAGGGCTTACGGTTGCTTTAAGCAAAGCAAAGTACGTACTTGTTTTAGACAGGCGTTTCCAGACAGACTGTAAAGTATTTCTTCTTCGCGGGGAACGCCAGAACAATAAAAATCAAATTTACGGATAACGAGCGGTACGCGAGAAATCGTGTGCGGAATTTGTAGCAAATACTTTGGAAGTGATCTTGTATTCTTTATTTTTTCTTATAATCAGAACTCTGAATTTTAAATGTAGGATATTCGCGGGGAACATGAAAAGATAAACAAATATTATATGCGGACTTTACTGCAGATACTTAAAAATGCGCGGGCAGAATGAACGACGAAAATTATTGCGCGATCCCTGCATAGACCAAACTTTACAGTCTAGAGACCTTTTTATGTGCAGAAATGAAGGCTAAACAAGTGCCTCTCTTTTCTCATTAAGTTGCCAGTATTGAGAATTGAAAAATGGAGACAGGTTCAACCATATTGGTAACGTTTCCCCCAACATAGGGCGCCCCAGTATACGGTCGAGCCCTAGTATAGGGATTGTCAATCAAGACTATGTTCTAAAATGCAGCCAAAGCCGTCTCAGATTAACCGTTATGATGATAGATAGAAGTAATTTCAAGACACGGCGGCTTCTCGGCCAGTAGACATTCAACCATACATTTTTAGCAAGTGGCCAGGTTTTAAAAAGCATACATGAAGGACTTTTGCAAAGCTCACAGCTACTAAATGAAAACAAAACTAAGCCAGCTATATTCCTTCAACTTACATTAAAACAAAATGCGGACCTCTGTATCTTTTCGTGTAAATTATGCCCTTTATATGATCAATAATACCATTAAAATTTATACAAAATACAAGTTTTTTAAATCTTATGTTAAATGTTGCGGTGTTTATGGCAAGCATTGATCGGGTTTTTTATGAACTGGAAGTTAGAAGAAAGAAGGTTTTGCTATGATATCAAGGTTGCAAACCAATCTCTGTGATAAGTGCAGCTGTCTGAAAATCAAATCCACTTCTATCTATCATCGCGATGATAACACACTGAAACAGCTTTGGCGGCATTTTAGAACATAATCTTGATTGACAATCTCTATACTGGGGCTCGACCGTATACTGGGGTGCCTTATACTGGGGGAAACGTTACCAACTCAACAGATTTTTCTTGCTTTCCATCAGTAATTGTATGACATAGAATATAATTTTGACAGTGTTTAAAGACTGACCTTCCTTTCTAGACACACAAACATCATAAAAGAATGTGTTTCATTGCTAGAAACATTTATAGAACATGAAAAATTTGCTGAATTACTTTGGATTCAGGCAAAAATCTTACCAACACAAAGAACTGGAGATAATGACTTACAGTACTCACATTCAGTGCAGATTATGTGGAATGAACTTATAAAGAGAATTACATCACTACCCGATAAAGTTGCAAATATTTATAAACTCTCCAAGACATCTCTGCTATGGCCATATGTATATTTTGTAATGATGGGGAAGATGATGATAAAAGTGCTGAAATTTATTCATGATGCAATTACAGGTAAATTTTTCATACCTTCCTGCTACATAGATTTCCAATATTTCAAATGTTGCAAGAGACTTTTGCCATATAATTATCATAATTATATTCTGGCGTTTGACTTGCTAATATATTTTATCTCTACAACTAATTGTAAATTACGCTTTATTTCATTTTCAAGTTTTTAGGCCATCTTTTAATGGCTCAAAGACCCCAGTAGATTGTTTGCTCTAAACCTTTTAAGCTCTAATGACTTTAGATGTGGGATGCATTGACATTAGATTGAAGTTATATTTGCTAGTAACCATATTCCTTTTTTCTCACAACAATCAGCTTATTTTCTCAGCATCAAAAGATTGTTCTTTGGAATTTCTGTCTCAGCTGTTTGGAAAGATATGTATGTTAAATCATGGAGGTATCTATTTCAAAATTTACTATTTGTAGTAGGCAGTCTGACCTGATTTGGTAGTGATGTCAATTCTCTTTCATCTGATGTACTTGATTGTTTGTTGATATTGAAGTCTTTATGACTGCTATATTAGTTAAGAGTTTATGTTGCTGACTGTCTATGTCTCAGTCTTTTAACTGCTATTATGACAGTTTCATTATTGTATCTGTTGCAGATGAATTATACAGCATAATTCTACCCGAAATGGAAAAGCTTGTTAAAACAAGCCCTCTTTGGTGTAGAATTTGTCAAAAATTGTTTGCATCCATCAATGAAGCCTCACTGGAACCTGTAATCGAAACTTTGTTGCTTAAATGTAAAAGGTTGGTATAGCTGATTGTCTGTGAAACAAAGTACTTGATATTTCATTCATTATGAAATTAAACCTTAGTTGAACCTGCCACTATTTTATTTGTTACATCAATTCCTCTTTCCTCAAGTTGTCATTCACCATGACTTAATATCAGCATGGCTTATCATTGTCATATGGTTTTCTGATTCTATGCATCAAGTGTTTTGTTGCAGAATGTTTTTATAATTCTTTCCTACTTGCATAAGCCCATACAGTTGATCTTGACTTTTTTCGTTGAAGAACAATTTTCATAAACTAATGGTTGGTTCATTAGTTGTCTGAACAACTTCAACATTTGTTACAATATTTTTTTAATACAGAGTTTTCTTTTAGTTATGAACTGGTATATCAACTTCTTGGTGATGTAACTAATAGAAAAGGCCGTCGACTGAACTTCCTGATGTCTCAAAAGTTTCTCCTCTACCGGCATTATAAAAGGGTATGGTCCATTTGTAACTCTTCCATTCCAGCTTTTATTCTAGATCCCTGATGAAAAATGATAACTTTCTTGAGTAGAGGACGGCACAAGCAACCCTAGGTCACAAGCAACCCTAGGTCACAAGCAACCCTAGGTCACAAGCAACCCTAGGTCACAAGCAACCCTAGGTCACAAGCAGCCCTAGGTCACAAGCAGCCCCAGCTTCCATTTTCTTCAGTGCGATGATAGTCTCTTTCAATGTAAATCCAATACAAAAACAGGGATGGACTGCAATATCTCTCCTGTTTACTGCCAATAAGTCTCTGCCAAACATAAGAGGGCAATTGGTGTGAAATTCAGTCACATAATAATTTTGTATCCTTCAGTCATTACCTGAATTTTCCCCACTTAAGGTGAAATGTTCTTTGATGTTTTACAAATCCATCTTCATAAGATCTTTAGCATTTGCTTCATGCCAAAGTATAACAATAATTGTTACGTTCAATCTATTTTTTCTAACAGTTTGTCTCTTTTTGTAGGACACAGTTCCTTTCTGTATCATGGGTTACTTATCAAAGACGAACAATGGCAAAGATAATTTGTTGATAGAGGTATGTTTGATGCGAAGCGTTTATTATTAACGTGAAAATATTATATCAAGACTCTTTGCTTTGGTTTTTCCGTAAGCTCAATGCCCATTTTCAGGTATATTGTGTACACTGATCTTTTAACTTTCCAATGGAACTGGAAAAAATCTGGCACAGATAAAAGTCCCAATAGGCTCCTATTCTTTATGTATAGAACATCGCATAGTTAAACGAGCAAATAATGAATTTCTAGGACCTAATATATGGTTTATCTATTCTGATCTGAATTGTTGGGGAGACGAGTCAGCGAAACTATTCAAATGAGTGAGGCAACCCTCCGTATGTGATATGTTTAATATGAAAACATGTTTAATAATAACTTCATTCCATGCGCATGTTCTTTGACTCCAGGACGGAGGGTTGCCTCACTCATTAAAAAAACTTTCTCTTGCTTATTTAGCGAGCAATTAAGTGGTTGAAATATTGATTTTTTTGTGTTAGACGTTAAAGAAGCTTCTAGATACCTGGGGAGATTCAAATGCCTTGAAACATACCTCTGTCGAACATCATTTATACGTCACAAAATGTATTTTACTTGCAATCGGATTTCTTCGTGCAAGGTTCAAAAGTGAACAGCTCCCAGAACAACTTGGCACCGGTAAGAATTATCGAAAATTTAAAAATCATTACCTCTAAGATGGTTCATTCATTTTGCCCTATGCGTTTTTCCTTACAATCTTTTTTTAGCTCTTACTGCTTTTTAGTTGTACTAATGGCAAAGAAAACAGTTGAATCTAGAAAGGACCCTTCTAAACAATTATTTCTAGCTAACAAAAAAAGAAATCTATTCTCGGTTTCGGGTTGACGTCATCGAATTTGCATCTCGCTATCTACAGACCTTTGTCAAAAATAAACATCAGATTTGAAATTGTCATCTTGAAGGTGGGATTTACTGAGAACTTCGTGTCGTTTGGGCTGTTCGGTCGCAAGAAATTACGTTTTGATATTTAGATATTTCTGAAGGTTAGACCGGAATTCGTACACTGTTTACCAGAATCTAAATTATTTAGTATCAGAAAAACAGTTCGAAACTAGTTACAGAAGTATTTTTTAAGCGAGGATTGGAAATTGTGACATGAAAGAATTTTATAGGAAATGCTTGATATTGAAAAAAATGTAACAATTTACTAAATTCATAACAAAGATTCCTTTCCATGATCTATATTGGCAAATGTGGAAGTATTGAATTGACAACGCTAACTCGAAACAGAGAATTAATAAGAAAGACGATAATTGAAAGAGATTTTACAACTCTTTGTTAGCTGCTCAACCAGCTCGTTTGAAAATATGGTGTTTGCCAAGTCCACATTTCAAGCCCTGAACAGGCTTAGGTATTATTTCCTTTTTTCAAGGCAAGAATTCGCCTATCTTCATACTGCTTTGTAATTATCGCTGAATTTGTTTTGGGTAAATTTTTTATTTCAATAGCTTTGACAATGAAGCTACTCGATGCCTTACCACCCCATTTAGAGAGTCCTGTTGAAAATGTAAGCATGATTACTGTTGCTATTGTTGTTTTTGTTGATTTCGTTGTTGTTATTCTTCCTAATTTTGTAATTTCATTCATGTATTTGATAAATATTCTTATCTAACTTAACGGAAGAGAAAATCCAAAGTTTTAGTTCCAATGGATAAAAGTATCTTTATTGGTTACTGTATGTATACGTATAGGAGGGAATTCTAGCTAGACGTTAAAAGTTGCTAGGAAATATATTTTCCCTCGCATCATTACGTTCCCATTCAACTTCGACTTTCACATATCTCATGTTAATTATGCCTCATTTAATCTATATTTGACTTGCACATTAATGGTCAGGCTCTCAGGAATGCTAGCATATCCGATTATTTGGAATCTATCTCTCTTGAAGGCAATGTTTCAAAAACGCAGAGTTTTTGGTCTTCTTAAAGGCACATCTAGGTGGAATGAATTTCACAAATAACTTCAACATTATTCGAAAGGTGATGAAAACTGAGCAAGCGAGCCCTTTCTTTCACAGAAGGTCGAAAACGTGAGAGAGGGCTTTTTCAAAACGGTCCTTTTTTACTTTTTGGCACAGTATTTCAGAGGATTTAGATATTATCTAAGGATTTCGACGAATCGCATCTAAAGTATTGTTTTTTATTTTTCATGCTATTGCCATAGTTTTGCAGTACGCGAAAAATCTTTAAGTTTAAATTTTCATATTCTGAAATAGCTCCGATGTACCTGCAAGTCCTTTGATATACAAACACTAAAGTCTTTTAAATTGGTCATGTCGTTAAATACTTTGCAACCTTGTATAACTAACTTTCTTCTCATATCTTTTTCAAAATTTATTTCATCTTAAGTTCCGGAATCTTGGAATGATTGTTGCCGAAGAAATAACAAAATTTTCTAAAGTGGAGGGCATTGAACCATTAGAATTTGACGTAAGTGACATTATAATATTTCGCCTCAGTTTTCTATTCTGCTTGACATCTCGGTAATAAAAGCTTTAAATTGGGACGCATAAAAACTTTTGAAAGCAGAAACACCGCATGCGTTGGATGTCTATTGCAATAGAAGCTCAACTATTAAATTTCAATGGTTTAAAGAAATTTTAATTCTTGAAATTTTGGTTTAATGATCAAATGCCCAAGATTGGTTCCTTTACACCTGCAGTGTCAAAGACCATGCCAAAAGATATTTTGAGCTTCGAAAAGAATGGAAAATTTGGTATTATCATTCTTGTTCTTCGCTGACCCAGTCCATACCAAACCATATACTGTGATATATGCCTTTTGCTATATGCCTTTTGCTACATGCCCTTCCTATAGCATTAAAGTTTTTTTGTTTATACAAGTTGTCAAATTTTATGAGCGATCTATGATGATTCTTCAAAATGGGATACCTGCGGAAGGATTCATCGGAACTAATATGATCAACTGCTAGTTTTTAAGTCAGACATGATTGCTTGTTGAAAACGGCCATAGAAGGTAGAATACAAGGAAAAAGGAAAAGAGGAAGAAAAAAAATTCAAGTGCTAGTTAACACAAAAAAGGGCCGTATGCCAACTTGAAGCGAATGGCAGAGAAGAAATGGTTTGAATAGGGCTTGCCGTCTGGCAGAACACTAGAGAGAGAGAGAGAGATTTTCATTGGCTGTTTACGCAATCAAAATCAAAGAGCCTATGAAGCAATGCTTTCAGGCAGTGCGCATGCTCTATGGCTGATTGTAGAAGGGGGGGGGGGGGGGGGGTTGACTCAGTCTTACCCTTTATTATCGACAAACGTCATGTTTACATAGACAGTATGAATTTTAATAATAATGGTCTTGAGTTGTCTCCAGTTGGGCATTAGACCCCAACCTAGGCATTGGGCCCCAAGCTCAAAGGAATGCGATTTTTTTTATCATTTATTGTCTAATTCCCTCTGATTTCAGTTTCCTAGAAATGAGGAAGTCAACTATTTGTCAAGCATTGCCAAAGATCCTTTAGTGGTCTTAAGGTCAGTTCATCTAGCATGACTTTCTTTATGTATTACTTTTAATGAGCTGTAAAAGATACCAGTGAGCGAAGGCACGTTTACACTAATTTTTATTCTACTTTCCTGGTTTCGATAAATTTGTCCAAGAAATAGAGTCAATGACCTTTCAAATGAGTATTCGTTCTATCAGCATCTTCCCAGTTTTAATTGTTTTGTCACCCTTAATGTTTATGCTTATTCTGTAATGGCTTCCCTCTTTGCTAACAAAAAGTGGACGCACAATGTACCAGAATATGGGTCTACTAGGGGGATTGTACTTTTTATGATGTATTGAAAACTGCCACGTATGTTTATAGGAATAAAACCTTTCCAAGAGTGGAAGCATTTATATAAATATTTTAATCCAAGTCTAGAAAACTGTCTATCTTTCCTCTGGACAATGCCCTATAGTTCTCAAAAAACTTTTAGAACAGAGTGGGGTATGTTTATGGCACTGAATTTTCCTCCAGGCCATAGTGTGATCGCCAAGTTTTATGAGCCCTCATTTTAAATTTCTATGAGCATCAAGTGGACACACAGTCTTCCAGCTTTATGAGTGACACCTGAGCAATGAGCTGTATTTTTCGGGTTTTGATTGCATGTGGGAAACACTCTTGGACATTGCCTTCATTATAATGTCTCAAGCTCATCGAAACAATTTTCCAGTCAGTCTAACCTAAATTTTAATGGCTTTGTCGTTTGCTTAAGAAAACATTCATTTCGCAAAGTGCTTTGGATAACAATTTACTCTGAAACTAACGGTTTAAAGAAGTAAAGTATTTATTTTCAAGTTATAACAAAGATGAAATCGATCATTCGCTGAAAGTTCCCGAAGTACAACCAGCTGGAGGGCCAGTTTCAAAAGAAAGTGAAGTCGAGGCAACTACAAAGTCAGAGGCTGTGGCGAAAGAAATGGATTCAGATCTTGATAGGTACTGCCAGGCTGTGTATTTCGAAAGCACGAAGGCCCTCATTTTAACTATAAATAACAGAACGGTTGCTTTATAATCGCATAAAGCGTGAAACGTTGGAGTTTACAGGTCCTGCTCAACACGCCAGAGCGTGTACAGCTTTGCGGGAGATTTCCTTCTTTAGAATATTGGGTCTACACATAGGCTATGTCTTTACCGCATAGGGCACTATATGGCAGGCGGGCAAAACAGTAATTTTCATAACTAAATATCCTATTTAATATTTTTCTGTAATTTGAAGATATTACTTGGAATAAACTCTCTTAATTCGGATGAAAATCAGGTTATGCTGAACGGTAACTTTCCTTTCAAAATTCAAATGCGAATTTTGAAATTGAGCTTATGAAATGTTACTTCTGATGCAAGCTGCATTTGATGTGTTTCCCATACAGTAAATATAATTCTTTTATCTTCTTGGATTTAGTGATGATGATCTAGAGCCATATTTGATGGACGAGGAAGATGAGTCGATTGGCGGAGTACGTCCACCAGCCTACCTGGCTGATTGCATTTCTGGTAACAACAGATTTATTATATTTTTTAGAATTCCATTTTGTCAGACTATAACTCGGTAAGTTGGGCCATTAGCATTAAATGACCTTGAGCTTTGTTACACGTGTCAGGCAGCGAATTGAAATGGGCAAGATCATTTGGAACGTTTTCTCCACCAATTAATGCTTACGAAATTCCTTTTAAAGGCGCGCTTTCTGATAGAAGTTCATAAAAAGAAACTGTAATTTCGAAAATAACTCAAAAGGGCAGCCTTCTCAGAACACTGTCAACCCTTTGTGTGTATACGTAGCATGTATGCTATAAACATATCTTTATATCCTATCTCACTTTGCAATTATCAAACAATATTTATACTTCCTATGATAAGTTTCTTAAATTTGTAATCGTTTGCTTTCTCTAGGATTGTTATCCAATGACGATCCTGCTCGATTTGAAGCTAGTTTAGCTGTTGCAGAAAAGCTCATTCGAAAAACGCCTATAGAGTTGCAAGAGGTAGGTTTTTTTGTTTCAATTTTATATTACATGATGGGTACAAGTTTTAGTTCGGGGTTTCACACTTAATGAGATCATTAGACAGCAGTTGATCATCATGACATAATATGAAAACATTTGATATTACATTTGAAATGAGATATAATATAAGTATGACATAGGTATAATATTAATGAAAATTACTGTTTACCTGTCTGTCATAAAGTGCTTTATGCCATATAGGTAGAGCTGTACACGCTATTTGGTGTAAAGAACAGGACGGTTCTAAGTTTCTACTCCGTGTTTCTATTTAAATAAATAAGATATTATGTAATTAAATGAAAATGATTTTTCATATTATGATGTCATGTAATGTAATAAGATGTAATGAAACAAAAATAAATTTCTTTTAATTGGTGTAATGTAATGAATCTAATGTAGCATATTTTTTTATTACTGCAATGTATCAAAAGCTATAGTCTTTCTTACTTTTTGTCGATTACAATGTCAAAATATTATAACTATAAGAATAATTTGATGCATGTACGCTCTTCAAGAAATGATATGAAATGATAAAATTAGCATAATTTACTATGATATGATTTAATTTAGTCTGATATAATCTAATATGGCATAATATTATTTTTTACAATATTATTTAATGTTAGATGATTTAATTAGTGTGATTACATAATATAATAAATGTTCTGTCACGTGATTATTTTGACAACTGTACTTTGTGTTGTTTTTGCATAACGATATGATATAATAGGCCTAGTTGTGATAATCTTTTAATCCATGAAATTTCTGTTTGCTTTCAGCGTGCTGTGGAGCTGGTCAAAGTCCTTCTCTACCTTCAAGATAATTACAATACCTCGAATTTTGTATTTCTTCGCCACGGAGCAATGGTGGCAGCAGCTGTAAAATGCCCCAAGAAGGTAGGGCATATTTTGTTTTTTAACTCATAAATCATCGCGTGGCAGTATTGTTAAGAAGTATTTTTACGGTATTTTGATAATATATGAGTTGAATGATACCCTAGCAAACGCAATGGTAAACCAATTATTAATACGTAAAGTAGTATAGTGTTCTTTGCATATTTGTCAATATATGAAACAGTGCAAAGTGATAAAACGTTTGATAGCTAACAATGAATATTGCATGCATGGCTATTTTAGGAAATTCATTTGATTATAATTTCAATTTGAAATTCAAAAAAGAAAGTTCAGATTAATGAATACAAAAATTGTTCGGATAACAGTTTTTATTCGATAAACAGGATTTTATTCTAGCACTGAGAGCTTATCTCTGTTAGCATTCTAATTCGTTTTCAACCAACTATCGTTATCAAGAAAGCATTAATTCAAGAAATGTCTATCTATCTATCTATCTATCTATCTATCTATCTATCTATCTATCTATCTATCTATCTATCTATCTATCTATCTATCTATCTATCTATCTATCTATCTCTCTATCTATCTATCTATCTATCTATCTATCTATCTATCTATCTATCTATCTATCTATCTATCTATCTATCTATCTATCTATCTATCTATCTATCTATCTATCTATCTATCTATTTATCTATCTATCTATCTATCTATCTATCTATCTATCTATCTATCTATCTATCTATCTATCTATCTATCTATCTATCTATCTATCTATCTATCTATCTATCTATCTATCTAATCTATCTATCTATCTATCTATCTATCTATCAATCTATCTATCTATCTATCTATCTTTCTATCTATCTATCTATCTATCTATCTATCTATCTATCTATCTATCTATCTATCTATCTATCTATCTATCTATCTATCTATCTATCTATCTATCTATCTATCTATCTATTATCTATCTATATCTATCTATCTATCTATCTATCTATCTATCTATCTATCTATCTATCTATCTATCTATCTATCTATCTATCTATCTATCTATCTATCTATCTATCTATCTATCTATCTATCTATCTATCTATCTAAGTGCCATGTCCCTTGTGGACGTAGGCGACCATGGATTTCCACAACTTTCTGTCCTTACAGGTTCAGACTCTGGACCTTATACCTTCCTTGCTGTTCCTCGGGAACTTGATCTTGCATTCACTTGCTGAGACTTGTCAGGTAGTTCAGCCGAGGTCTTTCCCTTCCTCTCTTTCCTTCTATCTTGCCTGTGATAATAATCTCTTCTAAACCCTCTTTTCTCATGATATGCCCAATGAATTCGGCCTGTCTCTTTCTAATCATTTTATTTAGCTTTCTTTCTTCTCCGGCTCTTTTCAATACTTCTTCATTTGATATATGGTCCACCCATGATATTCTCAACATCCTTCTGAGGAACCACATCTCAACGGCTTCGATCCTGCTCTCCATACCGGCTGAAATTGTCCAGCATTCGCTGCCATATGTTAAGATGGAATAAACATAGCAGCGTAGAATCCTTTTCCTAGTTCCCAACGACATTTTTCTATCTTTCAACACTCTCTTTAACTTCTGAAAAGCTTGCTTAGACATACCAATTCTGCGCTCGATCTCGGAGTCGCATTTTCCATCGTCTGTTATTAGGCTACCTAGGTAATTGAATGACTTTACTTGCTTTATTTCAGTGTCCTCTATTTTTAGTCTGCATAGCTGGTCAGATTGCTTGCTAATTACCATACATTCTGTCTTTTTACAATTGATGGTTAAACCTTTTTTCTTACTTTCTTCTACTACCTTAGTCAGAAGATTTTGTAGCTTTTCTTCAGATTGGGCTATTAAGACCGTGTCATCGGCGTACCTCAAGTTATTGAGATTATGCCCACCAATGATGAAGCCTTCCATGCCTTCTATCTCCCTTAAGATCATCTCGCTGTAGATATTAAAAAGATCTGGGGAGAAAACGCATCCTTGGCGAACTCCTCTCTGGATTTTGGTAAAGTTACTTCTATCGTTTCCAATTCTTATACATGCTGTTTGTTCCCAATACAAGTTTCTAAGAATTCGTATGTCTTTCCCAAATAGATCAAAACATTCTAGCAATTTCAGAAGTTCTTCATGTTTTACTTTATCGAAAGCTTTTGTGTAGTCGATGAAACAAATATACAGGTCTTTTTGCATTTCTATGGCTCTCTCTGACATCGTACGTAGCATGAATATTGCGTTCCTTGTGCCTGCGTCCTGGACAAAACCACATTGTTCCTCTCCAATCTCAGGCATAATTCTACTTCTTGCTCTTAACATAATTATCCTGAGCAAAATCTTGATGATATGACTCATTGGGCTAATGGTTCTGTGAAGCTCACATTCTATTGCCCCTGCTTTCTTTGGGAGAGCGATGAAGATCGATTTGCTTAATTCCTCTGGGATTTCTCCAGTATCATAGATTTCGTTTCAGCATCCCGTGAGCTTCTGAAGTCCGAAATCGTCCAATGCTGAAACCATTTCTGCCACGATCTCATCTGGTCCTGCCGCTTTGTTGTTTTTCATCTTTGACATGGCTGTGCGCACTTCAGATATTAGAATCTTCGGACCATCGATGTTTTTCTTAATAACTGGCTTCTCGCCCTTATTATCTTGGAAAAGATCCCCAATACACTCGGTCCATCTTTCCAGCATTTTTGATTTGTCCATGATGAGGTCGCCATTTTTTGCTTTTATACAACCTGAAGATGAGCATGCTTTTTTCCCCATTATTTCTTTTATCTCATTGTGCATTATTGGTGAGTTTGATCTTTCCCATCTTTCAATTTCTTCGCATTTCTTGTTATACCAGGAATCTTTCTCTTGTCTACATTTGTATTTAATCTGCCTGTCTATGTCTTTGTATTCTTGGCTTTCTCTATTGAAGATAGATTGTCTTTTTCTCATAAGATTTAGAATCTCGACTGTCATCCACTTTTGTTTGCAAGGTCTTTCTTTTTTCGGAATGACTTCTTTCGCTGATGTTACCAACGCTACTTTGAATATATTCCATTTTGATGTTTCTTCCACTCTTAGTGCTTCAAATCTATTCTTCACTTTAACTGTATAACTTTGCTTAATTTCCGGGTCTTTTTGTAATAGTTCATAGTTTAATTTTGGTGTTGCTTTTCCTTGTTGTAGCTTCTTCAGTTTTATTTTTGCTTTGCAAAACAGTAGTCGATGGTCACTCCCACAGTCAGCCTCTGGATAAGTTTTGGTTTGCTGGACTGCATTTTTAAAGCGTTTGTTTATGGTTATGTAATCAATTTGGTTCTTATATTGACCGCCCGGGCTATTCCATGTCCATAACCTCCTTTGATGATGTTTAAACCATGTGTTGGTAATGATTTGTCAGTTTGTTTTGCACCATTGAGCCCATCTTTCACCACGTTCATTTTGTATTCCAAGGCCATGTTTTCCGATTACTTCTCCATCTGCTTCTTGACCAACTTTAGTATTTAGATCTCCCATTATGATAACAATTTCTTGAGACTTACAATGTGATTTTGCTTCCTCTAACTTGTTGTAGAATGCTGCGAACGATGTTGGCGCATACACTATAATGATAGATATGTCGAAAGGTTGCCCCTTTAGCTTGACTAGAATAACTCTGTCTGAAATAGCCCAGTATCCCATCAGGCATTTTGCTCTTTCTTTGTCGAGAATGATCCCAACCCCTCTCTGATGTGTTTCACCTCCGGAGTGTATAATTCTGTAATCATCAGATTGAAAATCCGTTGAGCCTTTGTTATCCCATCTTGTTTCGCACACTCCGAGTATATGGATATCCAATCTGGCCATCTCTTGTGTAACGTTCTCCAGTTTTCCACTTTGGTACAGAGTTCTGACATTCCAGGTACCAATTCTGATGGATTCATTATTGCGCACAGTAGATTGATGACGGTCCGGAGCCACCTGTCGCACATGGACAACCTTACCGAGCGAAGCACCAGTATCTAAGGATACGGTCCCCTTCACGCTGTTAGCTTTTTTCTGTTGTTTGTGCATGATCCATGGTTGTTCTTGGCATAATAAGACAGTGGTTTGCCAGGGCCTTCTGAATAGTGTTTTTAAAGGGACACCATCCCTCTTTCCAGGAATTCTTCCGCCCGAAGCCGTTGATTCCCGAAGTCGTAGCTCTTCCGCCATCATCACCGGTCTCCCGCCGAATCCGCCGTTGGCCATCGCTCGTAACCCTGAGCTAGGGAACCCTTACCAGGTACTACCAGCCGGGCCAGACTGGATCTGTAAGCTAGTGAAGGGAAGGGACGCTTTAGTTCCCCATTCATGTCCTGTCGGAGCACGCCACTGCCAAGAAATGTATTGACATGAAATTTCTTTTACAAGAGATAGAAGCCTGTGACTAAAATGGATTCGAATTTCTGACCTCTACTATCTGGGTAAGATCAGCAGAAAATGATTGCTGTTTTTTAGCGTTATCCTTATTGTTGTCATTCAACTAAGTACGAATTTTCTATAATTTTTAGGTCATAGATTATTTGACAGCAGAATTCTACCAAGAAAACTACAATCTGCGGCAACGTATGGATATGCTTGAAGTAAGTAAAGATTTTTTGCTTCCTAATGACCCACTAGGCCAGTTTCTTGTTAACGGCAATCTTCCGTTTATGTCGTTATCATAAGCAGGGCAGTCGAGTTTCGGAGGTTTGGGGCAAATCGGAAGGAAAGGCCCCCTGGAAGTGGAGCGAACAGATAATGTTTGCGACCACGCCCTCAAAATTAGCTTCAATTGCATATCAGAATATTTCTTGCAATCATTTCTTGCAACCGTTTAGAACGTTATACTATTTTAAGGCATACTTATGCTACGTTCGATTAGTTCTATTCTTAAAATGGAATTCATTACTTTATAAGGCTCACTAGACCCCCAGGCCTTGGGGTGATCCCCTCCCTGGCCTCCCCTTCTCAGCGGCCCTGATCATAAGTGAAGAAAATGTAACGCATTGTCATGTTATTTAACCTGCTATCCCGGTAAGGTGATATCAGCTGCTGCCTTGGAGCTGTCGCAACCAGTGGACACAGACCCCAAGTCACTCAGAAAACACGTGCCATTGCCCCACGTGCCTTTGCCCCACGTGCCTGGGATGAAGTCGTCTGAGAAGCCGGATTGGCAGTTGGTTGTAGAAGAGAGAATCAAAAGCAAAACCAGGATGATATCTCAGGTACTTGGTTGTATATTTGAAGTATGTTTTTGTTTTCATGGATTACACAGAGTTTGCTTAAAGAAGGCAGGGGCGGATCCAGAGCAGATTTGAAGGAGGGGCAGTTGGTAGTGGGGGCGCTGAATAATTTTCGAAAACCGGTTATGAGAGTAAGCTGTATACGACAATTTCAGATACCTTTTCAGAATAAACAACATAACTTTGAGGTAATCCTTGAAGCAAATTAACCTATCGGTCCAAGAATCTTTTTCATCTGATTCTCATTCTTCAAAAGGGGCGCACAATTTTCAAAAAAGGGGTGCCATACTTGCTTCAACTTGTTGAGAGAGAGACAACTGCCCCTAGTTGCCCCCCCCTTAAATCCGCCACTGAAAGAAGGACTTGAATTATTGTGAAAATGTAAGAATAGAAAGTACAATAGAAAGTTGAATGTAATTTCGATGTTTTCAGCATAACTCTTAAACAGGTCGGTGGCACATATTTTCCTAGTCTAGAACGTATTGCCAACGCTTTTAGGTTTTAAGGTTTAGTGTCCCGGTACAAGGCTCTTTATTATAAGGGGTTACTTTTTCGTAGACCTTATCTGCCCACCATGTTTCTGAAGATAATTTCCTGTGAAAATACTCTTGAATTTTTGAAATTAGAAATCATCAAATTTGTAATGAAAATTTTTTTGTTGAGCACATGGAGGATACACATTATTTTATCGAAAAGTTTAAGTTGCCTGATCATCGCATTAAGCGCGAAACTCGGTGTAGCATCTTAGAACCATCCTTGTCAATACACTAAATAGTGTGATACTAATTATTTATCATTATGCAAAAACCATATTTCCAAATAAAATAGGCTGCAACGATCGACTTTTATAATTAGAATGCATTTCATTCGCAAATTGAATTAGATTTTGTCATCAAGGGTCGACGAAACCCCGAACCGATTCCGGTGGCCAACAGATTCTATGATGTGGCTGGCGATTTCTTCTTCCCACTCCTAAAGAACTTTGACAAGTAGGTTAAATTTGTCCTTGTATATTTGGAGCATGTAAACGTCGCATTTGAAACTTTTATTTATGTTCTTATTTAATGTTATCATAAACTTTTTGTCTTTTGTCTTTGGACTTAAATGTTAACTTTTTCTTTATGCAAAGAGCATTTTCTGTTGCAATGTTGCCAAAAGAAATTTTCTTTACTTCTGAATACGGTAAATGATTCATTTCTAGGGAAAGACGATCTTAATCACGGGACCATAGAAAAAACATTTTTTTGTGCTGCCTTTAATTATATTCATGCTTGTTTGATGCTCAAAGTATTTGTTTTGAAAACGCTTGCCCTTAAACTCAATAATATACTGTTGGTCTCTTTGTATCATTTATCTTTCTGTTCGCCTTTTTCAGCAAATGTAATACTTTCGATCTTCTTGGCCAAGATTTTGTTGTCCTTGGTAAACTTATACATACCCTTGGAACGATAGTGCAAGCTTCATCTGGTCTCAGTGTGAGCGAACTTATCTTAATCTCTTAATCTTAATCTGAATCTTATCTTTATCTCGATTAAACATTTCACAAGTCCTGATAGGCTAAGCTTTACCTACCCTCAGAGCACTTTCATTCCAGCACCATCAACCACGCTATCCCACATCACTCACCACCCTTTCCTCTTCTTCTTTTATTATCTGTTTCTCCTCCGCTGCACTGCCTTCACACCATTCCACATCCATCATTCTATTTAAATATCATAGTCTATTTTGAATTTGTCCGTTCACTTTGCTCTAATGAAGCCCTGTATGCCGGGGCGAAATCTTAGCTACCTTTAATTTATTTGTGTTCGGTCTTCCTTATATTCAACAAACTTTGTAAAACCGTCTGATAGTAAAAGCCATGTATTGTGACAATTTTGCTTAGTTTCCCTCTGTTACTTGGCTTTCCCCGGGTTGTAGCATCCCGTGGTCCTCAGCTGCTTGATTGCCAAACATTTGTTGCTTCTTTCTGTGCTGAAACTTTATGAATAAACCTTTTTAAACGGTCTAACCTGAAGAGGAAATCAGTTTAGGGCTATTTTGCCATATAATTAGATTTTCTCGAGTTTTTTAGTCATCTTAATAGACATGTCGGACGATCAAAAGATACTGTACCCCCACGAAACCTTTTTGCTATGAGGGTCATGATAACATCTACAAATGACGTCTTGTAGGGCCAGGTTGGCAGTAAGAATCTAGTTTGTCTCCTTAGTCTTGTCTTTAGATAACTCAGAGCCATCACTAATTTTGTACATTAATTAACGTAACTTATTATCTGTTTACAGGTTGTGAGATTGATGACGTCAGCAATACTCGACTTCACATGGGGACTGCGATTTCACAGGGAACCGTAAGTAAAGGAAACTTTTCTATGTCTGGCTTAATCCTTTATTATAAAGTGATCCTGTCGTCCATTAAAAGATACATTGTTTTTAGTGTATTTCTCCTGGTGTATTCCTCCTATTCAGTAATTATAAAAGCTTCAGACAAACAAATATTTTTGCAAAACGTCAAGATAAAGGTCTGAAAGGAAAATATGGAAAATAGTTGCTTTTCAATCCTTATTCTGACGTTTAATACTCAAAGGGGTGTCAGACGAAAAAACTGTTGGTGTGATGTAAAATGTATGATTTTTCAAAGCCATTTTCAAATTTTGTACGGCCAAAAAATGTTTCAATAATTATAATAATGCTTGTAACTTATATGTGACTTTCTATCAAAACATTTATTTTCTTTTGCCAATGCTGCAATGATGACTGCGCAGTTGGGCTTCCATTTTTTATTTGCATTTCAAAATGTCTCTACAGTTCAATATGTTCCATATATATTTTTCCAAGCTGGCCTCAAGCTATTTGCATATAAACTTCTAAGTAGTATTTATATATTTAGGTGTTACTCGTTTTTTCTCTAGATTTGTTCGTCAAGCTTTGCTTTATGCTCTTTGCATGTGTCTTCTATCATGCCCCGCCCACTTTCTGTTGACTGATCTCAACTCCGAAGTTATGGAATGTCATGGCTGGGTTACAGGTATGTTTTTTGTAGCAATGGGATTAGAGCAGGTAAGGCCATGATTTTGAATGGGAAGGACCTGCAGGTTGAAGTTGTACATTTCTTTAATAATCTCGTTCTGTCAAAGCCTCTGTAAAACAGTTAATAGAATTCTACAAGTTGCAAACAATCCTTCTAACTCCCTTCCCCTCTTCTCCTCCACTGAGAAGCCAAAGAGAGTTCTTATGTGTGACGGCATAAAAATGCGCATTTTTTAAGATTTTTACTAGCATGAAAGAACACCAATATACACCACTAAAATTGCAAGGGTTGGGGGGGGGGGTGTTTGTCCATGCTGCCCCTGTGTGTCGTATTTGTGAATCATGTCATCGCAGACATGAATTTCCTGACATTGTTTGCCGTGGTTGTTTATTAGTATTCCCTTTATTTCCAAAGAATAAAACTGTGTTATAGAAGCTGATGTCTACAGTGAATTTTGTTAACGTGTTGTATTACGGCAGTAGCAGATTGCTCAATTGCTTTTCTATTCTTGTCATATCTGATAACTTCAGTGTCCAATAACGTAGATTTCCCGAAATGGAACAAGAATGCTTTTTTCATTACTATCCCTCTAAGCGCCATGTTTTGGTAACTAGAATTTTTGTCAATTCAAATAAGTTTTGTATTCCTTTGAAAGTTCCAGTTATCCAGCTCTAACTGTAATTATATGTTCTGTTGAGTTCGGATAGCTTCTAAGAACATAAGCATAAGCTGCATCAAAATGTAATAGTTAAAATACGCGAGACGCATAAGTTTATAAAACTTGTTAAAAACCCAATGAATTGATCCAACAAATATTGTTGATAGTTTAAACATGGCTTTCACTTGCCATTGCCTTTTATTTTATCATACCATTTAAATAATGGAAAAACATGTAGTTTTGAGAGACTTTGCTAACCAGAGTATTTAATATTTCAAGCAAAGTTTTGTCTTATATACAATCGACAGATACTAAAATGGCTCAGGACTTTTGGCCAATCAATAAGCGCGTCTGAATGGCATACCACTGTTGATTGGTTAATTGTTGATTTACATGTTTAATTGTTGATTGACAAATGGCTTACTCCATTTTAATATCTTTTGATTGCCTTTGAGGTTTACAATACTCTGCAAAGCCCGTTGAAGCCTAGGCGCTGGTCTAGTTTTATTTTGCAAATTTGACGCACACAAAGCTTTAATATGAAAAAGTCTAAGGTCTATTAAAAACATATCTATACTCTTGCTTGCTTGTTTGTTTGAAACCCCTGTTTGAAATCTAAAAAGTTTGAAATCCCTGGCCTTTTTGCAATTAATATTACGTGGAACTAATATTAGGTTGATCAAACTTGTGTCCGAGCAGTATTTGATCAATTCAAAGTCAATCGGAGAAGCCTTTCTATCTTCCTGTTCCCCATCTTTGTGAATGCTCTGAGATTCCACTGCAGCTCCAGCTATTACATTCCATTTGACCTCATCTTGTCAACGTCTCTGTCTGTGGCTGCCACCGGTCTGGGACTCATCATGATCTTCATTGCAATCAACCAAAGTAATGTTCGTACTATCATTACTCAGTTAACGTATTTACACAATCGTTAGACCTGGCACTCTTCAGTCATCAATCACGATCGATTTCTGAAATTATTTCGTTGCCGTGACGACATTGGTTGCTGTTGTCCGCACATCGCACTGGGCAGCTAGGTTGCTTTCAGACGAGTTTCTCTTCTCTCGCTCTAGTTCATGTTCCATGGCGGTCATTAGGCCTATCAGTGTTACGCTGCCGCGTTCAACTGCAAATGACTTTAGTGCACTTGCATATGTCAACGCTTCATTAAATGTCTCAACCTTATGTCTAAATGCCATTTCTTTTGCGCTTTTCTCTACTGACTGCTGTGGTACCTTTGAAGCAGTACCCGTTGACTGGATGGCTGCAGGCTGCTGTGTCATTATTGGAACCGGATACTGCCTGTAAACTGGGATTTGCGTGGTTGGTATCAACACTTGATGTACAGTAGGACGCTGCCCTTGCATTGAGTAGACATTACTTATTTTCGGATCTGTTTCTGTTGGTTGCTGTTCTGTTCGAGAATCTCGTCTGCTCACTTCAGCCATGGACACGCCATCATTGTTTATTCTTTGAAAATTGGTCTCAGGCTGCTCCTGTGAAGGTTTCATTGCGACCATTGTCAGTGCCTCCACTCCCTCTTCTTGCACCTCCCTCCTGTTTTTCCGACCAATTTGAATGTTATACCGCCTTTTTAAGCATTCTAGCCATCCATTAGATGCTTTAAATTCGTCCCCTAACCCCAATGTATGGCTGATTTCGATTGCCTTCGATTTCAACATCGGTCCCGTAATCACTATCTCGCTGTTATCTGCAGTTTTCTCCACATACCACTTACACACGAGCTCGTTAACATGCTCAAAGTTGTTCCTCGTAAACTTCGTTCGTTTTCTCCAGCTGTCGTAACCTTCGTCGTAACGGCGCATTATTTCGTCCTTTCGCTTTAAAAGAGTTTGAACTTGTGTTTTTGATATACCGAATTGCTTCGCAACTTGTCTCTGACTCATGCCACTCGACCCTGCTGCTATAACACGAAGCTTGTCGGCCATACACAATTCAACACGTTTGTAGTTCGGCTTCGAAGTTTGTTTTTCATTTTTCTGCTTAGGCCCGGCAACCAGGTCGGTATCTGCGGCATCCCCCTCATGAACTGTTGGCTTGCTCCAAGATGCAGTGTCCTCTAACTTAATGATTTGTATTATTTCAGCCTCCTTTATATTTGCTTGTTGGTCTAAAGTTTCTGTTGTTGATCCTTCTTTGCCACAGTCGGTGAAGCCATGGTCCGTTTCGGCCGCTGTACGACCATCCATTTAGCCAGGTCTGTCTTCCTCAACGCGACCTGTTGTGATTTGAATCCGCTCCTCAATGCAAATTTTTTATGCTTCAGTTATATTATGGCTGCCATGCCGTTCTTTTTTAAATGGAATTAAATCAAAAGACACCTAAACATGAATTTACTAGGAACCTCTAGGATTTGTTTTGGTTTTCGAAAACCATAGAGCAAGTCTGGTCGTTCTAATAGCAGGGGGTTGTAGCTTCTCGCGATCTTGTCGAACGCGTGCTTCTTCTCTAAAAGGACTCAATATCGTATTCACCCCTGAACGAACTTTTTTTTGGATTAACTGGTTCAGATGCAGCTGAAATGAATAATTATAGCCAGAGTAAACGAAATAAGACCTATTTGTGCAAAATGTAAACAAATGTCTAGAATAATTTGTGTAGACAATACATGCGAGACAGAGCCTTGTAATGCTTTGACGCACGCCCTTTTCTCGCAACAAGTTTACCTGTACAAAAAATATCTATTCTTGTTAAGGCGTTATTCGTTTAGGATTGTTTTGGGTCTGATCGCTGTATTTTGTAATCATGTAACAACGGAACAATTTTAATCGGACGTAATGTTTTTGCGGTGTTATGTTTATTCTTTAATGTTTGCAATCTCTATATCTAGTTAGTATCTCTATATGCAGAAGCTGCCAATAATTTGGCACTGGTTCTGTCTAAAAATAATTTAAATCGACTACAACAGGTCTTCTTTTCAGGTTTTCGAGGTTTTCTTTTCAGGGAATTTTGGACTGAAGAAAACACCCCCCCCGGTTGTTATAGGTCGTTAATCTACTTAAGGTTACGGTAAACGTTTTCTTGATGAAAACATCATTTTTTCGATTTTTTCACATTCAAGTAGCTGAACTTTCAAGGCACACAATGATACCAAATTTGAAACAAACAGAAATTTTGAAAGTGGAAAAAATCCCATGTAAACGAAGGTTTCCATAATTTCTTTATCAAAACTTTTAGTTGAGGCCTGAAAATCTCTTGACCTGTTAAGCCGATTATCGTTGCTTTGCGGTCGTGGTCGCATGTCTCATTTACAATATCGCATGGCACATCCATATATCCAATGTACGGCCGTGTTTATTTAAACAGGCTTATTGATCTTAAATCTTCAAGTGACTTGACCCGGATTACACTGTGGTTTACGAGTGTATCTTGCAAATGCGATCAGTAAAATCCCGTTTTCTCCGGACTCGAAATTCCTCTACATGCAGGTACGAAAAAGCTATTATGTACCCAAGGAACCAATCGAATGGCTCGAAAATTTGCACACGGCCAGGGCAGACGTTGGGCAAACAAAGTGTGTCTCAAAATTTTTTTATTTTCTCTGGTCCGTCTTTTATACCCAAATACAGCTGCGGGAGGGTGGACAAATAATTTGCCAATTTTTGACAGGGTATAGTTTAAAGAAGAGGAGGAATTTAAAAAATCTGAGACACACTTTGGTAGCTTAGGACCTGCACTTCCTGCTGGTCTAAGTCAGATTTTGTTACCTTAAACGCAAGGGTACATAATAGCTTTTGAAGGTGGTACACTTTTTGACCAGTAAATTCGCATGGAAAATAACATTTAACATTATTTGCCAATAATTTTTATCTGGCTAGATACGCCATAATCTTGTGCATCGAATGATATAAAGTTTATCCAGATTCCTTGAGCCGTTTGGCCTTTAGGAAGGAAAAACCAATTTTCGTGTTCAAAACGTTTACCGTAACCTTAAGAGTTTCTCGTTTCGTTGAATGCGGTCACAATTGGGTGGCAGGTGGTCGTTGTGGAATTCTTTTGTTATAATAAACAGTTGACCTGCTCCGGATCTGGTCGATGTTTTGTCTAGAATCATTCATGTGAATTTAATGTTATGGCCTTGTTGGTTTGGCTTAACTTTTACACGAGTATCGGCTTTGTTTTAATATTCATTTTATATCGGTTGTGTTCTTTGTACACCATTTTCATCATCGTCATTATTATCACCATAATTGTTATCTTCATCGGTCAATATCATTAGGCCCGTCGAGAGCCTTTCTGGGGCTTGGGGCAAGAAGAAAGACGAGCCCGTGACGAAGTCATGAAAACTGTGATTGTTATGAAGCTGGTAGTCATAACCGTTTATTCGAAAACAGAAACTACAAGTCTTTTGATTTCAAACACGCTTTTTCTATAGGGAACCACGTTATAAGGAAGAAGGACCGAGAGTTTTGTTTTGTAAAATATAGCTGTTTTTCTCTTATTTATCAGGGCTGCCCCCCAAACAAAAAGTTGTATCTCGTTCTTTGATAAGGAACCTACCTACATCGGAGAAAAAAATTGAAGAACCGTTAGATCCTTCTTTTTTGCCCTTTTTTCGTTTTTTTGTCGCAAAAGTAACTCAGGTACAGCTAAATCCTGTTACGTCATAACTCGAATAACTCAGAACTTCACTATATCGGATTGATTTTTCACTGACAATCGGATTTCTCTACCTTTTTCAACTCAAAAGTCATACCCCAGATCAGTCGGACTCTCGCTAAGTCAGACGATTTCTTTACCCTGATAAAGGTCCAATTTAACGGGATTAAACAGTATTGAAAATCGATGCACTTTTGATAAAATGACGGGATTTGTCAATCTTTCATAAGTGCTCTCCCGCTGCAACTTAAACTGGAACTCATAAGATTTTCATTTCATTTTCATTTTTTAGGCATGGTAGCCCCTCAGTTAGAGAAAAACTTATTTACAGAGGGCCATGCATTTAAATACCTTCTAAGTTAAAATAAACATTATAAATACAGTATAATACAATAAGATTAAAAGAAACAAGATTAAAACAAAAATTAACATTTAAAAAAATACTGCGACTCATGCAATGCTCGACTTTTTTTAAACCATCTTTTAAATTTCTTTAGAGTTGGTTGACTTTTTGCATCATCGTTCAACTTGTTCCAGAGACTCGCCCCTCTGAACGAGAAACATCTCTGACCAGCTGATGTCCTTAACTTTGGAGTTCTTGAGTTCATATTAAAATTCCGCAGTACGCGAGAAGCTGTTTCGCTAACCCTAGTAAACATGTCACTCATATAGGACGGCGCCTCACCATTCAGGGATTTGTTTGCCATCTTGCGGATCTCAAGATCAAATAACTCCCTGACCGTGGGCCATTCAAGAGCACCAATGATTGGCAAGGCTGATTGATCATGTTGACATTCTGTAACTGTTCTGGCTGCACGGTTTTGTAAATTTTTGTAGTTTGTCAGGAGAGGTTTGCTTCCCTGCTTGGGTTGCTTGCAAAGTTCAAAAGAGTTGCGATTCTCTCTACTGCCTTAATCGCTCAGATTTCTGACTTTGTTAAACTTTGTTATAACCACAAACTTTCAATGCATCTTCTGCACTCGTATGAAACTGTTCTTCTGCTCCAGCTGAATAAGTGGCTGTTCTTGCTTCTGTAATGTTTTTGATTGTCCTAGAGCAGACAAAATTTGTTGAGCTTCTTGGAGCAAATCTTTTACAGAGTTTTACAAAGTATACAGAATTCTCTCTAATTAACGGACACTCTTAAAGGCGGACCCCTCTGATTGGAGGACAATTTTTTTCCCCCATCATTTTCTGGTCAAAGTCTCATGATAAACTTTCTAAAAAGCGGACACTTAATTAGTGGACACTCTTATTAACGGACAATATTGTTTGCACAGAATAGTCAAATGGCTTTTTTCTTTCCAATTAGCGGACAGTCTAAGTTCAACACGATAGCCACTAATTACCCAGACTACACCCAGAGTTGGCGCCAGAAATCTTCCGACAGGGGAATTTAAGCTTCCGACAGGGGGCTAAAATGACTAGAATATGCAGTTTTTGTGCGTTATTTTGTCAAATTTGCTCCGACAATAACCTAAAATATTCTCCGATAAGAGGGCTAGGTTCTTCCGACGGAGGGGCTTTAGCCCCCCTAGCCCCCCCCCCTGGCGCCACCACTGATTACACCTTTTGAATACAAAACTGGGGTCTATTTTCAACTTTGGGACTTACATTGCGAAACTTTTCAAAAGGCGGACACTTCCAATTAGGGGACACCTTGCTCTGGCCCGGACGGTGTCCGCTAATTGGAGAGAATACTGTATTGCGGGATCAGAACATCTTTGCGCAAGAATCCACGGAATTTTATTTCTTTAGCTAAAGAATATCTGCATATTGCAAGATCTTGGTAACATTATTGATCGACTGCAGCGTTTTGAACCAAGAAACAGCATAGGGGCATAGTCTGATTAGATACTTTATCTTGGGAAACAAACATTTTTTCGTTTGCAATTGCTTTTAAATTTTTCGTTTTAAATTATTTGGGCTCCTCTCAGCTGAGGACCTAGGGTTATCTTCCCTCTTGCCCTTTCTCGAATGGCCTGATTATCTCGGTGATCATTATTATTATTATTATTATCATCCTTATTGGTTATTATTCTGTTATTCTAGATGTGGCGCACAATGACGTGGACACAGACTGCCAAAAACTTGCTTTAAGGACATTAGTTCTCTTGGACAAAGCCATAAAGAATGAATTTTCATGAAAAGGCTGTCGAAACATTTTACGATATATCTTGGTCCTGAAGGGCCCTTTGGCTCAGATTCATTTACAGTTACCAACTTACCGTAAAGGTCATCGAGATTCTTCATGGGTGAGCCATTCTGAACACAATCTGCCTTTTTTGCTGATTTATACGTTCTTTTGGCAATCATGCAATTGGCAGTCAGTATTTGGTTCAAAGTTGCCTACAAGTAAGCGAGAAAGGCTCCTGGATAAACCCTCTGCTTCGTGCTTTTATTATAAGCTAGTTTGGCTTGATAACTGCATGTTATTCGATTGCTTAAGTAAAAAGACGTCTGAGCTAGTGCAATGTACACTTCTTTAGAAGCAGAAACAGTACCGATTTAGTTTAGATATGTTGTACCAAATCGCATTTACTGATAGGTGCTCCTTTATTAGAACGGTTGTTCAATAACTGCTCCGGCACATATTGTAGGTTCCCGTGTCCATTTACCCAAGTAGCACTAGTGGCGCATTCCTAAATTCTACACTGTTTTACTGGGGCGTCACAATGATTTGACTGGTAAACACCAACTTAAAAGTGTCAATGATTAAAAGTGAGGCTAAAATATTATCAGCCCCCCATTTTCTTTTAATATGCAACTACAATGACGTCCTTGGTTTTTGAAGTGTTCTATCCCCACTTACAGCATTATAGTTTCATTTCGAACTGCTTTTCAGAATCGCATTCCCCTTTAAAAAATTAAATTCTTTGGCTACTATATTTTAGGTTCCATTGTTCTTCTATTATTGCAACTAAAATGAAGCCCCCGGACTAATAAGCCCCAGGACAGCGATCATATTGTCCGATCTTTTCTAAGAGCTTTCCAAGGCCTACGAAAAGTGGGATTTCAACTTCCAAACTTGTTATTTTCCAATGCTATAGGCTTACGTGTTGGTAAAAAGTACGAGTTATCATTCGTTTCACAACCACCAGTAAGCCCCGACGCTCCCACATTTATTTAGAACATTATAAAACTAAAAATGTTGTTATGAAGAACAATGATTTTCGAAAATCATGTTTTTGAAAATCTTTAGACTTAAAATTCAGATAAAACATTCTGCTCCTTTCGACATTTGCTTTGGAGCTTCCAAAAATCACCAACGATGCTTAGATTCAAGTACCATTGAAACCTTTTGAGTTAAAATGTTTACTTTCAAAAATTACACTTTTCTAAAGGGTATAGGCTAACATTTTTTAGCAAGTTTTTGGCCCTTTTTCTTTTGCCAAGCAACAACCAAAAGGTTTCAAGGCTGCTGAGATAAAAAAACAAAATCTTTATGTTTTCAATACCATTCTAAACCATTATGGAGAAATAAAATTTTACCTTTGAAAATTTCAAGTTTTCCAAGGCTTAAGGCAACATTTTTCCATAAAAAACTGTCGAACTCATTTTTCGCCTCTTTTTTAACTACCAGAAGGCAGCAATATTGTGAAGAAATAGGTCTTTATAATGTCCTTAATTGATTGGGTACGTAGATCTTTGGATACAACTATAAGTTTTTGGTTGGTAATTTTTCGTGAAGAATGTAAGCCTATAGCTTCGCAAAAATTACTGAACTTGTATAAAAAAACCGGCTTAGAATACCGTCTTTCTTTCTTGATCTCTAGTGGAAAAAGGGTCTTAATAATGTCCTGAATTTATTGCGGACGTGAATCTTTGCATACAACTAAGGGTTTTTAGTTGGGAATTGTTCATGCAAAGTGTAAGGCTAAAGGCTTGGAAAAATTATTGATTCTGTGCAAAATTTATCCTGTCTATAATATGGCTTTTTACCAATAAAAAGACGAAGAAATACGTCTTAATAATGCCCATAATGGATTCGGTACGTGAATCTTTGCATACAACTGAGGGTTTTTGGTTGGTTGTTTTTCCTGAAAAATGTTAGGCTATAGGCTTGCGAAAACTAATGATTTTGAACAAAAAATAATCCTTCCTTCAATACGGCTTTTTATCCTTTATGTGAAGTGGAAAAGGATCCTAACAGTGTCCCGAATTCATTGGGTATGTGAATTTTTGCATGCAGCTTGCAGTTTTAGTTGAGTGATTTTTCGTGAAAAATGTAAGCATGCGAAAATTACTGGTTTTGTTCCAAAAAAATCTTACCTAAAATACGGTTAACTGCCCCCTATATCAAATGGAAAAGGGTTTTAATCAGGTCCTGATTTCATTGGATATTATTACTTCATAAAATTTGGGGATTTTGAAAGATGATATTTCCTGACAAATGTAAGCCTATAGTCTTGTGAAAATTACTGATTTTGTACCGAAAAAAATCCTGCTTAAAATACGGTTTTTTTATCCGTGATAGGAAGGGGAAAAAGGACTTAATAATGTCCCGAATTGATTGCGTACATAAATGTATGCATACAACTAAGGGTTTTTAGTTGGCAATTTTTATGTAAAATATAAACCTAAAGGCTTGAAGAAATAACCAGTGCATTTTTTAAAAAATTTCCACTGGTGGGGCATTTGAGAAAAGGGCATATAGATAAAGGCAGAATTTACAGATAAACAGGCTTTCAAAAATATTTTAGGGGAATCGCCTATAGAAGCAGCAGTTCCAGAGAAAAATTTAATCCAGTTCCAGGGAATTGAGATTTGAAACCTGTTCAATGAAGATTTCATCCACCAATATCTCAAATAAAGTAAAAGTAAAAATGTCACCGAATCATAAAGGCACTTAAGTGGTGGGGCAAACATATTCCACTGGTGGGGCAATGAAAAGGGCTGGTGGGGAATTTCCTCCACCACTTTATATGTCAAAAAATGCCCTGGAAATAACTGATTTTGTATCAAAATTAATCCTGTCTAAAATACGGCTTTTTATCCATCAAATGAAGAAGAAATGGGTCTTAATAATGTCCTGAATTCATTGGGTACGTGAATCTTTGGTTGGTAATGTTTCGTAAAAAATGTAAGACTATAGGTTTACAAAAATTACTTAACTTGTACAAAAAAATTCCACCTGAAATGCGGTTTTAACCCTCTAAAAGTGGTGGGAAAAGATTTCAATAAGATCGTGATATAATGGGAAAGGGTTTCAATAAGATCGTGACTTCATTGGATGTAAATAATTGCATGAAATGTGGGGTTTTCAGTTGGGCGATTTTTCGTGAAAAATGTAAGCCTATAGCTTTGCAAAAATTACTTAACTTGTACAAAAAAATTCCACCTGAAATGCGGTTTTAACCCTCTAAAAGTCGTAGGAAAGGATTTAAATAAGATCGTAACTTCATTGGATGTAAATAATTGCATGAAATGTGGGGTTTTTAGTTGGATACTTTTTCGAGAAAAATGTAAGATTATAGGTTTGCAAAAATTACTCAACTTGTACCAAACAATTCCTGCCTGAAATGCGGTTTTTACCCTCTAAAAGTCGTAGGAAAGGATTTAAATAAGATCGTAACTTCATTGGATGTAAATAATTGCATGAAATGTGGGGTTTTTAGTTGGATGCTTTTTCGTGAAAAATGTAAGCATATAGGTTTGCAAAAATTACTAAACTTGTACAAAAAAAATCCTACCTGAAATGCGGTTTTTACCCTCTAAAAGTGGTGGGAAAGGGTTTCAATAATATTGTGACTTCATTGGATGCAAATAATTGCATGAAATGTGGGGTTTTCAGTTGGATGCTTTTTCGTGAAAAATGTAAGCCTATAGGTTTGCAAAAATTACTAAATTTGTACAAAAACAATCCTACCTGAAATGGCGTTTTTACCCTTTAAAAAAGCAGGAAAGGGTTTCAATAAGATCGTGACTTCATTGGATGTGAATAATTGCATGAAACGTGGGGTTTTTAATTGGATGCTTTTTCGTGAAAAATGTAAGCATATAGGTTTGCAAAAATTACTAAACTTGTACAAAAAAATCCTACCTGAAATGCGGTTTTTACCCTCTAAAAGTGGTGGGAAAGGGTTTCAATAAGATTGTGACTTCATAGGATGTAAATAATTGCATGAAATGCCGGGTTTTCAGTTAGGTGATTTTTAGTGAAAAATGTAAGCCTATAGGTTTGCAAAAATTACTCAACCTTTACAAAAAAAATCCTACCTGAAATGGCGTTTTTACCCTTTAAAAAAGGTGGAAAGGGTTTCAATAAGATCGTGACTTCATTGGATGTAAATAATGGCATGAAATGTGGGGTCTTCAGTTGGATATTTTTCGCGAAAAATGTAAGCCTATAGGTTTGCAAAAATTACTAAACTTGTACAAAAAAAATCTTGCCTGAAATGGGGTTTTTATTCTCTAAAAGTGGTGGAAAGGGGCTTCAATTAGATCGTCACTTCATTGGATGTAAATAATTGCATGAAATGTGAGGTTTTCAGTTGTATGCTTTTTCGTGAAAAATGTAAGACTATAGGTTTGCAAAAATTACTTAACTT